ATTTTAATTTTCAATGTGATTGTTTAAATATAATTTTATGATATAACTGAAAAAAAAATAAATAAATAACTTTAAAATCATTAGCAGTAAGAGAAACTGATGTAGTAGTAATAAAGTGACATAGCTAAAGGTGAAGGTCATCTAAGAGATGGACAGAGAGATTGGACTAATATTTGTTTATTTTTTTTGCAATTTTGAATGATTAAAATGTTAAAATTAGTAGCAATTATTTTCTCTCTCTCTCTCTCTTTTTTTTGGAGCAAATTAATTTACAAATAAATTCTTTGAGAGAATAATGTCCAAAAAAAAAGAAAACAAAAAATGAGTGAAAAAAATTTTAAGAAATTTTTTTGAATCGTAGATTTACTTGTTTATTTTTTACTTATTTATGCAATAGAACTAAAAATTAGAAAAAAAAAAACAAACACAGTTACATTTATTTAAATAAATTTTTATCAATTATTTAACTAATAATTGGATAAATATTTTCTAAAGCAAAATTTAACGAATTTAAAAATAATTTAATTTAATATTGCAATTGTTGTTAACTTTTGTCATTTATTATTATTATTATTATTATTATTATTATTATTATTATTATTATTATTATTATTATTATTATTATTATTATTATTATTATTATTACTATTATTATTAAATTTGAAGTTATGAAAAATTTTTGAAAAGTATTTGTGAAAAAAAAAAAACATATAATACGCATTTTAATTATTATAAAATATTTTGTTTAATTTCAATGTATTTTTGATTTTTTTTTTAAAGATAGAAAAGCAAAAGAAGCAATAATAATATTTTCAAAAATTTTTAGAAAAAAAATTTTTTTTTTTTTTTTTTTGTAAGCTAATTATTAGCAGAAATAATTGAGGAAAAGAAAAATGAAAAAAAAAAAAAGGGAAAAAGAAATAAGGAAAAAAAAAAAGATTGAAATCTTATCATCTTCCGTTTTTTTTTTTCGTTTTTCATCTTTTTTTTTTTTATTTTGTAACAAAAAAAATGAAAGAATTGAAGGAGGAACATCTGCTCGGGTAAAAAGACTTACCCGATAAGGGTCTTTAGACTTGTACCCATTAATCCCCTTCTTCAGCCTCCTCAGCTACCCGCCTTTCTTTTCCCTACCAATTTTATTCAAATCATCGCTTTTTTTAAAAATGCTTCTACATTTTTTTTTTTTTTTTTTAAAAAATCATTTAAAATTGTTCATTTTATTGTATACCAAATGCTACTTTTTTTTTTCATAGAAAAAGAAAATAAATTTACATATTGAATGAATTAAAACGAAACTTTTTTCCTCTCTTTTTTTGTTTTTTTTTTTTTTAATACAAATAATATTTGTATACAATTTTATGCAAATAATAAATGAATAATTTAGTTAATTAAATTGTTTTTTATATAAATTATATTATTATTATTATTAATATTATTACTGTCACTATTACTATTATCGTCATTGTTGTTATTTATGAAGATTTCAAACCAAGTGGAAAAAGTTAATTAAAGGTAGATAATATTGCTTGAAAATATCATTTTGCAGGATTAATTTTCCAGATATCTTATTCAAATGGTAAACAAGAAGAAGAAGAAAAAAAAATCTGACAATATACAAGTTTATCTTTAAAAAAAAAAATTTCTATAGGTATAGTTTATTTAGTTAAAAAAATAAATTCAAGGTGAAAGGTGAAAGGTGAAGGTGAAATTTTTGAAGGTGAAATTTTTGTAATCATACTTTCTTGTTTTCCTTTATTTTCCAACGAATCATATAAAAAATTTCAAATTATTTGGGAAGACAGATAAATTTAAAATTTGAAAATGATTGATGGAAATGTTTATTAATGGATGCATACAAATTAAAAAATACCATGTTTAAATCATCATCATTATAAATTTCAATCGATTTGATGACATTTCTTCATGATGATAATACGTCTTAATTTGTCATTTTCAAAGAGTACCCGCGAATTATATTAAATTCAAACTATTCTCGAGAATGGTATCAAAATAAAGAAGTCTTAGAAATAATATCAAATCACCAAAAAAAAAAAAAAAAAACCAAAAATAATATTAATTTTTTATCAATTGATAAATACTTTTAATTCTAATTAATACCAAAAAAAAAAAAAAAAAAATCTGAAAATATTTGTTCTTATTATTTGAATTTATTATTTCCATTTCATTTCATTTTATCTAATTTTATTCTCAGTGTAATAATATTTTAACTAATAAAATAAATTCTTTGAATGCATAGAAATGCAATGAGAAATGTATGGTAAATATTTATATGAAATGTAATAAAAATGACTAATTTGAATACAAAAGTAATTAAGCAAATCTTATATGCTGCTTTTAGCTTCTCATTTAATTAAATATAATTGAGAGAGAATGAGATAAGAGAGATAAAAGAAGGAAAGAATATGAAAAATATAAATGGATTTGAAAGTATGGTAGGTAATACACTTTAGATCAATTTTCATTTCATCCAATCATTTCATTCCTATCTTTTTCCCCCTCTCTCTCTCTCTCTCTCTCTCTCCCTCTCTCTCAACTTATCTCTTCATCACTTTAGTTATTCAAAAATATAATTAGTTTTGTTCGATTAGCACAGAGTAATATGTCTCTCTCTCTCCTGAAATCCCTCTCCTTTTTCAAATCTTTTAGCCATTTTAGTCATCAGCTTGAAGCTTAATATTTTCAAAGGATAACAAATTTACCCTCTTCTTTTATCTTTCTATTTACTTAAAATTATCGTTGATCAGTTGTCGGCTTTTCTTTTCTTTATTAACTAATTAATTTGAATGACTGAGTGGGGAGAGAGAGAGAGAGAGAGAGAGAGAGGAAGAGAAAGAAAAGAAACGAAAATAATAAATAATTAAATTTTTTAATGGCAAAATTTGTGGTATTAATTTGATAATAAGATTTATGCAAATTTATCATAGATTTAGTAATAGCTTGAAGTGAATATGCAATGAAAGGGAAAATGATTTATATATGAAATAATTAAAAAAATTATAGATGAAATCAATGCTTATAAAACTAAAATACGCAAAATTAATTTTTAAATCAAATAAAATAAATTAGAAATTTTAAAAATTATAACAAACAAACATGAAAACGTTTCTCAAAAAAAAAGAAAAAATGAATAAATATTTTATAATTTTTTCGAATTTGTTACATTATAAAAAATAAAAATGGGGTTGTATTTTAAAGAAAAAAAATGACCTTAATACTACTAATTAAGTCTAATACTAATTAAGTTTTATTTAGCTAATGAATAAATAGTTAATTTGAAGAAGAGAATAGTTGAAACAAAAAATAGGAAAACTAAAATTATGTGAAAACTTCAGCAATTTCAATTTTATTATTTCAAAATTAGAAAATAAGGAAGAGAATGAGTGAATAAATAATGCATACAGTATATGTGTATGTGTGTCCCCCCAGTATGTTCAATTATTCAATAAACAAAACAAAATATGAAAATGTAATTTGAATAATTTATGTTAATTTTATAATAAAATTGTGGTAATTTCAGTGATTTCAATAATTTATTTTAATTTTACAATAATAGACTTACTGTAATTCATTCCATATATTTTTCATATTTGTTATATTCCATTAAAAAAAAAAAATCAAAAAAAAAAAAGTAAATTTGAATTAAAATTATAAAATTTTTAAAAATAAAATCTCGCGAAAAAAAGAAAAAAGCGATTCAATTTGCATTTAATTGTTAAAAAAAAAAATGAATGAATGAATAAAAGCTTCAATTTACAAAATTTAATGATTTGAAATAAATGAGAAAATAAAAATGAAATTTCTTATGCTAGTTGCATTGTAGAATTGAAATTAAACATTTTGTTTTAATATTAAAGAACTAAATTTTTAGCACTTACAAAATAAATGTTTTTTTAACATTTAATAATCGAATTAAAAAACAACCGAATTTAAGAAAGTTTTTTTTTTTAATTAAAACATTTTCAAATTAAATTTTTTGAATTAATTTGACAATAAAGTTTGGAAGCATCACAAAAGATAGCAAAAAAAAAAAAAAAAAAAGAAGAAACGATTGAATAAACTTATTTGATAGATCGATAACATTTTGAATTATAATACTTCAGTTAATTTCTCGTATTATTCTTTCTTTTTATTTATAAAATTTTAATTATCTAATTTTATTTGCATTAGCCATTAAATTCATTATTATTTTGTGCACTTATATAAATTGAATCTAAAAAAAAATTAATGTATTTTAATCAAAAATTAATTTTTTTTTTTTTAATAAATACACATCAATAGAAAAAAAAAAGAACAAAAACAAAACGAAAAAGAAAAATAAATAAACTGATATTAGCAATAAAATTTAATAATATTAATATTAATTACTGATTATTGATTTAATACTTGTTGTAAATTTGCATTGTAATAAACAGACAAAACATTATTTATTTCAACTTTTGTTTATCAAAATGATAAACAAATGAAATTGAAGGAATGAATTGAAGAAGAGAAAGACGAAAAGTCTCTCAGTAATCTATACATATTAACTGTCCTTATGAGTTCAAAATTACTTTTATGATCATTTCTCTGCTTTTTTTCCCTCTCTCTCTCTCTCTCTCTCTCTCTCTCTCCCCTCTTTCTGTCGTTTTTGTTATACTCTTCATTACTCCAATTGATCCCATTTGTTATTATTTCTGTAATTTATTTTATCACAACATTTGATAAATTGATAAATTAACAGCAAAAAATGATAAATATGAAATATGAAAATTTACAATAAAATAAATCAAAATAGAATAAAATATGGAATAGAAATAGAATAGAATAGAATAGAAAAGAAAAAGATAAAATAATAGAATAAAATTATTTTCAAATCCCTTCTTTCTTCATTTCATCGTAAACTATTTTTATAACTTCAGCTTCAATCCCTCCCGGTTATTACTTTCTCTTCACATCTTCTAACAGCTTTGTTAATATAACATCTGGTACAATTCCTTTGTTGTTGTTGTTGTTGTTGATAACAACAATAACAATAATAATAATTAATCATTATCATCGTCATCATCATCATTATTATTAATCAATTACTGCTTCTGTGTGATACAGTAGATAAATAAGAGAATGAAAAAGAAAAAAAAAGAAATGAAATGAAAGAATGTAAACATTTGCTTAACTTTTTTAAAATATGTTTTATCAACGATTGAATACATAAAAGTAAATTTGAAGTATTTTGTTATCCTATAATAATTCTAGTTGTAAACATACATAAGCATTCTGAAATAGTATAACATATAACTTTAAGTTTTTTTTTTTTTCATATTTTTATTTATTTATTTTATTTTTCTTTCATTCTTTTTTTTCTTTTTTTCATATCAAATATTCATATTTTAAATGAATTTATTTATTTATTTTTTTTTTTAAAATGATATTTCACTGTAATATTTTATGCTTAGATATAGATTTGAAGAAATTTAAAAAAGACAAATAAACAAAACAGCTGTTATTTTTATTTTTAAGTTTAATTTATACAGAAAGAGTGAAAATTAAAAAAAAAAAAAAGTGAAAGAAGCTTTAAAGATTATTTTTCACTTAGCAATTTTATTCATCCACCTCCTTGCCCTCTTCCTCTCTCGATTCATTTATTTTTATATGCTTACACCGTATCATTTCAAATCATTTCATTTCATTTTGCTGTGCTTCTTCCTCTCAATCATTTCATTCGTAATTCTTCGATTGATGGTAAATTTCAAATGGACCAGATGTTCTCGGATTGGATTATCATTGCTGAAGTAATTTTGCTTTTCTAAATATTACATCTCCTTCAAAACTTTTATTAAATTTCCTTTTTTTTTTTTAAAAAAAAAAAAAATTTGGAGAAAAAAAAAAGCAAAGCAAAATTTATAATTGCTTAGAAATTATTATAAAATGATTTGTTGAGATGAAAAGAAAAAAAAATAATTTATTCAAATGATGATAAATTTAATAGAAATTTATTGAGATAATTCTATCAACAACAAATACTTTTACTTTCATTTTTTTTAGACATTCCCTTTTGATTTAGAATTATTTAATTTTCTCTATTTTCATTAAATATTTAGCAATTTTTTTTCTGTTTTATTATCATAATTATTTCTAATATACCTTTTTTTTTTCCTGGGAAATTCAAAAGAAAAAGTTTTAAATTGTAAATATACAAAGCTCTTTTTTTTTTTTTTTTATCTTTTGAAGCTTCGTTTTGGCATATCAGTTTATGTGTTAAATTGTATGTTAAATTACAGGTAACTTTTATCATTTATCTGAAATGTATTTTATTATAGAGAAATAACAATTAAGATAACGATAATACAAACAATGAAAATTATTATTTTAATTCTTGGTTTTTTAACAATTAAATAATTTTTTACAAAAGTAAAAAGAAATAAAATAATGAAAAACTTTTCATTTTCACACAGAAAAGTATCAAACTTATGAAAATGATAAATTATTAAATAATTAAATAATTTTTACAACAACAATTAAAAAATAATGCATAATGTTTTCTTATCTTATTTGTTATCATTATTAAGCTAATTTTATTTCTACATATTCAGTTTAGATGCATTTAGCTCTTCATCATAGCATTGTGTATAATAATAAGCTTAGCTAAAATTTAATCTTAACATGTAAAATTACGATTTCATTGAGTTGATAATTTCATTATTTTTTAATTATGCAAAAAAGCTATAAAGGTCAGCAAAGGTCATTCTATTTCGTAATATTAGTAATGAAAAGTTCAATCGAGAAAGTAATTAATGATAGTAATTATTACTTATGCCATATTTCATCTTTTATCGCAGTTCTGTGACATTACATGATTAAGTATTAACATTTACTTTTTTTTTTTAAAATTTAAAAATTAAAAAGCGTATATCATACATGCGTTTACGTATACGTAAGCGTGTATATGTGTATGTTGTAAACGTAAAAAAAAGAATGAGAAAATAAATAAATAAAAACTAATTTTGAATTAAATATGATAAAAAAAAAAAAAAAAAAAAAAAAAAAAACAAAGCTTTATTACATTAATCTAACTGAATGCTTATAAAAATAAAATAAATAATAAATAAATAAATAAATTTTTTTATTATTTTCTCTCGTTTCTATAATTCCGTAAATTTTCAACTTATTTAAATAATATATAAATGATAGAACTATTAATAGTAGCACATTCTACCTTTATCACATTTTAGGGTAATATTACCATTTTAACGTTTACACAGCTGCTTTACCAAACAAAAATCCTTTCTCCTTTTTCCGTCCGTCCGTCCGTCCAATCCGTTTTATTCCGAATTAATTCACTTTTAACCATCTCTTATTATCATCATCCATCGATCGATCGATCGATCGATCTATCTACTTGTCTACTTCCTTTTTTCGCTGATTATTGCCAATGCAATTCGTATAATTCTTTCCGCCTCCTCTCCAAAAAAAAAAAAAAAATTCTCCTCCCTTTCTTTTCAATAATATAATCTTTTCATATTTTTTTCATTCATTTCGAAATAGATTTGATTTATTTTTTTGAAAAATAAAATCCTTTCTTTTTTTTTTTTTGCTTTTGTTTTGTTTTATTTTTTTATAAATAAAATTTCTAATTATACAAATAAACTTTAAAATGAAAAATAAAATAAACTTTTTAAAAGATACTTAACTATTTGACTACTTAACTGCTAGTATAATTGTAATCATCAAATGCTTATATTAGCTAAATTGGATGAAAAAAAAAAAAAAAAAAAAAAAAAAATTATTAGTATTAGTCATTTTTATTAAACTAACTCCATTTTTGAGAATGAATCATACTCACATTCATATGAAATTAGTAGAAATATAAGCATCGAATGGATATTTCAATCATTTCGATGAAATTACGATGATGAAAAAAGTTTCCGATTACGACTGCTAATAATAATTTTTTTTTTATTTCCTACATTTTCATATTAAAATAAGTAATAAAATTATTTCATTTCATTTTTTTTTTTTTTTTTCAAGTATAATTTTATATCATTTCTGAAAATTCTTGCATTGCATATTATATCATTCATATTGATAACCACTGATAATAACAAACATCCCGTTAGCTATCATATGTTCTGATGATGATGATAAGAATAATAATAATAATATAACTTTCAAATTTTATCTGTTTAAATAATCATTTCCATTAAACGAACTATCAACTTACAATTACAGTAACTAAGATATTTCATTTGATAATTTATTCCTGCTATAAGATTTATCAAATATCAAACATTATTGTTTATACTTGCGCAGAAAAATTTGAATAAATTAATAATTCAAAATTACAAATGATTAGACCATCCATATAACATATTATTGATATATCAAATTTTTGAATACTAATATTAATAGCTTGATTTCTATTTTGCTAGCAAATTACACATCAAAATCATAATTATATTTTTAATAAATTAAAAAGAAACAATTTAATTACAAAATTAAAACTTGTTTATTTAAAATAATTTTATTTGTAACTATTATATACAGTTATAATATGAGAACTAGTAGTAAAAATTAGCATAATTTCATATTGTTAATTATTTTTATTGTTAATCTCTAGAGAATACTTATTATTTAATCGCGCAGTATTACTATCATTTATCAGTGGATATCACTTATCAACCAGTTTTGTAGATTTAGTTTCATTTTCCTGAAGAAGAAAACAAAATAAATTCTTGATGCAGCAATAAAAAGGGTGATAATGATAACTGTAATGATAACAATAATGGTTGATAATAATATGCATAAGTGATGGAAATATCAGTCTAACTTAGCATTTAAATTGGTGGATTTCTGGAAGCTAACTAATTAATTAACTAGCTAAATAATTAATTAACTTAACTAATCAAATGAATGCATAGCTTAAGGACTGCTAAAAACGATATCTTATTAATATTTATCGTCAATGCTTATCAGAAATAACAATTTTAGAAAATATTTCCTAATTCAATGATTTAAATAAGTCTAAGGAAAAAAAAAATAAACAAATGAATTTATTATTAACAACAAAAAACCAAACCATTGTAATAATTACAGGACGATAATTTAACATTTTTTTTCATGCGATTAAATTATATTTATATTATCAAATATATTTATGTCAAAAAAAAAGATTAGTTGGCTAATTTTTTAATTTATCTTTTAAGTAACTTTTCAGTAACTTTTGCAGTTTATTGTTTTTCCAGTTTATTCCAAGTTTTTTTTTTCTTTTATGGTAATTAATTGGAATGAAATTCATTTCATTTTGGAAATTAAGCATATCAAGATTTAATTGAAAATTAAATTAAAAAAGTCAAACACTTGTGGAAATTATACAACATTACTCACTTCAAAACAAATAGAAAATTAAAAAAAAAAACTAGTAAAAAAGAGGAAAAATAAAATAATCCTTTTTTTTCTTCTATTTTTCAATTTTAATCTAAAATATCAGCAAATAAGGCTACGTAATTTAATAGTATTAATTAATATGGATGATAATAAATAACACTAAAAATAATGGCAATAACAATGATAATAATAATAATTGATGATAATAATGATAAAAATAATGATTATAAGAAGTTATCATTAGCTAAAGCAAATATGAATGAGGTGACAAAGAGAGGGACGGAAGTTTTTCTCTCCAATCAAAAAGATTGGAGAGAAAAAAAAAAGCGATGATATATAAAATTATTTTATTTTCAAGATGATAACCATGACACTTCTAAAAAGAAATGAATTGGGAGATAGGATTGCGTAACAGCCATTAAGCGGTAATGTCGCTTTGAAGTTTCACAGTTAAACGAAAGGTTTTAGTTGATGGAATAAGAGACTGATAATAATGCAACACTATGCAGTTGACCTTCATCGATAACCTTTTCCATAACATTTGGAAATCAAAAAAAAAAAAAAGTTGTCACTTTGTTTATTACCTTTTTTAATGCATTTTTTATTCTTTCATTTCTTTCTAATTTTCCCTTTTTTTTTGCTTATAAATGAATAAGTTTAATTGAGCAGTTATATGTCATTGTTTATCATCTTATCAATCAAATATGCATCAATTGATTAGCTATCTTTTGTTTTTGATTATAAGTATATACTTTCTCTCCGATAGATTACAGTATTGGATACTGCAATACTGTATTACTGTAATAATTCAATACTGGAAAACTTAATCTATGATGGAAAGTAATAGGATAATGTTTGATATATAATCATAATTAATTTTTCTGAGAGATAGAAAAGTACAATAGATTTTTGTCTATCATATATTTTTATTTTCTTTTTCCTTTCTTCAATTATTACTACTGCTATTTTTTCTTTCTGTTACATTTTTTGTTTATTACTAAGTTATTTGTTAATTTATTTATTTGCTGAAAAAAAAAGTACAATAGATTTTTAATAGATTAACACATGAATGAATTAGATGTTGAAGTAATGTTGCTATGCAAACAATCGTCCATTTAACAATTACAAATAAACATATGAGCAAATAAGTAAATAAATAAACAAGTGAAAAAAAAAATTGAGTAAATAACAGTATAAAAGAATATTAAAAAGTTAAAGTTAATAGGATAAGTAATAATCGTATTGATTTTTAACACAGTCTATTGTAGAATTTTGAAATTTGAAATCATATTTGAAATCTCGAGCATTTGATGTCACTGTTATGATATTAGTATCTTATTTATTTTATCATTCTAATTAATATAAATCTTCTACTTCTGAACTCAATTTCTAGAAGCATATCACTTCTTATCATTGTTATCATTTACTAATTTGTAATGAGTAAAGTCGTTTCTTTTTCTCTTCTTATCACTCTTACATAAAATAGCAAATTGTGAACACTGTGTAAAGTTATACTTTCGCATTTCATTGCTTAGCCAATATTATGGTTACCGTAATCCTCTTAGCACATTTCTTTCCAGTGAAATTTTTTTTTGTTATGAAAATATTAAATTGTAAACATATTAACATTTCAACTTTTCTAGATATGTTCCAGTTAGCTTTCTTAAAATTTTCATATGCTAATTTATCCCTTATTTTGACCAATAGTTAAAACTGAAATTGCGCAAACATTTTACAGGAACGAACAGTAGTAATAGCAGTAGGAATAGTAATAATAATTTTTATTTTCAATAAAAGTATTAATATTAATAATAATTAATAATAACAAATAAATAAACACAAATAATTAACGATAATAACAAATCGATCAATAAATCAATAACTAAAAAATAAACGACGATAATATTGTGGCAGTAGTAGTAGTGCAATATAGTTATCACCAGCATTTCAATTTAATTTATTTTATTTTTATTTGTTTGCTCTTTTTTTTAATAAAATAATTTCAGTATTAAATTAGCACAAAGTTAAGGACAAAATTTGCAGCCTAATTTTTCCAGTGCACAATGTCAATAAAATATTTGTTTGCTTGAAATTAAGCAAAGCTATGAGTTTGGATCTATTTTTTTTTTTCGCATACTTTTAAGTGAAATATTTTTGAACAATTTCACAAATACTATCTCTGTCTTTCATTTCTCTTTTTTAGAGTAGCTGGAAAAACAAAAACAGTATTTAACATTTTCACTTATATAAGTTAGATAAATTAGATTTTACTTTCCCTAAAGTAATATTGATATAATATCTTGAAATTGAAATAAAAATCGCATCAAATAATTTTATTTGAATAAAAAATTGTATTTAGAAATTTAACTAATTATCATGAAAAAATTCTTTCATATTTTTCATGCTTTTATCGTTTGCTCAAACTTTATTGCAAGTAAAAAAGAAAGAAAAAAAAATTTACATGGAAAAAAAAATCAAATAACAAAAACGATGAACGATAATAAATTTTATATTTGTTTGGCAGTTATTGCCAAAATTTGAATATCATTTTTTTAAAAAAAATAAATAAGGCAACGAGCAATTGCCCTTTTTATATTATGAAGATGACCTCTCTCTTTGTCAGCTGATTGAATTCAATTGAATTATACCTCTCTTCACCTCTCTCCCTCTCCTCTCTCTCTCTCTCTCTCTTTCTTTTTTTTCATTTTCTCTTCGATCGATAATTATTCAAATTTAATGAGCCAGTCATCAATACCATTTTCATACAAGAACTATTATAGATCGACTATCTTTGTATTACCAATATTACTACAATCATTGCTTGAAGAAAAAAAAAAACACTTTTTTTTGTTGAGTAATTTTTTTTTTTTTTTTTAAAGAAATTTCTTTTTAGACAATTTTATTTGTCAAAACTTTCAAAAATCCTAAAATTTGGCACAGAAATGCTCAAAGAATAAAATTTCTTCAATTTTTCATTACAAAAAAAGATTCCTGAAAAAAAAAAAAGAATTATTATCATAGCTTAATTTTCTAATTACAAAAAATTTCAGCAATTATTTCTATTTTAATTTCTACTGTTAATAATTTATATTGTAATTTGATGTGGTATAATTGTTTACTGGAGGAAAATTGAATTTAAATTAATTCTATCATCTTATTTGATCCTATTTTGAATATATGTATATATGTAGTGAAAAATTTTTCAAATTTAAATCTGAGAAGTTTTAAAACTTTATATGGTACGGTTGTCCTATGGAATTATTTACTTTATTTAATTATATTCAACGGAATTATCTAATGAAATTATTATTTTTTAGTTTATTTAATTAAATTTATTCAACGATTGCTTCTTTCCAATACTTTAGACATTTTTATCAAAATTTTCTAGAGAATAAAATTTTTGAAAATAAAACTGATCTTGCATTTTGCTAATTTCCATTAACTTTTTTCTTCCTTTGATTTTTTTCTTGTCGCTTTTCATTATTATCTTTTTTTTTTTTCTACAAAATTTTCTATGCAAATTATAATAATTGAATTAGTGAAGTTACACATTTTTACATTTTAATCAAAATTTCTTAACTAAAACTTAGCAAATAATTTGTTGTATTTATAAATTTCAAAAAAAAAAATAAATAAATAAATAAATAAACAAATCAAATGAAAAAAAAAAAGTTGTTGAAGAAGAAATGTGAAAAGAAAACAACAACAATAACAACAACAACAACAACAAAAGAAGTAACAATAATGATTTGCTCTTTTTTTCACACCTTACTCTATAAAAATTAGAATATCTCTTTTTTCTTTCTTCCTTTTACGCAAAAAAAAAAAAAAAAATTGAAAGAATAAATCCGCTTTTTTTCCTCTTCCTTTTACCATTTTCGCCTTTCATCCTAATACCATTTTAGTTAGTTTATTTTGCTATCACAAAAATTCTTTTTATACCAAATCCGATTTTATTCTTTTCATTCATTTTTCTATTTTCTTTTTTTCTTCTCTTTTTCATTTCTTCTTTCTCTCTTTCACCGTTAATTCATTCATCCATTAATCTAATCTCTCTCTCTCTTAGATGAGACAAAGTTTGAAGAGTGAAAATTATTCAAAAGAATAATGATGGTATCAATCAGTAAATATACAACACTAATTCTTCTTTTATTAAATTATTTTTTTCTTCTTTTCCTCCTTTTTTTTTCTTTCTTTCTCTTTCTCTTTCTCCCTTTCTCTTGTTTTTTCTTTCTTTTTTTTTCCCTTTCCATCTATTAATATAAATTATGGATAAACTTATTTTTTTTTTTTTGAGTAAAAAGTAAAAAATTTTTTGATATTTAAAATTTAAATCAAAAAAAAAATTTCAAATGTTAATAAAATTAATAAAAGAATTACAAATAATTTTTTCTCCTAAAATTTAATTCAAATGCAAATGATTTAAAAAAAAAAGGAAATGAAATATTTCTCATAATTTCTACTGTATTAATAAATTTAAACAATTCATACAATAAAATTTTAAGTTCCAAGTAAAAATTTTCTTTTTTTTTTTCGCTTCTCTTTCTTGTAATACAGAAAAATTTTTTTTATTATATATTACAAAATTTTATGTATAAAAATATAGATTTTTTTTTAAAAATTTTCTTATAGACTTTTTTTTCTTACTTATTTAATATAATCAATTTTGAATAATAATTTTTTTTTTTTGTCACTATTTTGTTTTATTAATATTTTTAAATAATTTATTATTTTGTTGTAATTTTCTAACATTTTTTATTTTCTTTATTTTATTATTATTTTAATAAAAATTTTCATTTATAAAATTTAATCGAAAAAAAGAAAAGATTTCCAATTAATTACATCAATTATAGTTTTTTTTTCTTTTTTCTTATGTGTGAATATATATTGGGGAAATCGATAATTTCAATGATTGAAAATGTGTATGAATGAATGAGTGAGTGACCGATGACCGATCCAGTGGATTAGATGTCCACGCGTTGTTGTTGTTTTTCACTGAGTGACCGTCTCCTATTGCTATTAGCTGCTAACACTGGCCGATTGCTACAATTCATTGTCCCTTTAAGCTATATCTTTTTGCTTTATTTCATTTTTATTCATTGATTGTAGACTTTTAGGTTAGTGTTGGACAGTTCTTCCTCTATCATTAGTACAAGAGAGAGAGAGAAGGAGAGGGAGAGATGGAGAGAGAGAGAGAGGAGGGAAAATTATTGAGTAGCTAGAAAGAGGTCAATGGTCATGGCTATAGTATGGATGACCACAAATCCATGTAAGGGGACTATTGTCCACTTTTACTCCTAACATCTCATTTTCATTTCCTAATCTTATCTTTTAACCTCCAAATTTCTAATTCTTGTCTTCTCTCTCTCTCTCTCTCCCTCTCCCTCATTTCTCTCTTTTTTTTTCTTCAAACTATTCATTAAAAATTAACCTTTCATATATAACATAACAGCATTCACATCTCTCTCTCTCTCCTTTTTTTTTTTTTTATTTTCTCAAAGAAAAATTATTCATCCCTCCTCCTCTCTCTCTCTCTCTCTCTCTCCCTCCCTTCCTCATTCTTTTCCATATCCGTTAAATAAGATCTTTCATGGCTTTTTTTTTTTCATTCTTATATCTATTTTTCAATGGTTGCTTCTTCATTCACTTCCAATTTTACCAAGTAATTTCCCAGACAATTATTCCAATTCCAGTATGACATCAGGTCATGAAATCATTGGACAGGAATCATTACCGTTTACATTTCCATATTATTCAACTAATCAGGTGAATTCAGTCAACAGTAATAGCAATAGTATGTACAGATGTACAATTCCTCAATTAGTCAATCATCAGCCATCTCCTCTTAATTCCAGTATTTGCCGGAGAAATGTAAGTTTTATCCTTCATTTACATCATATTTTTCATAAGTAATTAAATAAGCAATAATTTAACTTTAATAAATTTTTAAATTAAAAAAAAAAAAAGATTGTTTAAAATGATTGCATGAAATTTTAAATTAAACATTCAATGTTAATCATTCATAGCATACATTTTAATTCAATTCAAAATTCAAAAAAAAAAAAAAAAATCAAATTAAGTTAAAAACACAAATTGAATGATTTAATTTTAAAATTTATTCTAATTATCTTCTATTGGAAAAGTTATACGAATTAATTTGATTTTCTTTATTAGTCCAAAATTTTAAAAATATTCAAATTCGATAAATGATGCCATTCGGTCTAGGTCTATAGGAGTATAGTTGCACAAATGAACACGATATTATTTAAATTCAGCGAGTATCTTTTTTTTTTTGTAAGGCGATTGGCATAAAGAGAAGAAGGAGATTTCGTACTTCTTATTTGTTTACTTATTTACTTGTTTATTTGTTTGATCTTTCCGAGAGCGAACAAAAAATGAGTGAATTACTTAATTGACATATCTAATATTACATGTAATTGTACATATGACTTTTGCATAGTTTTTCTCATTTAATACATAAAGGACAATTTGTGAACGAAGATTTTATCAGTTATTAACATGTTTATTTACTTGTCACAGTGATAATATTATGATATGATAATAATTTAATATTATTTGCCCTTTCTTCTTTCCTCTTCTTCCTTCATTTTTCAGATTAATCTAAAATCTTATTGATAATAACTAATAATGTTTTTTTGTTTGTTTAGATTTTTCATCAAATTGTCATGCTGTCTGTCTCGTCCATAATGACTACTGACTCTGATACGTTTGACCGATGCATTTGTCTGTGTAAACAATGGTGACATTACTCACTTGTTGTTGACCTTTCATTATAACAGATTTGCTAATTTATGTCACAAATGTGGAATTTGAATTTTAAAATCATTTAAATTGTTTTAAGGAAATTTGTGAAATTTTAATTTTTTTAAGAGAAAAAAAAATGTTGAACAATTAATTTTATTTGTAATGAAATAAGAAATAGATCATTAGTAAAATAGAAGTATAATTGAATAAGAATTTCAGAAAAAAGTTTCAAGTTTTCTTTTTTTTTTTCTTTTCTTCATAATATACTTACGTATAATATAATTACAATGACATAGAATAATTGAAATAAATTAAGAATATGAGAGAGAGAGAGAGAGAGAAAAGTAATGACAAGAAAAAGTATTCATTTGGATACGGTAATTCATTCATGCGCAAACAATCGTACTTTTTATTCATGAAAAAAAAAAAAAAAAGAAGAATGGAAAAAGTGGAACGATGTAAATTGTTATTTTAATTCTACCAAATGTTTATTTTCTTTTATTCAAATATAAAAAGCACTGATATTACGGTATAACCATAATTGTACAGTATAAATCAATAGCTTCTGTTTATAATTGAATAAAAATGTATGAATAAAATTAAGGAAAGAATAGAGTTTGTTACTTTAGTAGTGATAATAGAGAAGAATAACATTTATTTGATTGGCTTTTTTGCTACTCAATCAATTTTTCTTTCTTTTTTCATATCCAAATTTGATATTTTTATGTGTTGTAGAATGATAAAATCATGCATAAAGCGAATAGATTGCATTCATTCTTTTTTTTAGTTTTATTATTTTTAAGTATATTCGTCTTATTTTGTTAGTGTTGTTTGCTTTTTTATTTTGTGTTGTTTATTAATTGATTTGCTTATTTTATTAATAGATTGTAAAAAGGTTTGGGTAAATAATGAATGATGTTGATAATAATGACTCATGATATGTGTTAAATAATAAACAAATAAATAATAGTAAGTATTAATCAGTGGATATAATGAATTTACAGGTAATAATTATTAGTTTTGTTTTAATAAAATTTAGTGATATGTGGCAAAAATTTCTCGATTTCAATTATATGAAAACGAAGAATTGCAAATGTTACAATCAAATTTTGCTTATTCAAATTCAATTTATAACGAATATTTATTAAATTTAAGAGATAGGAATTTGGTTAGAAATTCTACGATATATTTCCATAAATGAAAAAGAAAAGTTCCGAAAAAGATAATTTTTGGGAAAGCTTAAAAGTTTAAAATGATTAACACAACTAAAGATATGAGTCCAAATTATTTTCTCTCTCTCTCTCCATCTCTCTCGCTATCCTTGTCTCTTAATAAAGGGATAATTTTTACATATTTCTAATAAATTTGACATTTTTTTTTAAAAATAATTGCAATTTCAGTCATGTTAAATTGTATTTCCGTTAATAGTATGTTAATGTGATGGTTTATCTATTTTATATTAACCAAAGACTTTCTCTACTTTATTGATACTCAAATCAAAATTTAATAATTAATATCAAACTTTAAAGTATCAAATCTCTATACATTGTAATATTTATGAAATGAAATGAAATATTTCATTAATATTTTTACAGAACTTAGATGAAATAGTTAAATTGTGAAGTTATGCTGAAAATCAAGTATGAATTTAAAATTATAGGTAAGTTCACGAGATATTCCGCACTTTACTACTGCTTTGTTGCTTCTAAAGAATGTGAGAAAATCTGTTTACGTCAAAAAACTTCCACAAAATCTGAAAATCTATTTACGTCAAAAACTTCTACAAAATCTAAAAATTTGCTTACGTCAAAGACTTCCACACGCCCACGTCCACGTCCACGCCCATATTCACGCCCACATGTGCGTACTAACATTCATATATACATATATATTGACGCATATGTAATTACATCAGTTCAGTTCAGCCTTTTGTTGCTCCGCACTATGAGTAAACTTGTTGCTTGTAGCCGGGAAGATTACGGTAATAATAATTTTCGAGATTCACATTTGAAATTATAAAATTAAAAGTGTAACTACAAAGAATTTTCAAATGCTGTATAATCCGATATGTCGAAAAGTCCCATAAGACATAAGATGGTAGTTCCATCCATCTTACTTATATATAAATATTTAGTTTTCCAGTAAAATCAAAATCATTTCAAGAATTTACATTGATGAAATTTTACTGCTAATTTTTGTGAAGTGATTTTGCATATTTTATAATGTTTTAAATAAACGTTTAATTCACTTACGTGTTAGCTTACACACGTAGAGTTCTTACCCTTTTATATTTAATATTTGATGATTTGTTTGAATAATTTTAAAAAGTTCATAACATCAGTGTGCATTTAAGTATTCAAATTGATAATGGAATAGGTTATAACATAAAATTACTATCATCATCATCATTAGTGATAAGTAGTGATATCATCATTATCATTAGTGATAAGTAGTGATATCATCATTATCATTAGTGATAAGTAGTGATATCATCATTATCATCAGCACTATCAGTGATAAGTAAAATTATTTCTACGATATTTCAAACTTTGTTCCTTCTCTTTCTTTATCTCTCTTAATTCCTCTATATTAATAAATTTGCTAAAATTCGACTACTTTTTTATTATAGAACTATTTACTTGAAACTAATATTACTATTATTCTTCTTACTTATTTCATGAACAATTATTCTTATCATTTTCAATCATTTAATTTCAATAAATTATATCAATTTTTTTCGTTGATAATATTTTCTGTTTTTTTTTTTTTTTTTTTTTGTTCTTACAATATTTTACTATTTTCATTACATTTGTTTAACCTTCACATTAATCCATCACTATTACATTTCTCCGTTTTTTCTTTTTTTCCAGTAATTTCTATGTATTTATTTGATCAATTATTCGTTTCATTTGTGTTTGTTATTCAGTTTCATTTGGCAAATTTAAAATTTATTCATTTTTTCTTTAAATTTTTTAATAATTTAAAGAAATGAAAACGTGAAAAAAGACTGAATTTAATTTATAATTTTCAAATCTTTTTGTTTTTTTTTCTCGCAATTTTTATCTTATATTAACATCAAATTAGTATGAATTTTTTCTTTTAAAAATATATTTAGAAAAACTTTTTAACAAATTATATTTTATCTAAAATTTATAAAGAAGAAAAAAAAATGAATACATAAAAGTAATCAGTAATTTTCAATAAGATTAATCTTAATTTTAGGGACAATCTGGAAAAGGTAATTTAGCCGGAACCGGCTCATTAATTACTCCATCAGCAATAACAACAACAATGTATTCAGATAGTAGCAATGGTAGCTATAATAGCTATCCATTAGATAATACACAAATAATGATTACACCAGGAAATCATGATACTACAATTCATGATATGAGTAGTAGTGTTGCTGCAGCTAATGTTTATTGGAATAATTCAAATTTACCACAACATAATCCATACAATCAACTTATGACTACTGGAAGGTATATAAAAAATATTTGTAAAAAAATTTTTTAAGAAAAATTTTTATCTTTAATTTATATTTCAAATAACTCTTTTTTTTTTTTTTAAATGAACAAATTATAATAATTTATACATTTTAGTTATAATGGAACAATGCTACCAATGCATTCAACAACGGATGATGATTATACACATTCCCTATCGGTTACTGCATCCGTTGCATATCCGGTTCCAGTTTCCGCTTCTACAACTCCTGCAAATGATGATGTCGTTGAAATTGGCAAAGTATAATTTATGATTAATCGTAAATTTATCATAAATTCTTTTTTTGCAGCAATTCTTTTTTATTGATATCTTCAAAAAAAAAAAAAAGAAAAAAGTTGACACTGTAATGACATCTTAATCTGTTTACAGTTTATTCGGCTTCTATTTGAGATACAAAGAAATGTGAAGAAAAGAAAAAAATAAAAAATAAAACAAAGAGCTGTAAATAGGATGGATTGTAAATAACGATATAAATTATAAATATATCTCACATTATCATTCATTTCCTTTTTTTCCAGTTATACGATAATGATAACAGTAATCCGGGTGTTACGGTACCTCCGTCAATGTACTCAACACATCACGGTACCACTTGTTATCCCCAATATTTCCCTTCATATGTGCCTCCTGTAAGTTTTTTCCCTGAGCTATTTAATACTTTTATTATTTTCCTGAAAAAAAGAGAAAGGTTTCTTTTTTTTTTTCGAAATTTTACAAATTCAATTTGTAGTTTTAAAATTTGTTATAGTTTTTTTTTTTCTTTTTCAAAAATTTTTCTCCTTTATGTAACTTTTAACAAAATGATATTTTTTTTTTCACAAAATTTAGCTGACAAGAATGAAATTAACCTATGTTACGTTTGTTTGTTTGTTTTTTTTTTTCTTGGAATATTTTCTTGGAATATTTTAATTAAAACTATTTATATTTTGATATTTCAGTTTCAACCGGATGATAAGCAAATGCCGGAAAGTTTAGCAAGTTCATATTTGAGTGGCACAGGTGATATGATGAGACGTGAAGATGTTGCTGCACCGCTTCATTTCTACACTCATCCTTTACAGGTTTACAAATAATTAAATTAATTCTATAAAATTTTTCAATTCGTTTTTTTTTTTAATTTAATTAAAATTCAAGAAATTATCAGTTTTCATTGTTATAAACTTTTCGTGAATATATAATTCAAATATATTAAGTTAAGTAATAAATTGGAAGAAGAAAATGAGAGAGAGAGAGAGAGAGAGAGAGAGGGAGAGAGAAGATTAGATGATGGATTGATTATATGATGAATTTTATGGAAATATTGTAAATGTTTTGTCTTAGAAATGATTTGGTCAAGCGAGATCGTTGCTTTCTCCTTTTATCCTTTTACTATTCAAATTAAACTTCATCAAAATATATGACACTTAAAGAGGGTAACAAATTAAGAAAGTAAAAGATCAGCTAAAAGGTCATACGATTTATATGATGAATTTTATGGTGAAATTATAAACGATTTGTCTTAGAAACAAATGGTCAAGGCCTTTATTTCTCTTTCTTTTTTTTTTTTTTTCCTTTCATCATTGATCATCATGTCAACATTTTTGATGATGGTTTTGTTTGGATTATTTGCAACATGCATGCATGCATGCCATGCATGGCATCAGCGGTGTCCCTTTTTGTCGTATGTCATTTTGATCTCAATTTATGTAAATGAAGATGACTCCTTTGACATTTTTCATAAAAGAAGAAGGTCAAACAATGATTTTTGGTTTAAGATGAAATTAAATAAGATGTGATGATCGGTTTACTGCTGTTAAACAGTATATTCAGCAGGTGGTAACAACACTTTTAATTTTTCTAATATATTTGTTAAATAATCGACAAAATTTTCCTCTCTTTTCACTCTCTCTCTCCCTCTCTCTTTCTCTCTTTTTATCTCTCTTTTTATGGTAGTTAGAAATTATTACATTAATTTGTCTTTTCATCAAAATTATGTGTTCTTTTTTAATCCAATAAATTGGAAATAAAAACTTATTACAATTGAAGAAAATTAATTGAATTTTTGTTTTCTTCGTTTTCTTCTTTTTTTTTTTCTTTTTTTTCAATTTAAAAAAAAAAGTTTGTCAAAGTAAAATAATAAATGAAAATATGTTTATGACAGATATAGAAAATGTCCATCCATCCTATCATCATTTTATTTTACACATCAATTTTTATTATTCAATTTTCAGCAAATATTTCCAACATTATAATTTAACTCACTAATTGATATGCATAAATTAAAATTGAAATTAATGAAATAAAATTGGAAATATTCATCATAGCCTAGGAAATTAATAGAATTGAATTTATTTTAGAAATTTTTTTATCTTTTTTTTTTTCCATAAAATTTGCAACAAATTTGATAATTCTCAAAAATGAAATTTCTTCCTTTTTTCTCCTATTTAAACAATCACAATATTATATTATTGTAAAGATTATAACACCAATCATTGGCTTTGATTATTTTCAATTTTTGGATGGATGACCTTTCAGAGTAAATTGTCTCCTTTTTTTCATCGATAAGGTACCCTCTCTTATACCCCATCTTTCAATTCTCTCTTATCCCTTCTCTCGTCACTGGAAAACCCGCAACATCTGTTCATCGTTTATGACAATGACATCTCTTCTTTGTTCCAAAATTCACCCTGTCATACCCCCCTCTCTCCATTTTATTCCTGCTTAATATCATTACTAAAACTGTTACTATGTTTATTTAACAAATCCTCTCGAATAAACTTACGAAAAGAAAAAGAAAAAAAGAAAACTATTAAAAGTGAAATTTGAATTAATGGAAATAGAAAAATATTCGCAAAAACGAAGCGAAATTGTTAAAAACTTGAAGGAGAAAAAAAAAAGAAAGCAAAAACATAAATAATGAATGCATGCATGTACGATGCTTTGAAAAAAATATCATGATAATAAATGATAATCATAATTTTAATAATAATTATTAATCATACCAATTTGATTATCTGATTTAATTTGGTGAGAGATGCAATTAATTTGAAAAGTAATAAAATTAATTACTAAGTCACAATTGCAAAATTAATTAATCACAATTATAAAATTAACAATTAAATTGCAATATGATTGATTCATAGTTGCTCAATGCATGAAAAATACATTATATTTTGATTGGCTTAATAAAACAACAAAATATATGGAAAATGAGAATTTATGAGAAATGCAAATCAGTAAAACAGTAATTATTCAATAACTAATTTTAAATGATCAAACATTCACTTCAAATCAAACAATTTTCATTTTAAACTGAAATTCATTTTAGATCGATGAATTTAATTCATTTTAAATTATAAAAAAAAAAAGAGAATCGAATGATTCAATTTAATTCATTTAAAATTTAAATCATACTTCAACTAATTCATTCCTGAATGTTTGGAATTTCAATGAAGGAAAATACAAATCATTTTTTTTTGTTTGCTTTTACATACCAATTTTTTTTTTCTACCAAATTATAATTATTAGCATAGAAAGAGTTCAAAATTTTCATTAACTATTTGAAATAGATAATAATGATTGTTATTTCTTTAAAAAAAAAAAAAAAATATATATATATATATATAAACATGTTTAAATGTTGAAATGTTTACAGAAAATTTTTAGTATTTGAAAATTATTCAATTTCTAATTTCTCCTACATTTCATTATCATCGATTCATATTCTCTTCCTTCTTTCAACCTTTTTTTTCTTTTTTAGTAATCATAATTATATCTAAAATCGAGAATCTAATATGGGATTTATATTTTAATGATACTAATAATTACTATGATAATTTCCAATATACATTTCCAATTTTCAGTTCATTTCATATTTCAGAATGCTGGAGTAACAAGTATTGAAGATACAAGGAGTATCGCAGCATCTGCACCATTAATTCCAACATTGGATCCTTATAACAGTAAGAATTTTGCATTCGTTTCATCAAATTTAAATTTACAAAAAAAAAAAAAAAAAATTAAAATTAAAATTGCGCATATGCATATAAATGACTGATAGATAATATTAATGAATTTTTAGCAAATTTATATTAACAATCAAAGAAAAAAAAAAAGTTTTCGAATAGATATTATTTTTTTTCTTCCTATATCAATAGAATTAATTAGAAATTAAAAAGAAATTAGCAAAAATTTTTCAGCTATGTCACCTGTTACCGGACCAGCTACAGTTAGACCGGATTTGGTAAGCGGTGTCGGAGTACCGGCATCACGTGATCAGTTCGATTATAGCGGTATATTAACTGGTCCTGGTGGTATGAACGGGATGACATCAGCAACCTCTACGTCATCATTAGGTACCATCGGGATGAGTACACCTCGAGTTAGCACCAAGAAACGATCAAAAAGCGTAAAATTGGATTCGGATGATGATGCTAGATCAAATGATGATCGTGAAGCTGATCGTCGTAGTGCAAATAACGCTCGTGAAAGGTTTCTTTTTTTTAAAGTTAAAATTCTTCGAAAATTACTCACTTTTATAGCTTCGTCAATTCTTAAAAATTTTTTCTTTTCACAAATTTTCTTCACTTCAGGTTTTCCGGAAAAAGGTAGAACAAATGTTTTTTTTACGGTTTTCGATGTTAATGAATGTAATCAGGAAAATTTGATCACTCATTTGTTGATCTTGTTATCCAATTGTTAATCATCATCATCTATATTTAATCTAAAAAAAAAAAAAAAAACAAACCATTTAAATGTAATTAATTCGGAGTGAATTTAATCAAAACTTTTTTTTTTATCAGATAATTTTATCATTTTACTTTATCAGATACAACTATTTCAGATTATTTAACAATTTTGTAACAATTAAAATACTGAGCATGATTCTTGTCTGGAAAATTATAGTTTATCGAGAATTTTTCAGATCATCTCATGTTATGATTTGTATTTAAATATTTAAATTTGCATATCAAATTTTTATCCTCATTGAATAAATAAATAGTAATGATATGATTATTTTTAATTATACATTTTGCTTTTACCATTTTCTCCGGAAATTTTTTTGTTTATTTATCAAATTTACTTATTGTATATCATTTTCAATTTAAATTTAATTTGATTTAATTCTAATTAATCCATCTTATAAATATATTAAGTAATTTTAGGATTCGGGTAAAAGATATTAATATGGCATTCAAGGAACTTGGCAAAATGTGTGCTCAGCATTTGCAACAAGGCTCTGATAAAACGCAAACAAAATTAGGTGTTTTACATCAAGCAGTTGCCGTAATTACCGGACTTGAAGAACAGGTATCCTGAAAATACTAACTATTTTTCCGGTTTTTTTTTTCTTTTCCATTTTTTTTTTCAATAAAAAAAAAAGAAAAATTTAACTTAATAATTTAATGTTTAACACATTTGCAGTAACAAATGAGAATTAAAAATATTTTTGTTTGATAACTTTATCAAATCCTAATGGATTAAGTGGACTACTTTTTTTTTTTTTTTAATTTCCTATTTTACTATTTTTTATCATAAAATTGGGAACAGAGAATAAGAGATTATTAAAAAGGTTAATAATAATTAACCTGGACAAATATATCATTTACCTGACAGTATTATACTTCATCTGGTCACATTCTCTTATTTCTACAATTTTAAAAATCAAAACCAAAAAAAAGGCGAGAATAGTTTCTTTTTTTTTTGATGAAATTTCCTTCCAGAATTTATTTTTGGTGAAACAAATTTTTCATCTTCTTTTCTTTTTTTTTTCACTCCAATACCTCAAAAAACAAACAAACAAAAAAGCGGAAAAAAAAATAAAAAAAAAAAAAACAGAAATGTGACATTATCACTTCAGATTCGACAAAGGAACTTAAAAAGAATGTTATTAAAGGAACAAAACGAAGCTATCTTACCTTGTCAAGGTGTGCTTGTTACGAATCAACCTTCTAGTACCACTGATGTTAGTACCATAGGTAATCTGAATCATCCTTCTAGTACCATCATAGCCTATTAGGTACCACATATTATTAGGACACATCTAATGCTAATGCAAAAAAAAAAAATCAAATAAAATAAAATAAAAAAAACAAAAAAACAATTAAATTTCTAAACAATATCAAATATTTTGTTTCCTTTAAAAAATGTTTTTATTTATTTATTTTTTTCAAATTCACTATGTTTTCATTTTTTTTTTCTTCAGGTGCGTCAGAGGAATTTAAATCCGAAAGCAGCATGTCTAAAAAGGAGGAACGAAGAAAAAACTATGGCATCTATAACAGGGTATATTTTATTTTTTATTGAAAAATTTATTATTCGCTGTTTTTTTCTTTTTTTTTTTTTTTGAAATTATTATTTCAAAGAAATGAAATAAACTGAATGTTAACAAATTAATAACAATAATATTAATAATATTAATAATTGAAAGAATTAAGTAAGTTTAAAAAGAAAATTGAGATTATTATATATATATTTTTTTTTTTTGAAAAATTTTCTCCAACTAGTTAAGTTTTTTTTCCTTGCTTATTCGACTTCATTTCTATAAAAAATTTATGTTAATAAATAACAGCAATATATAAATAAATAAACAAATAATAATAACAGTAACAATGATAATAATTAACAAATAATAGCAATAATATGGTAATAATGATGATAATAATAAAATAATGATAACAATAACAGTGGTAATATTAAATAAATAATAACAATAGTATTAAATAATAATAATGATGATAATAATAACAATAGATAACAATAATAATAATGGTAATAATAATAATAGTAGTAGTAGTAGTGGTAATGATAATAACAGTAGTTGTTAATAATAATAATAATCATAATACTACTACTAATAATAATAATATGTTTGCCAAAAATTATGTCAACAACAACAATAATAATAACAACATTGTATTCTTAAACATAGAAAATTCGCGAAAAAGAGCAACAATTAATGAGACTTAGACTGTTTATATGATCGATTTGATCGATGATAAGCTCATATAACTTTTGTTCATCGTTTGCCCTAAATTAATTGATTAATTATCTCATTTTATGTGCCAAATTTTTATTCATTGGAAATTTTTTACTTATGCAAATTAACCAAAAATCATTAATTCAAATTCAAATCAATTTCAAATTTTATAATGCTCTGATCGAATCAGTTTTGGAATTTCGAATTTTTAGTTGTTTAAAATTGATAAAATGTTCAAATCATATACCAAATATTATTGTTCATTTGTCCAGAATTCACTGAAATTATCAACTCCATTTGTATGCGTAACTGTTTAATTTTAATATTCGATTTTGTTTGCAAATAATATTTATTGGATGCATAAATTATTGATAATTATAAACAAAAAAAGCTAAAAACACTTACAGTATTGCTTTTTTTTTCAGTATTTCAAAAATTGATAATTTCAATTGCAAAATTTGTCATCATAATTTTTTTTTTTTTTAAATTAAAATTTTGTCTTTTAACAAAAAGAAAAAAAAAACTGAACAAAAATAAAATTTGTCCAATTTATCATATCATACACAATTTAATTTATCATAAGTAAATGATATATTTTCAAAACTTAATTCATTTTATTAAATATTGAATTTTACACATTGTTATTTATTAACAAATATCTATTCCACTATTATTAATTAGCAGTTAAATGCATAATTGTATAACAATATATATATATATATATATATATATATATATATATACATATATGTATTATATTTAATTCAAATATTAATTATTCAATTAATTAATTTTTTTTTTTTTTTTATCTGAGACATTTCAATTTATCATTTTATAGGCGCAAATAGCAGTAATATTATTCATTTCATATAAAAGAGGAAGAATGTAACAGCTGTAGACAGACAATGACAAAAGAATAATTTTCATTTTATTCTGTATATCATATCTTTCTTTTTTTTTCTTTTCAATTTAATGTCATCTGAATTTTTGACATGTGACAGATGCAGTATCACAAATGTTTGTTAAACATTTACGAATGATATTTCTGTCAGCATTTGACAGATCTTTATACAGCAATTCTACCATTTTTATAAATTAACAAAATAAAAAGAAAAAAAGAGGAAGGGAGAAAAAAGCAATAAATGATTGTTTTTTTTTGTTTTTCAGGAATGATAATTTAAAAACGAATAGTGGCGCATTTTTATCAGCGCAATCAGCATTTCCAGGAACTAATCACTTAAATCAATGATAATAACTATATTAAAATAACTATAATAAACGAAATAAGTGAGATAAGTTTTTTTGTCATATTCGTTTTTTCTTTTACTTGATTAAATTGTATTCTTCATACTGTGAAAATTTAATAATTATTGATTAATTTTATTTTTTTGTATATTTTATGCTAAATATAATTGTAAAAAGATATTGAAATGAATTGCTCCAATTGTTAAACATTTCAAATTTTTAGTCAAATTCAAAATAATTTATAATAAAATATAAAATTAGAAAAAATGCCATTAATTTAAATTGATTTATTGAAGAATTTTATAAAAATAATTTACGAAAATTTATTAAGCAATAAAATCAAGTATTAATTGTGCTCATAATATTATTGCATGAATTATTGCATTTTATTCAGAAAGTTAATTTAAAAGAAAAAAGAAAAAAAAAGCAAATTTGACCTTTTCAATACATTGGAAAGGGTCAAGCAAATTGACCTTTCCAAATAATTTTGTTTGTTAAGAACGACAAGAACGAACGTAGAATTAAATTAAATTCCACTAGGAATAAACGAACAGTTTTTTTTTTCTTCGTTATCATTGCAAAATTAAGTGATAGCATTATTTTTTTTTATCAAAATGATTTATCAATTCAAGCGAAGTAAGAGTGTGCTTGATTGAAATTTTCTTCATTAAAAATTATTTTCAAATATTATTGTACTTACTGTAAGAAAGAAAGAGTTGCATGTTAATAGTAAGTGATAATGAGATGATAACAATAAAAAAAGTGGTTATGAACTATTATACTTTGAATTATTATAAATATTAAAATTATAAAATAGTAAACAGAAAGTGATAAAAAAAGTGTGCAATTGATTAAATTTTTTAAAAAGCTTAAAAAAAAGTAAATCTTTTTATTCCAATTCTAAAACTTTTTTTTTCCTCCTTTTCTTTTTGTTTAATTTTATTTTCTTCGATTTGCTTTTGTATTTATTTGAATAATTAAATATTTGCCAATAGTGAGTTCTAAATATTATTATAATTATTACCACCAATATTATTATCAATATTATCATTATTATCACCGTTATTATTATTATTATTATTATTATTATTATTATTATTATTATTATTATTATTATTTTTTTTGTATTCTAAACTTAATTCTTTTTATGCTTTTTTTAAAAAATATTTTTTTTTTTGTTACATTTCATTATTCCATTATATTTCTTTCCTTTTTTTTTTCTTTTTTAGTTTTATTACTTTGTTTTATATATATTATATATTTTTCCTTCTTTTTTTTTTCTTTTCTTTTTTTTTTTGAAACATATCATTGAATGTTGTGGTTATTTCATTTTAAATTTTATAATGAAAATATTATTTTGGATGTATTTTGGATGATATACATAATTTTCTCTGCAATTATTATTATTACTATTGTAAGAGGACATATAAGATAATGCTTTGAACAATTCTTTCAGTCCTTGCATTTATATATTTTTTTTTTCTTCCACTTTATTATTATTTTCTATCTCTTCTTTTTCTCTCTCTCTACTTGATTGTTTGAATAAAAATTTGATTAATTAATAAATCTTTATAGAAGTTGAAACTTTATAGCTATAAAGTTGAAGCTAGCTTTGAACACAATGTATAGTGCAACAAAACAATTCATGTTGATAGATTCCAAAAAACAGCAACCTGAAATATAATCCGGAAAGAACTTAATGTCGTAATTATAACAACGATAATAGCTCCTTACAATACAATTGCAATAAACAAGTATTTGTAAATAATTAATACAATACATAAGCAATGGTGTTAGCAATAATTAATAATATTAATTGTGACAATAAATAATAATAATAATAACAATAATAATTAATAGAATTTTTGATTTTGCATATATATATATATATACATTAGTATTGCAAAAATTTGAAATTTACCAATCAAATTATCATTCCGATCCTAATCCATACGAATTAATATAGCTAATGTTTTATATTACTTTTAAAAAGTTTTTTTTTTTATCACTAATCATAGGTAAAGTACCCCGTGGATCATCTTATCATAAGATTATGATTAATCCATACAAAGTTACCCATGTACCATATTAATCCATACAAAGTTACCCATGTACCATATTAATCCATACAAAGTTACCCATGTACCATATTAATCCATACAAAGTTACCCATGTACCATATTAATCCATACAAAGTTACCCATGTACCATATTAATCCATACAAAGTTACCCATGTACCATATTAATCCATACAAAGTTACCCATGTACCATATTACTCTCAGACCTATTCTTAAGACCATTTATAATTATGGAAAATGGAATGATCTAAGGTGCTAACTTTTTCTTGTTTATTGAATTTCATATTCAGTAGTATCACAGATAAGCTTTCACTTTTATAATCCACCAAATAAATGTTTTACAGTTGGGATTTGAGAAAAGCTGAAAATGTTTTTTTCGCTATAAATTTATTATAACTGTAAAGTCAAAAGTTTATGTTCAGTTATTATTATTTATTACTAATTATTGTTACTAATTATGTCAAAAACTTTATTATATTATATATAATATACTGATATTCAAGAGAAAACATTTAAAGTTATTTAAAATTGATACACAAAGAGTAATTTCAATGGCACTCTATGGCGTATCATACGTTAAAATTTCACAAAAATTAAATTAAAAATTTCTTTTTTCTTTATAAAATTAAAATATTCTTATTAAAATTAAAATTAGTAGAAAGGACGATAGATGATTACTTTTTCCAACGTTCTTTTTTATTTTTTAATTTTTTTTTTTTAAAGTTCTTCCTCATTATCATACAACTAATGATTTGGATATTCGTAGAGATGATAAGTTTTACATCATATCATAAACTTAAATGAACATCTATCATTCACAATCAGTAATTTAAAAGATTTTCAGCTTACTTATATCCATGATTAAGGGAATAAAATTAAGGAAACACAAAGACTTCTTTACGCTTCTTTAGTTCTGCTTCAATTTTTCCTTCAAAATTTAAACTCATGATTTGGATTGAAAAAATTATTCAAATCGATTTTAACTAGATTTATTTTAAAAGTCGCAAAGATTACATGTAGATTAGTAGATGAATGGATATGGATATCATACTTTGGACCAAGTTTTTTTTTTTTCTTTTTTAAAATATCTCAAATTTCATAAAATGATCACAAAAAGAATCACATTTTGTCTGTACAAAATACACAGAGAGATATCGATTCAATATGATAATCACAATGATCAATCACTACTTATTCAACAAAAAAAAAAGAAACAATCAATAAAAAATTATCGGAAAACTCTTCCGTTTTTTTTTTTCTTTTTTTTTTTCATCTTTTTGTGACGATACCCGTAAAATAACATGAAAAAAAGACGATAAGTTACAGTATCACAGAGAAACTGGTAAACCATATCCTCAGTATTCTCCTCGAATTATCAAAACTTTAAAGAAGAGTTAAAAAAAATAAAAAGTACAATAGAATAAAAGAAACTTTCACTATGTTTTCGTTACAAAATTAAAACAATTTTTGAAAGAAAATGGCAAATGATATATTATTATTATCACTTCAACAAAATTTCAATTTCAATTTTTAATTATATAAACGGTCTTTTGAAATACTTCCTTCCTTCCTTTTCAAATTAACAAGTAAAGCCTTCTAAATTATTTTAACAACAAACTTTCTTTGACAAATTTAATAATTCTAAAATTATCATAATTTTGAATTGTAAAATCACCGAATTCATGCTTCATCATTGTTCCCACTCACCTTGAATGAAAATTTGCAACACATCAATAAGCTTTTTGTGACAATGTGGACATGAACCACCCTCATCACATAATTTTCGCGCTTTCTCATAACATCCAATAACACATCCGCAACCATTTTCACCACCAGCAACTGCTGACATCATATTACAATCATATGTACACAGTAAACAACGACAAATTTTGGGAAACCATATTTGTGCAACACTTTCAACTGAAAAAAAGAAGTAATTTATCACTAAATTTTCCCAATTTCCAAATCTGGATAAGTTTGCATTCACCGTTTAAATGTAATCAGTTCAGATTATAACTAAACTAATTCAAATGCCAATAATGATTAAACAAAAAACCAAAAAAATTAAATGTAATTATGGAATGAAAATTTCATTCCCTTAATTATAAATAAAGCAAGAAAAATTTAATTTTTCACTAGACAGAAAGATGATAAGGAGAAATTAAAAAGTTTCATCATTTTTCCTATGTATATTGTTTACATTCTTGTAATTTTCATTCAACTATTAATTCCTTCCATTTCTATTGATTCTTTTATTGTTAACATTTCTCATAATGGAAAAAAATTTTAATTTTAATCATTCAATTAACATGAACATAATGTATATAACTAAGCATTTCCAAATCTAAAAACAAAGCATTTTCTATCATTTATGTTTTCAAACAAAAGAAAAAGAAGAAAAAAAGTTACTTTTTTTCCGACAAACTGGGCACACAATATCCATTGATAACTTTTTTGCTTTATTTTGTTGTCGTTCATGTTTGATATAATTATCCTTACAAAATTTACAACATACTGCATGATTGCATGGCATAAAAAGCACATCGATTGGTCGTTCCCAACAAAATGTACATAATGGTGTTATGGTCTATAAAGAAATGAGATCGAACTGACTGTTGTATTATTATCAGAAAATATTTCCTTTTTTTTTTCGATAATGAGAAATGTGAAACAAAATGGAAAAGAAAAATCAATCAGAATATTCCATCTGATTCATTTACTAATCATAGCACATCAATCTAATTAACTTTACTTTTAATGTAACAAAATTTTCCTGACCTTGTTTAACTATTTCGGATTTTACATCATAATGAAGAAACTATATTAGAAATTGAAAAACCGCACAAAATATAAAAGAAATTGAGGCTAGAATATTAAAGAATTAAAATTGATCACATTTTTTTGGGAAAAAACCCTGCTAAAGTAAATAATGTTTTAAATCAAAAAAAAAAAAAAAAAAAAAAAAAGAAATATTAAGAAAAAGAAAAACTATAAAATATTAAAGGATGAAACACCTTCTTGGACTCAGTAGATGTCACGATTTCCATCGATGGTTTAATAGCTTTTCGATCATCTTTATTGACAGCCTTATATTTCTTTTGCACTGTCCATGTAAACATTTCGAGAGGATTTAAAATTGCAATAAGAGGTATGCCCTGCCAAATAATTTATAATAAATAATAAAAAAAAAGGAGAGACAAACAAACAAACCAAATAATAATAATAATTTTATGTTAGAAATGGCTATATATTAAGATAATCATCAAGATATTTGATTATCAGTATAAAGCACACATGACATTATTCAGACAGTATTTTTGAAAATAACCTCCAATTCGAAAAAACATTTGAAAAGTTTTTCGCTTTCAGATAAAAAAATCAAAAAATTGCAATTGTTTTGAATTTTTCATGCACAAATCATTGCATACAAAATGAAACTAACTGATTTAAACATTAATAAGTTTAAATAAACTATTCGCTGAATTTCAATTCGTAAAAACAATTTAATTTTTACCTGTTCATTGAACATTTTACAGTTTGCCAGTGCTAAATATAACTCTTCCATTGGGTGATTCGGAAGATAATCGAAATAAACATAACATGATGGTGGGAATGAATTAAGACGAAAACAGACACCTAAGCGTTTATTTTCAAACCGTAACAATATTCGTAGATAATCATCTGAAGTAATAATTCTATCATAAAAAAAGTATAAAGCAAGAAAAATATGTATAATTATAATATTTTAAGAAAAAAAATGAAACTAGTAAAACAAAAGAATAGATTAAATCAAAAAGTGCTATGCAAGTGAATTAAGAGAAACGACTTCATCACAAATATTTTTTGCAAGTTCAATCTTTTCCCTAACAAAATTATATGACGTTATATTTAAATATGAAATTTTTTCATCTTGATCTAAAATGAAATGAACTATGAATTATTCCTCTGAAACAAAGCATATGCAATATCATAAAAAATGAAAATTTGAAAAGTAGGTTGAAAAATAATCAAAAAGTTTCAGCATTTGAATTCTCAAAATATCAACAACTAGATAAATAATACTTTGCAAAGTTTCAAAAATTTTATCTTATTATGCCTACACCTTATTATTTCTTATCAATATCTCAACACTTGCCAAATAGATAATGAGAAAAATTGCTATACAGATGATAAGTTACGCCAAATTTTGATATTTTTCAGAAAAAAAGGAGAAAAAAAAACAACTTAGGATCGCTGCTTGATTAAATAAATCTTTGCTAGCTTACATTTTCCCACTTCTATCTTTTTAAGTCAATCAAAGAAAAAAAAAAAAAAAAAAAAGAAAAGAAAGGAAAAACTACAAAAAATACAAAAATTTTAAGATAAAAATTAGCTTTAACATAATACCTGCTTCTACACGATTCTTCGCCCATAACGGCATTTCTGGTAAATCCCAACTCTTGTACGCTACCGTATTATTTGGATGCAGTTTCTGTTTAATAATTTCAAAACCAGAACAAATCGAAAAACCCACAAGTGGTAACCTATCGAAATCCTTCTGAAATACACCACAATTTCATACACCCTAGTTTCATCTTAATCTTCGATATGAAGCTTACAATATTTGTTACTACCATATAATCCTACAACCAAGTTAACATTCATTAAATGATTCGTACCGTTGGATTTGATCAATATGTAATGTACATTTTTCAGATAACTTAAAGATAAATTTCTTAAAGTGTATTTCCTGAAAAAAAAAAGATACCATAAAAACAAGATTTATGCAGTAATTTGAATAAAATTTGCAATATTTCCATAGCGATATATTTGATACAATACAATTTTTGAACCGAATAAAGTCCATTTTCGCGTATTTAATATCTGAATTCATCCTGGAAATAATTACATCTCAAAATCAAAATATCAAGAAGAGATTACTCTATTATTTACACTTCATAATCGTGAAATAATCTTTGTCAAAGATGACTTGAAAAGAATATCATTGCATTACTTGCTCACTTATATCATCAAAATATGATATCATGTGATATTTATTCATACACTACTTACAACATTCGCTCACTCCCTTATTTCATTGCATTTTTTTTTTTTTTTTTTTACATTTTGAAGAGAAGAAAAAATTTAAATTTTTAATAATCATAATAAATTTTTTTAATAAAATGGAATGATAATATGTTATACATATGCTAACAGCACATGAACAGAAAATAACAATTCAAAATAAATTATTTATTGATAGCTTTTAAAAAAATCAAAACCAAAAATATGCAATATTATCTGCGCACTTCAGAATCATGTATACTTTGCATAGACCGGTGTAAAATCCATTAGGTATGTGAGTCGAATGATAAAATCAAAGCAATAATAGTACTCTATTTACCAAGAAAAAAAAACTCCAAATACTTTCCCGGAATGAATGAATAAATAATTCGATTTATTCAGTGAAATAAATGTATTTATAAAAAAATATGTAAAAAAATACAAAGAATTGAAGCAATTTTTTTCAGTTTAATATAAAGACATGTACAGCAAAAATTCCTACTAATTTAATTCAAAGTACGACGCCAAATCAACAAATCATTTCGATCAAGCAAATCAATACTGTCTCGTTCATGCTCCCGACGGATATGTGCCAATAAGCATTCGCGATCTTGAAACTGCTCCAAGCACAGCTTACATACTTCCATTCTTGTTCTAAAAATCCTACAGGTTAGAGATTAATCAAAACAGCCAGTTGTTAGTTAACATACTACTAGAGGAAAACTAATTATTGAAAAAAAAAAAACTTTTCAAAAAAGTTTCATCAATATCAACTTAACTTTATGATTAATGTTTAAATGATTAATACCTAACTTTATGATTAATATTAAAATGCTAATATTCATAGAATACAAAACAAATTCACATGAATGGTTGAAAATGATTGTTGTTTACTGTTGCTGTTGCTCCATCCAAATGACGTGTTAATTGCGGAAGCGAGAAAAACTGAAAGAAAAAAAAAAAGGTCACTTAACTGCAAAATTAAAACTATCGTGGTTTGAAATTATTTCTGGATGTCATAATATGTTAGCAGCTACCTACCTGTGCTGTTTCATGATCTTCACTACTGAAATGTGCATCACTTTCTTGTTGAGTGGAAAAAGTTTCATCACAAATAACACAATTGGAAGTGAATGTTGGCGGTTGTGCCAAAGAGTCGAAATCTTGAGCACTTGTATATAAACTTAATGGTAAATTGGTAAGTTCTATGGATGTGTTCACCGGTACCATTATTGTATCCGTCTATAATGAATTAATTAATTAGTATACAGCAAAATTGGTCAATAATTCAACCATGGCATCTGATCATTTAAATAAGTGATCAACAATTAGTAAATGCAATACATTTACTAAATGGCATAAATAAGTAATCAAAAATATTTACAATTCTTAACTGAAACCTTTGTGCTATATCAATTTAATGCCGATAGTTTCCTATAAAATTTGAATTTTAAGGAAAATAGCTTACTCTTTTTTCTGACAAAAAAGAAAACATGCGTCGTGAATCGACAATTATAAATGAACCAGCATTTAGGAACGGATAAGAAACAGCAATTCGAAGCATTACACCTTCCGGTAATAAGGAGCGCAGCATTTGCATCGGAATCACAATTGCACCGCAATTATTTATTTCATTTACATTGCTAACACTACAATTGAAACTTATAAAAGTAACAGTTTGTAGTGAAAATTTTTACTTCAGTTGAAAATAATAATTTAAGATCATTACCTTGATGAATCTTACCAAATTTATGAGTGGTTTCTCAAGATTTTGATAAACTCTTAAGTAGGTGAAGAACAGCTCAAATAGTATGAAATATCCATGCAACTGGTAACTTACGAAATTTCATTAATTGTCACTTCAATAGTCTGTGGATTCAGATGCGGCTGTAGTCTTAATACAAGATGCGTTGTCGTATTATTAATGTCCTAAAACAAAAATCGACTAGTCGAGCCAGATATTTTCACCAATTATTTTGAAGATTGCAACTTTAAATCGAGAAGAAAAAAAAAAAGCATTTTCATTTCACAAACCTTGTTTACAATACGTGAAAAGGCAGAATTAAATGAAGGTTGCACAAATCCTGCATTTTTAGGATCAGGCGCTAGCTGTAAGGCAGTTGCCTGGAATTGCTCACTGGCAGCAAGTGATGATTGATGATGGTTAATACCGTTAGCAGTTACGTACGAATGGAATTGTCTGACGTGTGCATCACGGCTACGAGCAGTCCTATAATCTAGGTGTTTTGTGCACTTATAATAACCAAAGTGTAGAAGTTTTTTTTTTTTTTTTTTTAAAAAAAAAAAAAAAATTACATGCTTTTCAAAAGCAAATAAACCGTGATGGACTTACTTAAATCGTTCGCTGCATGTTTCATTCGTACATTTGAAAGATTTCTCTTCCGCATGAGCTAAATACAAATGCTGTCGTAATGCTGATAATGAACAGTAGCATCGTTTACACAATGTACACATTTCACGTCCATTACCCAAATCCTCGTGTATTTTCAAGTGTTGATATAACGTTGATTTAACTCGGAAAGATCGTTCACATATCCCACATGAAAAGGGTTTCTCACCTAAAACAAATATTTGAGAAAAAACTTTCCACTGAAATAGAATTAATTTAAAGATAAAAAAAAAATGATATCATATGTGTTATCAAAAGTTTTTGAAAAATACAGGTAACTAAAACAACAATCATTGTCAAACCTTGCAAAAAAAAAAAAAAAAAAAAAAAAAAAAAAAAAAAAAAAACTGCAACTAACTTTCCAAACATTTCATTTCAAGAAGCCTAACAGACAAATGATAAAAATGACCTGTATGAATTCTCTTATGTCGCACCAAATCTGATGGTTTTTTGAATCGTCGATCACATACATCACATACATGCGATCGCTGAAGGAAAATTACAAATGTAATAACTTATAGTTGTTATGAATTCAACTAAACTTCATATGGTGGAAATTATATTTAATCTCCGACACATAGCTGAAATTTTTTCTTCATCTCAAACAAACGGTACATATCGCTGTAATCATTGGATCAATCGATCATAATAGATAACAGATCAGATCCAATATGTGGCATGCCAAACAATCATTGATAATATTTGCAATAATTCTAGGAATAAAATCAAAGATAAACCACTAATTAATTACTAGTATTAGCGTAACGAAGTCAAAAACAAATTGATTTCAACCCCCCTCACCCCAGAAATATGCATATTTTAAGTCAAAAAACTACACACACCTGATCTTCCTTAAGTAAGAAATTCGCATCATAGGTGAAACTTCGTTCCTCATGCTGATTCTGCAAATAATTCCATTAAAAAAAAAAAAAAGAATTATTTTAATTAAAATCAGTTCTTTCCTTTGCTTTTTTTCTTCTTTCATTTGCATTAGGATAGAAAAAAAAAAACCAATTGAGCGAAGTATAATTCTTATCAAAGCTTTTCAAAACTGTACAAATATTAGACTTATTTTATGGACAAAAAAAAATCCTCCTATCATTAATTCATATTCCCAAATGAACTCAAGTTTGAACAAATTTTTGATATCATTCATTTAATGCTTTTAATAATTCTTACTAAAAACCGTAAATTGCAAGTTGAATAAAAAGCAAACGAACAAGTCATCTAATCACATACCCTTTTGTCAAGCTAATGGCTGCAGGACAAAATTTTTGTTGTTTGACATCTCTCACACTTTTGCAAAAAATTTAAAAAAAAAAAAGAAAAAAAAAATTCAATTTCAATTTAAAAAAAATGTTTAAAATTAAACAACTTACAGGACGATGAAATGCTTGTAAATGATCAGCAAGGCCAACGCATCCGGAAAACGTTTTTGAACAATGATTACATGCCAAGACAGGAAGATTGTGTAGCGGATCAGAAGACATATTGTACAAATGAGTTGATAATGTAGCATCTATAAATCACTACGAATTCCACATCATTTTTACAGAAATATAAGACAATAGACAAGAAAAGCTAGTAAATATACCTGAACTGAAACTAAAAAAGCACACAGGGCAACGGGTCTCTTGAGATTTTTCAACTGCTAAGCCATTTATTAAATCGCAGTCCTGTGATATCAAACAACTATTCAAATACGATGTCTGAAAAAAATCAATTCATCATTTAAATTTGATGAAGGCTAATTTTTTTTCTGTTACTGAAACAATATGCATTCTCTATATCGGTTATTTAATATTTCTGCATTTAATATTTTAAATGCCTTAGATTCCAATAATTTTAGGTTTTCTATCATATTTACCAGTATTGTTACGTTTTCAAAGCCCAAAAGATTAAGCTGAATTAGCTTAACAGAACTTTCTTTAAATTCCTCAAACTTTCCGATTTCATCAATAGATGTTGAGTTAAAAACTCCTCATATAACTCGAGATTACTATACGAGCTAGCTAAGTAACAAAATGAATGAAATTATTTGTTAATTACCTCAGCTGAACTATCATCTATATTCAACTGTTTCGAATCAGTGTCCAATGATGAAAAATCAAAGTTGGTAAGATCATTTTCACTAAAATGAGCATTATCATCTTGCACACTTTTACTGAATAAATTATCGGGTGACCATGAAAAAGATTCCTGAAATAATCATTTAGCAGCAAAATAACAGCAATTAATGCATTACTGAAATATCTATTTTATTTGAAAACATATCACTCTCCCAAACAGTTCTCAGCTCGTTTAAAAACAATTTTTCCGTTAGCAGTTGAGATCGATGTTTAGCTTAATAGTTACGCATTTCAATATTTGATACATTTAGTTATTCAAATAGTTTCGAAATCAAAAAGAACTCAAAATAAATGAAGAATTGTTTTAATGCCAGTGATAGATTTTAATTAAGTCAAGTATCAGAAGTAATAATATAACTTACAAAGTTCATTAAGCTGCTTGGTCGTGGGTGTTTGCTTGCATGCGCTTTTAGTTGAGAATGACGCCTAAATGTTTGGTCACAGGTTAAACATCTGAATGGCCGCTTGTTTGTATGTATCTCGCTGTGACATTTTAACTGAGCTAAAAAAAAAAGAAAAAACATCTAATTTTAGTTTCGCATTTTGAAGTAATTTTTGAACAGAGAGATAAGCAAATTAAAGACATTAAGAATTTTTATGAGGAAGTTTTCATATTTACACAAACAAATATTGACATCGTTTTAGTTAATTTCAGGTAATGTCCGTGATGTTTGTACTCATGAAAGATAAATTTTTGCAGCATTCGAAAAAAATTAATTATAAAAAAATTAATTAAATTAATTAAGTAACACTCTCCCCTGAAATATTACTTTATAATATGACGTACCTAAGGAATAAAATGACTTGTAACATAATCGGCATATGTGTGGTTTAATGCCAGTGTGTCGATTAATATGTTCTTTTAAACAGCGAAGTGTTGAAAATGATGCCGTACAGGTGCGGCATTTGTAGGGTCTTCGTTCCGGTTCAGTATTTACAGGAGTATTTTCAGTAGGTGGTAAAAGTTCCAGCAAACTTCCAGATGAGCCAACTTCAGCATTTGCTGTTAAACAGGCTATTTGATGCTGCTCCAATGCTTTTTTGCTCAGAAAAATCTAAAAATGCAAAATGCAGACATGTATTAAATTAGTAATGCATGTGTGATAAGTGATAATATAGCAAATAAAGAAAAGAATAGATAGGTAAGTGATGTAAAACAAATGAAAATATATTTACTTGCGAACACACTCCACAATGCTCCAATGGTCTTTCATGAATTTTAAGATGACGACGTAATGATGGTGCCGATGCTAACTGAAAATTATACTTTTTTTATTTCAGTTCAATTCTCCTAACATTTTTATTTCAAACAATTCCAGAAACCTTGAGCCTTTGAAGACTAGTAAATTAAACATATTTACGCATATAAATTAAACATAGTAGAAAAAAAAAAAAAAAAAAAAAGTAAAAAATAGTAAATTAAACATATTTACGCAATATATATATATATATATATATTTACCTGCTTCATGCAAACAGGACATCGTGCACATGTGTAATAATTATCGGGATGGTCAGCACGAACATGACTATCCATATGTAACTTTAATGAAGATTTCAAGTTAAAATCTCGACCACATCGATTACATGAAAATGGTCGTTCACCACTATGTATTCGATAATGTCGCATTAAATCGGATGTTTTGCCAAAACCTTTCCCGCACACAGAGCAACAAAACAACTTATTTTTCTTTAATTCCTGAAACTTCCTTTTTAATTTCAAATTGTTCAGCAAAAAACACTGCATTAATAATAAAGCTTTCAACTGCAGAATTATTTATAGTAGAAGCAACTTTATGTATGAAAGCGTTTAAAACTGTAATATATTTAAATTTATATGTGACAGTATATTTTTAAAAATTAAGAAAATTGATAAGCAAAAAAATTAGCATGAGCTTAAAAGTTTGAATAATAAAAAAATCTCAATCACCAACCTTTTTATTCAAAATCTAATTTACGAAAATTCTACAAAGTACCTGTAAATTAGTAGTTCCTTCTTCAGCGATCATAGAATTTTTTAGGGTTACTGAAAAAATGAGCCTAATTGAAAATTTTAGTTACAAGAAGCTGAGAAAGTGCAAAGATGTTAAAAAGTATAGAAAGAATTTCAAGTTGAAAAGATGAAAAAAATGCTTCTGAATCCAAAATATTTTAATAAATTGTACCAATTTAAATTAATTCATCAAACCTTCTTCTGGATGCCGTTTCCGAGCATGAACTTGTAGCGGCTGCAACGAATTGAATACACAAGTACATTTGAAACATCGAAAAACTGCACGCGATGTAGCATCTGGAGGATGCAAAAGTTTCACATGCCGACGTAAATTTCCAGCCTAAAGATCGAATTCTCATTTTAAAGTCAGACAATTTAAAATTTTTTCTAGAATAAAAAAGAATTAAATTGAACAACGTGGAAAATCTACTATAAGAAAAGCTTCTTTTTCCTAATTCATGCAGGAAAACAAAATATAAGCAAAATATATGTATATATTTATAAAGATTTGCCAAAAAAGGAATAGAAAGTGAAGCTAAAAATAAAAGGTAATTAAAATTAAGGACAATGGTTAAGAAATACAATTCATAAAACAATAGTAAAATATTGGAAAGATGCGATATAACACTGAACCAGATTAGAAATTTTGTGTTACTAATGCATCATAGAATTAGATAAATGAAAAAAAAAAAAGACGCTGTATTTTCTAAATTCAATTATTCATCGTTTAAATATAATAAATCGTTCATTGAAAAAAAGCTTACTTGTGAGAAAGTTGCATCACAAAGTGAACATTTATGATTTTGAGCAGTAGATGCATTATGAGTGAGCGTATGTTGTCCCAGAGAAGCTTTTTGAGAGAATCGTTTTCCACAAATTTCACACACAAAGCGACGTTCTTCTGACGTAGAATTACATATAATTATATGAATATAAATTATTGCTAAGATGTATCTCTCTCTCTCTCAACAAAATTCAACTTATATTTGGTACAGTGCTTTCCTCATCTCTATCGTGATGCGATGCTAACAATGAAATTACCCAGTAACAGAGTTCAATCATGAATTAAATAACGACCATGATATGCTTGAGATCACAGAAGAAAATCCTTCATAAATTTCAAGCCATATTTTACAACAGCATTAATAGCTTTATCTCGAGATACGAGAGATATATGGAGCGAATTTTACAGCAAATTTTAATAAAAGAAAAAAATTAAATTTAAAAGACTAAAATGAAATCAAAAAAAGCTTACTTGTATGGACAACATAATGTCTTATCAATTCAAACTTTTTTTTAAAAGTTTTGCTACAAACTTCACATTTATGAGCTCCATCACCAGAATATGATTCACGCTTTCGTTTATTTCTTTTCATTGTCTTGCTGAAAATTATTAATAAAATCAATCACAATAAGCTTTATTATAAGCATACACAATAGTCTCGACATAAAGACATATGAACTAAACTGAACATCTCTTGAAATTTCGACGTTGCTGAAACTTTAATAATTATCAAAGATATCTTTTTCACTTTAAGATCTATTTTCCCACTAACCACTAATTTTTTGAGAATTTGTCAAATTAATGAATATTTCTGATGTTATTCAGAAAAAATGGCTTTTACTTAGAAACAAGTTGCACATCCAAAAATTTCAAAAACAATCAAACCCAATGAAAATTACTTTATTTTCCGATGTATTTGTATGTGTTCATCCATTGCTTCTTTGCTGAAAATAACAATACCACATTTCTTACATATTTCAACAGTAGCGATATCTTCCAAACGAGGATAGCAATGCTGCAGGCGTAAATGTTTGTTTAAAAGCACCTAAAATGAGAAAAATAAAACAAAAGCAAAAAGTTTCTAGTATTCATACATGAGCTTATACAACTAAGATCTAGAACTGTTCGACATTCAGTTTAGATATTCACCGCTTTATACTAACAGACCAAATATTGAAGCAGTGAGATTATTAAATTTTTAGTTTATTAAATTGATTACATTAATTGTAGCAATCAACTTTCAACTTCAATATCAAATTTTCGGCATTTTAGATTTCCTAGCCTTTGAAATCGGCATCCAGCTGTAGTAGTTTGTAAAATTCCATATGTGTGTATGTATTACGCTTGTTTTTTGATTCTAATTGATCAAAATCATTCAAATGAGGCAATCAGACTGAGATTTCCGAACGAAAGATTATTCTACATGAATTATATTGATAATATACCTGGAAATCAAATTCTTCTTTACAAAATGTACATATAAGGGAATCATTCAAGCCATGGATTTGAAGGTGAGCATAATAAGCTGCTAATCGAGCATATTTTTTTGGGCAAAACGAACATACATATTTATCATTTTCAACCACTGCCTTATCATGCTGTCCAAGATGATGTAGCTTCAAATTATGTTCCTTATTATATTCATTACCACATATGTCACATCTAAAATTACTTAATCAACAATTTGTATTAAATTAAAATTAAAATTGTTTGATTTATTTATTACATAAAAAACACTGATACCAACTGTTTAAAATTTTACTGAAGCATTGAATTTTAATAAAGTACGTCTCATTATTTCTCATCATATTTGATAATATTGAAGAAAACTTACGAAAAACAAATTTTTAAGAAGCAAATAAATAAACATACTTGTAAGACTTTTCTAATCTACAATTTTTCGTATGATTCAGATATTCCTCTAAATCAAAGAGAGCATCACAAATGTTACATCGCGCCAAATAGTGTGTCTGCAAGTAGCCATAATTTATTTAGAAGAAACAAATATCAATAGAGCGATAATCTGGATGTATAAATAGAATGATCTGCTATAGTAAAAATATTTTAGTCATATCATAATCGAAATGGTTATCAGCGATAAGGTGCTGCCTTAAAAGATTGGGTATTTCCTAAATTCTAGTTCAAGATTTATTTATGTCTTCACTACTGAATTTCTGCAAACAAATTAGGAGCAATTTTCATTTATTTCACAGAAATTTTCGAAATTTTTGGTATTTACTGAACTAATTTCAGTATGCTACTGAATTAATTCGACCTTTTCGGAAAATATTTAGAAAAAATAAGGAAAAATTCATCGTACTGTCCGATGCAAGTAAACTTAAACATGTTTCTGAACTTACATTATTTGAAACTGGTATACTGTATGAATTATCCATCCATGTCGAAGTTGACGATTCTTGAATAGAATATATTTTTACAATTACGTTTAAATAAACAAACAGCTGAACTAATAAGGAAACAAATAAAATACGAAAGTGATACTTAATAACTATGAAATTTTGCCTGACTTATTCAAAATAATTCGACTCTATTAACATGAATGTGCAATTAAATATGATATTTAAGGCAGTGCATGTACGAAAACTGTAAATATTCACTTCAGTGTGCCTCCTTCAATGCTGGAGCAACCTGATCCAGAGTATAACCTGTACAAAATTTTAGAAAAAAAGACTCAGGTATTTTAGATTTTACATCCAAAACAGTATCATGTCTTCATTTCAGTCTCACAGATATAACTAAGTATCACCTCTCCCAAACACTATGGATAATTTATTGAAAATAAAACATCAGCCTAGAATAGTAAGCAAGACATTAAGATAAAGGAGGCAAGCAACCAACCATTTTGAAGAGAACAGTCATATCTAAGCATTTGTTGCTGTTGAGAAAGATGACGGTGATGTTGTTGCAGTGATAATAAATTTTGATGATATACCGTTGATCCGGATACTGTAAATGAATAGCTATCGGTTCTTTCACCATTTTCGAGATTTTCATCAATTATCACATAACGAATTCCTTCTGAATCGTTGTCAGTTGTCATTTCGTTACATTGCATTGCTTTTTAAAAGCACAAAATTTTATTTCCATCTGAAATGTCATTGTTATAATACTGAAATGCCATTGTTAAATATTTCATGGATAAAACTTATTCATGGATAAAAGTTAGTAATATATAAGCTTATAGTTTTAAATTTATCACAAACTTTTTGCATAATTACTATGACAAATAACAAATATTCTCTAAACATAACCAAGATAATTCGACGCTATTGCAAGCTATTTCTTGACGTCAGCGCAAATGATGACGTTATTTGCATATTACCTTATCATCTAGAAAAAAGCATAATTGTAATATAACAACTTGTAATAAAAACAAAAAGAAAAAAAGATCGAATAGAATTGAAAAGTTGAATTTAAATGTGATACTCATTACAAACATATTTCTCACCTTTTTCAATTTGAAAACCAATCAAACTTTTGAAAAATATAGAATGAATAAAATAAAAGTTTCAAATTAGAAAGTGTAATTAAATAAACATTACAATAGCTAAAAAGAATTACACATCGAGCAAAATTTAAATAATATAAATAAAAATTATTTAGAATTAATAAAAGAGTATAGCAAATATTTCAGTAGTTATAAATTCAAAAAGTGATAGCAATATTGTTTAATACGTGATATAATGATGGAGAGACGATAAAGATTGATAAGAATTGTGAGAGATTACAGGAAAACGAGTAGTGGACCAGGAAATAGAGAAAGCAGAAAACAATTCTGCGTTGCATTCTGCGTAAGCATTAATAGTTCCCGTTTAGACGTATTTTAACGGACCACGTGCTGGAAGATGAAATAAGGTAGACGTAGAGGTTAAAGGTCTTAACGGTGAGTGAGAGGAGGAGAGTTGTTTGTTATGAATGGCGAAGCAATTCAGTGATGGTTTGAGGATTGTTGACATTGAATGAATGACCTTTACATGTGACCTTTTGATAATGTGACCTTTGTGATTTCAGTTTGTTGCTCGCATTCAGTTGGTAATTTCAGGTAGTCTAGTCATCATTTCAGTACTGTTTGTTGCATTTCTTTCATATTTAGTGAAATATTTTGTAAATATTTCTATTTTTATTTATTATTTGATATTTTAAATGTATTATTTGGTGATATTAAGTTATACGGAAAATATTCCAATATATTCATGGAAAATAATTTTTTATTTTTATTATTGCAAATTTTATTACGGGCCAGATTATTATTTCTCATAGATTTTTTAAAAGTTATTAACAATTACTTTTCTTATTTTCATTATTTTCCATTTCAAATAAATCCTTTTTCCTTTTTCTTTTTCGACTTTTTCGCCCTTCTGAATAAATCCCTTTTTTTCGATTTTGTCTTGAGAAAAGAAATCAATCTGAAAATTATTCATGGCGGGACAGAATCTAGATCATTTTTTTCTTAATTTTTATTTTCAAATAATTTCTAATTTGAGATTGATTTTGCCCTTTTGAGTGTTTCTTAAGTTTTGTTTTATTTTAGAGCTTTTTTTAGTGTGAGATTTGAAGATCAAAATTGAATAGATGAACGTTTTACCTTTCTTGAATGTATTAGAAATTAATTCGAGGAAGTATTTTAGTTTCAGGGAAGAAGAAGGTGCACCGACCATGCTCAGCAGGCTACCGCTTGCCAAGGAAGTCGAGCGCGAAGCACTTTGGCAGCTGGTGGATCAGTGGAATGAAAATCGGCTTGATTTATTCAATCTAAGCTATCCAACAGAGGTATTTCGATTCGAATTTTTTGACAAAAGTTAAAATGTTTGTGGATTAACTTGTAAGAAAATATCGAATTAGCTTAAGCTTTCCCACAAGAATGTGCAAGTTTAAATTTACCTATTATAACATTTGTGCATGAAATTACTAAAACAAAGGGTATATTTGCACAAATAAAACCATAATTTATTATTATTTAATATTTATATTAATATATACATATATTATTATTTAATGCATATACATATATATATATATATATATATATATATATATATATATTAATATAATTTATTATTATTTAATATAATTTATTACCATTTAATAAGAAAAAAGAGCATATTTAACTGATTTATTATAATCCACTCTGTTTATTTGAGGAAGCTGTACAAACCGAAAGTTTTCCAGTCTTCCTAAAATTTTTTACTGTAAATTTGGTTTTATTTTTTTTTTTTTTATTCGACTATTGTTACAACTAATTAATTCTTTAGCGTTAAACTGAAAAATGAGTTACAACAGTTATAATACATTTTAGCACTTTTTTTCACAGTTCTTATGCCGAAATAATAATAAAAGATTCACTTTATTTCTAATCCATAATTTTGGCATATTTTTTTGCTTATTTTATTTGAGTACTGTTCTTTTTTTACTTGTAGTATAGATGTCTTATCTAAATGTAATAATAGGTGGATAAAAATAGTGGATAAAAAGTGGATAAAAAAAAGTGGATAAAAAAAAATAAAAAAAAAAAAACCATATTTATAAAATGGTTTTATACTTGCTTTTGTTTATTGCTGTTCATTTGTGGAATCAAGAACTTTTTTTCGTGAGATTTCAGGATCTTGAAATTCATGGTGTGATGCGATTCTATTTTCAAGAATCAAAAGATAAGGTATTGACGAAATGTATCCGTGTTTCCAGTACAGCAACAACTCGAGCAGTTATCAGTGCATTGGTTGATAAATTTCATCCTGATTTGAAAATGTAAGTTTATGGATGCTTTCCCGTTAGCGGAAAGAACTCACACCAGCACCTTAGGTTTTTACTCTAAGGACTTGATACTAGTCTGCACAAAAGATTAATTTTCAGGCTCAGCAATCCAGAATATACCTTATGGGAGGTTCATGAAAATGGCGATGAGCGATGCTTAGCACCTAATGAGAAACCATTACTTGTACAGCTTAATTGGCATAAAGATGATCGCGAAGGTCGGTTTCTGTTGAGGGCACACCATAATATTACTTCTGTCAAGGTATAAATTTTCGTAAAACTTCATTTTAAGACTTTTTTAAGAATAATAATGGTGTAACAGTGAGCGATTTGAAAAACTAGATGATTTGTAATCATGTAATTCGAATTTATGCTAAATTGTTATATGGTCCGAGTTTTGAAGTAATTAGAAATTAAGGGAGTCTTGAACTACTTGATTCTAAATTGTAAAATTATTGTCCAAGCACTACAATCATATAAGACAGAAGTAGTTGTATACGCTTAAAAATAGGAAGAACTCGTAGGTAATTCTGAAATGGATTATATTATAGGAAGTTTTATAGAACCTACTTTACAAAGCCTATTACTTGCTGCTATTTAAATATATTATTAAACCATTTCCGGTATGACTGACTTTTGTAGGAGAAAGGAAGGATATGCAGTTTTTCTCAGGATAGAATTCATAATTTTGAAGGGAAAAATTATTCTAGGACACTACATATGGCCTGAGTGGCAATCAAAAAAGATTTTCGAAAAAGGAAGAAAAAGAACTGAAAAAGAAGCATCAAAAAGGTTTCAGTTTTATTAATTTCATACTACATTATGTTTGTAGCTCGTTGAGATTAAAACTAAAGTTTGTTTTTCTTCAGGGTTTATTTTTTTATTAGTTTTAAACTTTTTTTTTCGTATATTAATTGGATAAAGGATGATCTTTTATCAACCACCTGATCTGTATTGTAGATTTCACTAGTAATACTTTAATGTGTAGTTAGCGTTTTATTTCTCAGATGTGCTTGTTGATCGGTTATTCTTTTTATGGTGTTAATGAATGTAAATTCAAATGCCAAACCTTTTCTATTTCAGTATATGGTGGTGGTTGTTTTAAGATTTAGATTTTTTTTTTTGATATAAAAATTGAAAATACAAACGGGGGAGGGGAGAAAATATTGCCGGAAGAATAGTCAACTTATGGTATCGAATAGAAAGTAAGGTTGATAAGAATGATTTTCAACTACGAGGCAAAATTTCAGCGGTTGAGCAACAGGAACCAAAGTTACGAGCTTCTGAAGAATTATATAAAGCTTTGCCGCCAACAACATTTACACGAACAATTTCCAATCCAGAAATTGTGATGAAGAAACGACGCGAAAAAAAGATTGCGGCAAAATTAAAAGATTTGGGTCAAGGTAATGATAGAAACATCACAATTTAGTTTTTTTTTTTTTTTTTTTTTTTTTTTCATGTCATCGAATTTGAGGATTTAGTAGCAGTTTATTATAGTGCTGTGCGTTGTCTGATATTGCAAAAAATTGTAGTTTCTAAAATTTCTAAAATAAAAATAAACAGGAAAACAATATAAAGATGGATGTGGTAGTTGATATAGTGTTTAAATAATTTTAGGAATAAAACTTCGGGTGTGAGTTTTTCTTAACTAGGAAAGAAAAAAGGAAAATTTCATTCTAGGAAGTTGACAGCAAAAATACTATTCTTAAGAATACTACCAGAAATTTCGGAGAATTTTCTCCCAAAAACTCATAATCTATTGTAATATTAAATTCCTTATTGGGATTTTCTACAAATACAACTATTTTGGCTGGGAAGATGGGTTGATGTGGATGTTCAGTTCACAAGTTAGTATGATGGTTGATTGCTTCAATTGCGACAAATTTGCTTAAGATTTCGATTCTTCGCACCACCTCGAGAAGCTAATTCGCTATTGAAAGTGTGAATTGGTGGTCTTGTGTGTGCTATAAAATTTGCGGACACATTACCGGCGTTGCGTTATGTATGGCGTATCGTTAAATGATTAGTCCAACATTTCGCAAAAGCAATTCTTGATTCGACCATATCTCACAAAAATAAATAGCGTGTAGCATTTCTTTTGTATTATTTGGAGAAGGATGTCAGCTAATGCCATTAGTAGTATAGACTTAGTTCATCTGTTAATTAGAGACACTAATTCTAGTTTTCATAAAGAGTTTGAGATATTTAGCAAATGAATTATTTTGACCACATGATTTTGATGCTATACCATCATTTAGAGCGTTAATTAGGACTAATTTAATAGCGTAATTTAATAATACATTATATCTTCTTGGATTTGTGGATTTACTTGAATTTTGCACGAAGAAAGATATAAGTAAGATAATTTCTTTATTTATTATGGCAAGAATTCTTTTCTTATAAGAATTTTTTTTAAAAAAAAAGTGGTTAGAAGACAAATATGATTAAAAAAATCTGTAGTTGAGAAATTAAGATGATTGAATGGGTCAAATTTTAAAGTTCATTTCATTTTCAATTTCAGGTGGTAGTTTAAAGATTTATGGTTATGAATTAGAACCAAGTCGACCGTACGTTACACTTCTTGTATCAGTACGTGATACTACAAGAAGAATATTGGAGGAAGTATTAGAAAAATATGGTGTCAACAGAAATGTGGAGGAATTTGTTTTAGTTGAGGTAACTTTTCACTGTCACTGTCATTGATTTTTAGAATTAGCTGTACATTGTTTTATTAATGAGAGCGATACATAAAGCATTATCTAATGACTGAGTTTTTTTTTTTTTTTTTTTTTTTCTTTATCAGTTGAAGCTGCTAATTGATCTAGTTTCACTTCGACATCTAACTAATATGAAATGTTGATTTTAGGACAATAGAAAAATAATTGTTTCAACATTTGCAGATGGCGATACCTGTTTCTACGAAGCTTTCTCGTTCATTAAGTGATTTGCGATTCTTGAATATCAGTAGGCGTGAACGAATTATGGATTATAATGAGTATCCGTTGGTTAGCCTAGCAAATCATATACCAGATCCATCAGAGGAAATATTTTTTGTTGTGAAACAGCAATCATCAGAAGTACAAAAACGACATGCGCGTCATTCATCAATATCATCAACTGCAGCACTTGGAGTCAGTTACGCAGATCCGCAAAAGCTATGTATAGGAACCTCTCAAATTCTGCGCATACAAAATATTTTTGCTGTCAAACCATGTCTTTTACAACTAACTTCAGGTAATCTCTAGGTTGTATATTATAAATTTTTAAATGACACTTTATCTCATCTTATTTACCCCTTATTTATAATTTTTTACCCTTAATTTAATTTTTACCAGTTCCATTATTTCTATCACTGAAAAAAACTTTACTTTTTTTCACAAAACATTTTTTTTTTTCTGAGGTCTTAATTTCACTATATAGATATGAATTTAGATAGTAAAGAAATCCCAGAAATGAAACCAATACATATACCGTTTGGTGTCTTGGGTATAGGCTCAGATCGCTCGATGGGCTTATTTCTAGATGGGCAGAGTATCAAACCCCGACATGCCGTTATTAATTATCAGAATGGTATTGTAACGGTCACACCATCTGATCAAAGCGCATATATTGAGGTTTGTTCTTTAATACATGAAGTTTTAGAAGAGATAAATTGCATTAAAATGAAATACGAATTTAAAAAGATGAAATCTACAGATTGATGGTCAGCGTATTTCTCAAACTGTAGCTCTTCGTGATGGGAATATAATTGGTATTGGTCGCAGCCATATGTTTCGTTATCAAAGTTCTTGGGTTAGTTATTGAGGTTTTAAATTCTATTTTGAAAATTTTCTAAAATTCATGGTGATTATTATAAATGGAAATTTACAAAACAATTTGAGTTTCTAATTTTAAACACTTCGAATTGTTTGGGCCTCGGATGAGTGATGCTTAATTTTAGGATGCTGGAGAAGCGCATATGGTTAATGGAAACAATAATAAGTTAGAAATGGTTCCTGGATTGAGGAGGTCAGTATTCTATTCAGTTTATTTTCTTTACATCTAAATTAATGAAGACCGTTGTTGAACTTTGATTCCCGAGGTTTCTGTTGAGCTATCAAGGTAGAAGAAGGAAGAATGAAAGAAAAAAACCTTTCTTCAGTTTTTTAAATGATTGAAATATTTAATGAGATGATAATTTTAACGGAACTGAGTGTCTATATTCACGCATACTACTTTTGATAACCATTTTTCCGAGACTTCAAAAAATTATGTAAGCATTATCATTTTTGATTCCTTTGGATCCATTATGAAATTTTGTGATTATTGCAATCACTATTTTCTAGAAGGTTTAGAAAGGTGTTTTTAGTAAGTATATCTGGTATTTTGTTTATTCTTTTTTTGACAAAATTCACAAAAAATATCGTGATGTTTCCATCTTTTTTTTCCCCAGGTTCTTTTTTTTTTTTAATTAAAAAAAAACACATTGTATTCAATATTTTTTCTCCCATTATTTGTTCAAAATCATGGAGAAGCTTCTCGGTATACATCTTACTATTTGCAAAACTTAGATTAAATCATATGGAGTGTTTTATGTCTCTTAAATAAAATAATACAGCATGATTCATTGTTTGAATAGAGCAAGCAATGTTGATGACGAAAATATTTGCATATAAGCCTTCCGTAAAGCTTTACTTGTTTGTTAGATAGATATTAGCAATGTGTCAGTTTTCACTTCCAGACCATCTCTGAAAAACTAGTCTTGGGATTTTACTGTACAAATTTTCTAGTTCATTAACCAGTCGATTATTGGTATAAGTTTAGCTAAAAATAAAGAGTTGAAATTGTAACAGATAATTTAAAAAAAAAATTAAAGTAGTGTATTTTGATTTACTGGAAAACTTAGAACTTAAGTTGTCATTTCTTGTTGTAGAGTGGAAAATAGTAATTTTTCTGGTATAGAGAAGATCATAAAATTTGCAAATATTTCGTATTTAAAGTTTAGAAAAGATTTAGAATAAGTTTTTAAATGGAATAGCATAAATTATAACAAGAAAAAAAATGATCATTTGAAAAAATGATGTAAATTTTGGACCAAATCTGAGAAAATTCAAAGCGAAATAATGATTAATATTTGAATTTTTTTGGTATCATCTTCTTTAGCAATGATAAATTTCAAATTGTTCCATACGTCCAAATTCTTTCATTTTGGTCTTATTTGACTGAATTATTTATTTAAACATATTGTTTGCATAACTTTATACAAACGCTTAATTTTAAAAGAGCAATGAATTGTATCACTGACTCTTCTTTCTTCCTTCTTTCCATCTTTTCTTATTTTACCTTTTTTCCTATTTGAAATAATTGTTACATTGGCATGGTATGATGTATGGATGAGATGTTTATGTGTCATGCACATATAAGCAAACATTCATATCTACAGTTTTATATACATTCATTGTTTGATGATTCATATTTTACTTTGTCAATCATAAATATTCATTTCAAATTAGCCGGGGTGAAACCAAATCGAAACTATTAGTCATTTGCATATATGAATGGAAGTATTGTGGTAGAAAGAAGTAAAGAAATAGATAAGTAGAATAGAATGATTGGTATTTCTATGTGATGAATGATATTTGCTATAGATTATTGTGAAGTAAAAGTAGCTTAGGAATTAATATTGTTTTCTTGTTGGGAGTTTTTTTTTTCTTTTTTTTTGGAGTTATATAATCAAATTAAATTTATAGTTTTTTTTTTTTTTACTGATCATTCATTTAGAGGATTTCAAAAATTCTCATTGGTAACGATTAGTGAAATATTTTAAGAGGTAGTAAAGTAATTAACTTTATTAATGATGAAGGTATTGAAATATGTCCAAAATGTTAGTTTTTATTTTTGAAGATTTGCTGTATAAAAATCGTTTATTTGCCTGCGATGAGAATTGTCTTTCTGTTTACTTAAGGTAGGTAGTTCTTGATAAGAACATAATCGTGCAAACAATTGATCACATTGATGGTTATTCTATTATCTGTCTAACCTTAGTCGGTAATTTTCAATTTCAAAGCTCCATTTTTGCTTTATGTTGAATTGAAAAGTATTAGATAAATTATATTATAACTAGGAATATTATTCTGAAATTTTTTGAAAACTTTGAAATAGATGAGAAAAATAGTAAGTTTATTAGGAGGACAACCTGAAGTATTTTTGTTTTCTGTAGTATAATAACGATTGTCCGATATTTAATACAGTTTTTCTTTTAACATATGCGAAGCATTTCTTTTTCTCGTCTGTCAAATATCCCATTGATTCACTTAGTTAGAGAATTTTCCATTTTTTTTTTATGATAGAAATTATCATAAATTTCTTTTCTCACAAAAATGAGAAATTATTACAAAAAAAAAAAAAAAACAAAGTTTCATCTGAAATATCGATTTTAGCAGTGTTTATCATAGTTGATGTTTCAGATGAAAGATATGTTTAAATCTGTTTATACTAGAAAAGATATGTTTTCAAAACTTAAAGAAACTTTTTGGAATGAAATTAAATCTATTTCGGAATGAAGCATCAGATCTATTTTCCTTTTCCTGTTCAGTTCATTTTTTTTTCTCATTTATGAGTTATTATGATATCCGCTTTTTACGAAATTCATCAAAATTATCCTTTTTTTTTTCGTATTCTTAGTTCTGAAAGAAGCAGTATGAAAGGAATGGAGACAACGTTCGATGTTGATGGTAGTATGATATCAACTCCAATTGAAACATCAGGAATATTATCATCATCATTCTGTGTTAATCATCATTCTGGTTCGAACAGAAGTTTGCATCTCTTTGGTATACCACTTCCAGGTTTAGCAACTCATATAAGATGTAAATCAAATACTGATATTCCATTATTTATTGCTGCAAATGCTAATAAAAAGAGTGGAAGAATATCGTCTGATTTACTCAATCAATTGTAAGCTCTAAGAATTTGCATTTTATAAGAAATTAAATTTAAATCAAGTAATATGTTTGCAAATTAAAACTTAATTTTCCTTTTTCATTTCATTTAGTTCCTTGTATTTACTATAGCTCTGATTTGAATTAATTTTAGCATTCGTTAGTTTAACATTTCTTATTGTTTCATTATTTTCTAATCACTTATAATACCTAATGTATTTAAACAATTTTCCATTAACAAAAATAGTTTTAGGATTAATTTTTTCATATAAATTCAGCGATTATTAATAAATTAATATATTTAGTTTATGTAAAAATTGGGCAATTATGAATTAATTTTATTATTTACTAATTTTCTATTCACAGAGATTTAAGAGAAGTGTAGCAGAACTGATAGAATTTTAGGATGTATTTAAAGATTTTCCACTTTTTTTTCTTCGAATTGAAACGTTCTGTATCAGTAAATGTGTTTACTATATTATAAATTCCCTTTCTTTTCCATTAAAATTTTTATCCTTCCCAAAATGTTTGTTAAATCATCCATGGATAGCATTTCCTTGCTTAAACTATGATTTCTTAATTGTTTACACAAAATATTAACAAAATCGGCTAAAAACTCACTATTGTTCAAAAATCAATAATAGTTTAGTCCTTTTGAAAAAAAAAAGAGGTAAATTAACTTTAACGAATTTTTGAGCTAATCTTTTGGTAGTTTTATTTTTATATTTTGCAATGCCAAATCTGCTCAGCTTATCATCCATCCATGATTTCTTTTTTTTTTGTTTTGAGTATTACCCAGCTTAGTATTGCTTATCTCATTACTGAGTCTAGCTTAGCATTGCTTATCCTTGCATTCGAATCCTATCTCTTGTCTTTATCTATCCCAACTTTTCATGAAGAGATTATCTTACAACTTAGCTCTTTCTATATTTATTTCACTTATTGGCATGAATGATATTATCATCTTCTTGCTAGTCATCCCTAATTTTTCAAATTTCAATTATTTCACCACTTTTAGGTTAGCATCATCATCAACAATAAGCGAAGGAGTAGGAAATGTTTCAACATCTACCATAAGTAGACTTGGAACTGAGAAATCAATGTGTACGGCTGATACATTACCAGCTTTGGCTGAAGTAAGAGAAGAAGGTTTGTAATTTTTAGTGAGAAATTAGACATTTATCATCCTAATAACAAACTAAATTGAAAATATTTCTAACTGTTTATCAGTTATTTCATTACTTTTGTAATTTTTAAAATTAATAATATTTGGAGAATTTTTTCTTAGCTGAAGACGAATTTCTGCATCGACTAATTTGTTTTGAAAGAGAAAATGCACAGTTCAAACTTACGCCAGCATATGTGGTGTACGTGGTTGCACGTCATCGATTGTTGTTTCCTTCGCAAACAGTTTCTACTGATAGCCGCACGCGATTACAACTTTTTTTAACAAAAGCTGCTAATCGTTTTCTTCTTGTTTCAAAGGTTTTTGAACTAATTTCAATTTAATCAGTTCAATACGAAAAAAAAAAAATTGAAACTGAATAATCGGTTGACAGTAGTCATTAGGCAATCAGACCGCTAGCTTAAAAATTATTTATTAAATTGGAATTTGAATTATATGCAGTTCTGGTGAGCTTTTCTTTCTAATTTTACAACTTTTACAACTCAAAAATATTATAGCAAAGACGATCGCGAGAATCTCTAGGATTCTGGTTAGCAAATTCAAGTGAATTGTTGAATTTTTTCAAGCAGGACGTCGACTTAGCAATATTGTCACGTGGTATGCCTCAGCAGATTTTAGCTGGTTGTGTTGAAAAAACATTTGAAATGCTGGGAACAGTGTTAAAAAGTAGTTTGGATAGCACACTAAACTCAATAAGAGATGCATTCTTGGATGATCGATCTGCTTCACGTATGTGTTCATTTTTTTTACAAGGAGATGAGAGTTTTTTTCTTTTTTTCTTGTTTCGGATTTTTTAAAAATCAAATCTAATGGAGACAATCACAAGATAAACTGTTATAATCATATGTTTTTTTAAAAATTTTTTTAAAAGTACAGAAATTGGATGAATAATTTTGTTTTGTTTTTCTTTTGAATGACTGCTTATTTGTCTTGATTTCATTTCTCAAGCTTTTATTAGAAAATTTGGTTAAATAAATTAAAGGAAATTCATTATCTTTGCTATAGTTACCATTTCAATGAATCATTGATTTGACTAAAATTTTTAAAAGCTTAGCTGAAATTTAGCTAAATCAATCATATTTCAGATGATCTAGTTGCAAGATTGGAGGAAATTATGTGTTTGTTACGTCGTTGTCGCTTGAATGCAGCATTAACAATTCAGTTATTCTCACAATTATTTTATCACATAAATGTGGTACTCTTTAATTGGCTTGTATCTTCATCTGGCATACCATACTGTAGTCGAGCTTTCGGTGTTCGGTATGTTTCTTCCAGATAAATTCATTTATTATACAACTGCATTTTCCAACTGGAAGTTTACTAATTTGGAAAGAATGCTGTATAGTTAACCAAATGCATAGCTCAAATCAACATGTGAGAATCTTTTACAGTCAATTATGTTACACTAAATTCAGTTTTAGTTAAGGAAACTCAAATTTCATAGTTAAACTTAACAGCGAATATCGGTTTAATGGAAGCAGATCGAAATTATCAGTGATTTGTTTGGATTTAGTTTTAATTCATAATGTATTTCTGAATTTTTGACCTTTATTTTGTTGCATTTACTAGTGTAGTATTATTTAATACATTATTTCTGAAAACGCCTAATCTATCGATTTTAGACTGCGAACTCGTCTTAATTACGTGAATGAATGGGCTTACCAGCAAGGACTGGAATTAGCAGCTGAATGTCACATGGATCGTATCAATCAAGCAATAATTCTTCTTGTAACACCAAAAACTGTTGATCATATTGGTAATTTAGGTGCAACGTGCTACAAATTGAATAGCGTACAAGTAAGTCTGATTTTTAAAGTTTCATTTTGTTTCACAATAATTCTCCACGAACAAAAATTTTACTGATCGAATTTCTCTGAGAGGAAATTAACAAATTCTACCATTTTCAGGATTTACTTGCAAGCTCATATGTTTTGAGAAAGATTAATTAATATTGTGAAAAAAAAGGAAAACTACTTACAAATCTGCCACATAATTGTTTGCCATTCTATTCGAACTCTTGAACTTAGTTCCAAAATTTCAATCACTGCTAGTAACAATAAAAATACATTCACTAGATGTTTATATATTTTGTGATATCAAATGATGTATCTGTTTAATAATTTTTGAAGTTTTACATAATCGGTAATTTTTAAGGTACGTTGGTTCCTTGAGCACATAGTTCTGGATGTTGGTGAAGAGCCAGTCTTGAATGAACTAGTTGAAAGTGTTGTACGGCTTGCGGAAATTCATGCAGATGTAATGGCAGCACAAGATAAAGCATCTATACAACTTGAAGAAGAACCACAATTGCAATTGCCTTTTCTTCTTCCTCAAGATGGCTATTCTCCAGGTTTTTTTTCTTTTTTTAGGAAGTAAAAAAAAAAGTTTTGTACTTTGTAAATTATTCACTTAGTTCCATGTCTTCCAGAAATGTAATTTTTACTTCCTCCCTAAATGTGTATCTTTCGTTCTATCTTTTATTTCCTAACGGAGAAGAATTATGTTGATATTTATTGGTGCACAGAAACTTTTTAATGCTTTTTTTTGGTTATTTTTTTTCTATATTATGCTTATCTGTCAAACGTTTATTTGTTTATTTCTATTTAGATATAAATACTTTGAGACTAGTGGAAAATTTGTGTTTTTTTTTTATTACATTAATCTTAAATGTTTTTTTTTCAAATGGTTCGAATTTTCAGATCTTATCCGTGGACTTTCTCCCGCTTTTGCTGAAGTAATTAGTAGTCTACAAGCGCAAGGTACTGAACAATCCTGTATTTCATTCTTAAATTTTATGCTGATTTTTTAATAACTTTCTCGAATTTTTAAGCTTTAAGGATTTTTAGAAGATTTTATTCGCATTTTATATTACAAAGAACCAATACTGTTGCAGAAAATCATTTGGAATGTGATTTTTTTTTTTTTTTTTCTTTCAAAACTTTTCAGGTTTATGTCGTTTCCTTCCACAAAACCAGTCCTCAGGTAGTTGGACAGTTTATTTAAAAACTGCATCTCCTACTGAAGAATCTACGAAGGCAATCGGCTCACTGCAAAGATTACAGGTATACATTGACTTCTGAAAATAATTACGGATCTGGTTTTAATTTACATTAGAGATATATGGTTGAATATTTTGTTCGGTATATCTGTATGCAGTTTTTGGATGGATTAAGATTTTAGAAACCTACCATTTTATGGCAATTTATATTTCTTGACTTTGGAACAATTGGACGTTTCTTTCAATAGTTAATTTATGGAAAAGGATAGGAAATAATGAAAAAAGTAACTTATTGTGAGAGATTATAAAAAGAAAAGTCAGTGGTTAAAGGTGATTATAAAAGGGATTCAAACTGTTGGATAATACTAAACAGCTGTTAGTTTAGTGTAATTTTAAGTGTTAAATTAAGTATATAGCAACATTTGAAGGTGTAAAGAAGAAGATGAGAGTAGAAGATAGAAAAAGAAATGATCATCAGGTAGCCTAATTTTTACTATAGTTGTATTAAACTGGAAAAAGAAACCTTGGAAATCTTTATATTTGGTATAATTGATGACATATGAATAATATGAAGAATATAATAATGAAACTTTGCGTGATTTTATTTGATGATTTTGGCAAACATCAATAAGTATGTCAGAGTAAGAGTGTTAGTTATCATCATCATCATCATCATCATCATCACTTATTCCTGTCATTTTTCACATATAATTTTCATGTCATCATTCATCACAACTTGATATATATATATCCATTTTCAAGTGTATAAAAATGTTCATATAATGGAAATTAGAAAGAATTCTCGTCCATTTTTTTTTTTTTTTTGTTCGTTATTTGTTCCATTTATCTGAAACAACCTCATTTTCATTGTCAATCAGAATATCTTCCTTTTTTCCTTCCGTATTTTTTAACGTCCTTTCACAGATTTTAAGAAAGTTTCAATCGGAAAAACTAATATTGTGAATGGGCGTGTGTGTGTGTGTGTGTGTGTGTGTGTGTGTGTGTGTGTGTGTGTGTGTGTGTGTGTGTGTGTGTGTGTGTGTGTGTGTGTGTGTGTGTGTGTGTGTGTGTGTGTGTGTGTGTGTGTGTGTGTCTTTCGTGATTTTCATAATTTATTTCCGTACAATTCAAGAATCATTCAGAAAAGATGAAAAATGAGACATTTGTTTGATTGATGATTATACTTTGGTATTTTTTTTTTTTTTCAAAAGGATTATAAAGAAAGCTAAAATTTCCTTTATTCATATCAGCTCATATATACTAATTTATTTCGCATTGCTCATTGATTTCTAAGAATACATTTAAATTTTATTCAAGAACTATTTTACTACTTTCGCTTCGCCTACCTACAACCAAATTATTACTTGAAATTATCGGATTAACGAGGAGCTGTTTAAGAAAATTCATCTCTCTTTTCTTCATTCTTCATGTTTAACTTGAAATAAGTTATATATATATATATGGAATATTTGGGAAAATTTCTTAAACCATAAGCATATGGTATACATATGTACGTTACAGAACAAAGAACAAACTGAGTCAGAAATGGGAACACTATCGAATAGTCTACATGAGCAAATATCAATGTCCAGTATGAATTCATTACCCAAACGAGTAAGTTTAAATTGATTTTTTTGATTTTTGGTATTTTTAAAATTGTTAAGCTAATCTTTTAAAATTTTATATTTATGACCATCAAAAATGCTGGTAATTTTATAGCTGAGTGTCCTGGTTAAATAAGTGACAAGAAGATTCTCAAATCTTTTTTTTTTTTTTTTTTCTTTAATTTGGAATCGCTGCAGTTTGGTATCTATATTACTAGTATTTACTCACATACTGGTTATAATATTGTTATAGTAATGATTATATAAATGTGGCAAATTGTATTTTCTTTTGTTCTTAATCTTACTTAGACTTAAAGTTAAAGCAGTAAGGTTCTGAATCATTCACTGAGTCTGTAGTGTATAATTTTCATTAAGTCATTTGGAGTGGAATTGTGAAACCTTAATTTTTTTTTTGATATTGAAGTTTATGGCTGTTTAATTTCAAATTAATCTTATGCAGTTTTCTGATGCGTATCGATTGATCATTAATTAAAATATGTATTTATCAGCTGAAATTTTAAATTTTGTTTTGCAAAATAAGATATATTATTGTGTGAATATATGCAGCAAAGTAGTAGTAAATGACTGATGTACGGTTTTATTAAGTGGTGAATGTTTGATTGATTCTTATACTTGTAGTTTTATTCATTTTTCTATCTTCAATTTGAACAAATAATTGCAAAGAAAGTTTTTTTTTTTTTTTTTTTTTTTTTCCAAATTTTAGCACATTTCAGGAACGAGATTCAGAGATTGTAGTGATCACTATTAATCGTGGTACTGGTGGAATTGGATTAAGTATTGTAGCCGCTCAGGTATATTTTATATTTTATTCATTTCTTATATATTATTTTTTTTTTTAAAAAATTTTCTGCTAATCAGTAGTTTAAAAAAGATCATATATGCATATATATGTTTTCGTTTTTATATCTTATGATTGCTGCTTTTTTTTCTACTCAAATGAATGAAAGACATCATAAAATTTTATTACCAAATACAAATCACTCAAAATTCCTCCATTCTTTCCATCTAAATCTTTATTTTCATGTAAAGATAATTGTATTTAAATGTCTTTTTTTTTTAATGTGGCAATGAAGTTCAACCAAAAATTGAACATTCACAAATCACTAACTTTTGCAACTTTAAAAAAAAAAAAAAGAAAAAAAAAACATTTGAAAGTAGGAAAACAAAGAGGAAGAAAGTTTTAACTTGCTATTCTTCTATTTTGCTATGTTGCGCTACTGCTTCTTCCTCTCTCTTATTAAAATGTATCTTTTCTTCTTACTCTATTATTTTCAGTCCCCTGTTATTCTGTTATTTGTATTTTTCTTAAATTTTGTCAGTATGAAAAGAGAATTGGAATGATATTGATAGAAAAGCCAATTTGAAAGAGAGGAGGAGGAGGAGTATATCAATGTAACTAATAGATATCTAAAATTACATCAGCGATGGAAAATTTGCCTTATCGTTACCAATCTACAACATATCACAGATGACATTAGTAAACATTAAATAGAATATTTCTCAACCAAAGTTATAATTGTTGAACTGATAGTTAACACCTTGATGATATCTCATATAACCTATTTTACTTTAGATAGCAGAATTGTTCCTCTTACTATATTGCACATTTGTGAAATATCTACGTCTAATCCAATTTATAATACTTATAAAAATTGTTATTTTATCTAATTTTCCTATAACTGATCATTTATCTCTGATCATTTAACTTTATTACCATCTCACATACGCTTATCATTCATTTTCCATATTTTATTCTTATTTTTGCTTCCTATATTAGTATATTCTTTTTTGCAATTACTACTGTACTATTTTACATTTCTATTCTTTTCTTCATTTTACTATCTCTTTGCACAATTATTTGGAAAAACTTATTCATAGTTAATTAAAAAAGGAAACAAAAAAAACAAAAAAAAAAAAAAGTGAAATAAAAAAAGAAAAAATCAATTTCAATCTGTTATTTCATTCTTCTGTTCTGCATACTGTAATCGTGCTGATTATCATTGTTTTGGTGGCGATTTTTTTATTTTCACAAACGGATCCTAATAACAATTTACCTGACATATTTATTATCTGAAAGAGTATTTAATCTACACTTTTTATTTTCTAAAATGATGTTTTGCGTGGTTCAGGGGGTTGGTGAACATTCCATTGGTATTTATGTGAAGAAAGTTGTGGATGGTAGTGCTGCATATCGAGTTTGTTTTCCTTTTTTTTTTTTGTTTTGTTTTGTTTTGTTTTTTTTTTTCCTTTTTTGTTTGGATTATTTCACTTGAAGACTTTTATGTCTAAAAAAAGATTTTTTTTTTACATTATCAATTGCAAATCTTTATAGTTTAGAGTTAGTAGATCATTAAAAAATTTGATGTTTTTTTGAATTAGCATATTTCAGAAATGTTTTCTATTAAGATCTATTCTGACAACAAAAATCTATCTGTCAAGTTTATTATTTTAATAAATTAATTATTATCAAATAAAGTTTTTAGTTTGGAAATTTGAAAAATAAAAAGTTGTGAATTTTAAGGATGGTCGCCTTGAATCTGGCGATCAATTACTTTCCGTTAATGGCCAATCACTTATTGGTATCAGCCAAGAAGAGTATGTTTTGAGATATATTATTAAATTTCATTTGTTACTCAGTAAAAAACTGAAAATATTAATTTTGGTTAAGATGATAGATAAGATCAAATTATCAAAGCGATTTCAAGTTAATCCTTTGTTTATTTTTTATAAATACTTTAGCAACCTTTTAGCAGTTTGAATTGGAATATTTCTTTTTTTTTTCTTGAAATAATCTGTTGGTCAAAAAAAAAGAAAAGAAAAAAAAATGTTTGTCCCTCAAATTGTATGAGTCATGTTGAAAATTTACATTCTACGAATGAAATTGATCATTTTTTGCTGTTATTCTAAGCATAAGATTTTTTCTTTATTTTTTTTTGTAATATAAAAGTGTTATAGCAATTTTAGGAACATTTTGCAATCTTTTTGTATTCTAAAGAATGAATAGATGATGATGATATAGTAGAGAATGTTGATTGGTTATTGTCACCTACAGACATTATACATTTGCAAAACGAGAAAATTGTTATTGAATCAATTATTCATTTATTTATTTTTAGAGCGGCATCGAAGATGTCCTCGAGTGGACCAATCGTATCGTTTGAGGTATACAAACATGCCGCACGATACAATGGTCTATATGAATGGTTGAAAAATCCTCCGCAAGCACAAGTATCATCATCAGGCATTAATTCTAGTATACAAGTCGGTCTTTTCTAAGACTTATTTCTTTCTTTTCGAAGTTTATCTCATTTCATTCTTTTTTTTTTTCTTCTTTCTTCTTTCTTCTTAGCTATGATAAAATACAGACCGTTATATATGAGACAATTGCCGAAGAAGAAAATCCTTTTTGTAACTTCAATGACCAATCTATCCATCTTAACAAGTGTCTTTGTCTTTTTACATTCACAGTATTGTAATTGATTACAAAATATTGTAGATTCAATTTATGAACTATAGTCTTAAAATACAGTGAAATTATAACGAGTCAACCTGTTCGTGAAGAATTAATTTTATTGTATTTGAAAGTGACCTTAGTGATGACATAATGCATTTATGTTCCAAAACAAACCGTTAACAATGTTTATGACACAAAAGATTTGAATAATCATGAGGACATTGCCCGCATGTTGATTATGAAAAGTGAAATAATTAGCAAAATTACCAGAATTACCGAAACTTTTCACCAATATTTGTATGATTGTTATATTGCAGACAGGTCAGCTACCTTCTTCTGGCCAACAACCGATCATGCCGAATTCTTCAGAAAATGCATCTTTTGACGGTAATCATATGCATTTTTCATTGTTAAATTGTTTCAGTTCTTGGATATCTTATTGTAGCAATTTTAATTTTACCACTTGCCAGTTGAAAATAAAAATATTCTCTCAAAATAAGAGAATACTTTTAATAGATTTGAACTGAAAATTAATACATAATCTGTTGTGAATCAAATTGTTTAATTGTCACAACTCGATGTTTCTCATTTGGTGCATACTTTCCGTTACAATTTAAAATTTAGTGCATTTACAATAAAATTTGTGTTTAAATTTCATAATTTGAATCAAACATGAGTCATAATATTTTATGGACTATATTATTTTTGTGTTACAGCTATCACTAACACTCAGCGATTTTCATATCAAAATTCAAACGCGTCGATGAATTCTAATTACTCCAACAATGCTCACTTCAACTTAATGGTGCTTTTCTTGAATTATTATGGATTATATTATTCATAACTTGCTAGTTGAAAACAAAAAAATATTATGAATTATTAATAAAATTTTGTTCTTTGCTTTTTGTTTTTTTGTTTTATAATTTCATTATACAATTTCATCGCAATTGCTGATATCATTGTTGTTGAGATTTGGTCGCAGGTTAAATGATAGCCTTATCAGCTTTGCTTGTCCTGGATCAATTTACTTCCACATCATTTATCACAGAAACATCTTACATATATTATTAAAGTTTATTAATTATATTTTATTTTCAGAAACCTGCACGCAATGGATGTGCTGGGACAACGATTAATAGCACTTATCAGATGCAGCCACAGCATGATTCAATTACTGCAACTGATCAGCAACTAATCAAAAATCGATCATCTTCAACATCTGACATTTATCAGAATCCGGTTTGATTTATCAATTCACAATATTGTGCAAATTTTTCAATCTACGTATGCTTTATTTTTCTTTAATCATCATTTTCAGGTTGACAAGGCATTGACCGTTTCTCTGACATCGTTACAGCCATCTTCCGGTACTACCACAGTTCCAGCAGTACACTGTGAAAAATATCAGACAAGTACAACAAATTCGCAACGTAGTACCATGCCATCTCATTATCGAAATATTCGTCCCATCGTTATTCAGCCATCACGTCCTACACCATCACCAACTTTACGTCAACAACAGCAACAACAACAGAAGTATCATACACGTTCACATTCTCCATCTCATCTTTATGCCAATTCTGCTTTATCATCCACTCATTGCCAGAATTCGACATTGAAAAATACTCTATCAGTAAGTTCTTTTTTTTTTTTTCTTAAAAATGTGCACCATTCATACTTATCTTTTAACTCTACCAAGTGTTTTCATTATCTTACTGTCATATACATTCTTGTATATTTCATGCCAGTTCTCATTAAAAATTTCTTTACATCGTATGCAATATTTCTTTAATCAGCTCATTTAGTACAACTTTTGAATTTTTACTTTTGGCTTAATGAAAATTTGTTTCCTTCTTAGCATCTTTATTTCAAATCAAAATTTTGAAAAGAAAAATGAAAATTCGTTTCGGAAATTCAAGTTTAAATTAAATTTGGTAACTTGGAGGTTAATTTTTTAATCATCTTTGCTAGTTTCTCTATTTCCTTCTCATTTGTTTACTTTGCAGTCGGAATATGTTTTGTCAAGTGCATCATCATCACCGATTACTGATTATGCAAATTTACCTTTAATCGAAGATCATCATTCTACCTTCGATTCATCCTATTCTTCTACCTCTTCACGCATTCTTCCATATCAGCGTCATTTTCCACACATTTCTACGCAGCAACAATTTGAGACTTCACGAACTGCTAACACAAATTCCACATTACGTGAGCAAAATTCGGTTGCTTCTACGTCATCATCTCACAATTCTTCACGATCATCGGTTATTGCTGCAATGCAAGAACCGGGAGTAGCGATGGATGAATGTACGGGACGTCGGTTTACGAAGAAAGCACCACCTGTACCACCCAAACGTCATGTCACTGTAAGTTTTTTATGTTCGGTTTCCTTTCTCCCTTCGTACTATCATATTTTGGTTGGTTTTAAATGAACCTCTTATTTTCTTTCGAAATTTATAGTTTTTAATGTAGGTCTTCCAATCTCTTTCACATTAACATGTTCTTATTCTTTTTTTTAAAAAAAGAAAGAAGTCCTTAACATTTTATATTTTGAAGAGACGAGATGAGTTGAACGAGCAACTGGATAAGCTTGAATCAAAAGGTTCCGCAATGACCGAAGCAGATCATCAAAAATATCGTGAGCTTGTTAACGAATTAGCAAAAATCCGCGTACCATTTCCAGTTGAATCAAATTCAAACAAAAACATTGCTCAGCGGGAACATTTGAAATCCGTATCACCAGAGATCGTTATTTCTACAAGAGGGGATGGTTCATGTTTTGAACGACCGAAAAACTTATCAATATCGGAAAAATGTGAAAATACATCAAGCAAACTAGGTTGGTAAAAATTCAGTTTAGATTTGGTGTATATTCTGCACTGTTCTTTCATTCGCATCATTGATTTTTATGACCAGACATTTAGATAACATTTTTAGAAGTGAATAATGTGGAAAAAATAGCTGAACAGCAGAAACAGGACACTCTTGCAAGAGATCAAGAGAGATTTATGGAAGAAAAGAAAGATTCGTTGTCGACCAAGTATGTTTTCTTGATTTAAGTAATCAGTTTTTGCTCATATTTCAGGAGATCAGAAATTATTTCACAGCAAAACTTCATAGTTCAACAATCCCTTTGTGAAAATCATATTCAAAATTTCATTTAGTGAAAATTTCGATGAGACGATAACGAAGAAGAAGGGAGTACAGTGGGGTAACAGCGTTGAGGAGAATTTTGAAAAACGAGATTCGGATGGTGACAATAAACTTATGTATGAAGATGACGATCAACCGGAACCAAGAGCTCAGGTGAGTTTTTTTATTTATAAAAAGATAATGTTTTACTTATTTCTTGATTCATTCTATCGTAAAGGATCCACCACATTAAGTACCACTCCTTATTTCAGGTACTTGGTACCCATGAAGTATATCGAGATCCACGACAGGCACGTCTCATTGAACTGGAAGCAAAGCAACATGCAGCAAAAGAGGCAAAGGTGATTTTTTGGTTTTTATTGGATAAGCTCTGTGTATAACAAGTAGTGAGAATCTCTGTATATAATAAGTAGTGAGAATTAGAATCTTCGTCTTTTCTAGGACTTTTCTAGGGATTGTAGACAAATTACAGAAAACCTGAACAACTTAAAAATTTTTTTTTTTTGAAATCAATTTTTTTGTCAGATTGATGGCTCCAAGTTAGGATTCCGCGATAAAATGCAATTATTTGCTGAACAAATCGGTGAGAAAGCTCTAAAGGATCGTTATAAAGCATCTACTATACAGCGTGAAATCGAACAAACAATGGATGATTTCTGAAATCCTTCCCTGAATATTGGACTTGGTTAATAAATATAGCATTATGCAAGTGAAGTACAAATTCATGGTTATGCTTGACTTCTTTTTCTATAAAAAAAAACTGTTAGTTCTTTTTATGTGACAATTCAAGGATTATTCGAGAAAATGATTAATAGTAGTTGTTCGTTGACACAAACATATACGTTTTTTTTTTTTTTTTTTTTTCCTGCTAATATATGATGGAAGAAAACGAAAATTTGTAAACATTAATTTGATGTGTTTAATAAAAAGCTTTTCATGAATTCAAAAACTGTGAAACATTTATCATTAGCATAGAGATTTAATAATGAATATATGGTTTGACTTAAGTTGACTTATTTTCTTGAATTATTGTTCTTTTTTTTTTTTTTTTTTTGTTTTCATTTAATAACATTCGGTACCACATTCTCACTTACACAATAGTTTGTTATGAAAAACCAATGATATTTTTATAATATTACTCTTTCAAAAATATTGTTGAATTGTTGTACCTTGTAAATATCATTCGTTTATGTTCTCAAAGATTTCAGCTTTATTGTTCATATATATATGTATTTGATTTATACATACGTCTTTTATATTATTTATTTGGCACTTATAGCAATATTAATTGTTTTTAAATCGTTTTTTTTTTTTCTTTTTTTTAATATTGCGTGTATTATATATCTCTCATACAATCTCACACTTAGGTAGGTCTCGTGTAATCTTAACCATCTTTGTTTAAATTCGTCGATATTATTTTATTTATATATTTTATGGTTTTTATTGCAATATTTCTCTCCAATTATTTATTTTATTTTGCAATTTTGAATCATTTAGATTCATTTTTATATTTTTGCTCTGCTTTACTCATTTTGCCTTTTTATTTCACTATGTGCATACAATTTTTTGCACATGTTTTTTCTTTTTTTTTTTGTTTTTAAGTTGGCTTTAGCGAAAGATTTTAGGAACTGAACTTTTTTTCTAAGTGTATTTTCTTTTGCTAAATAACTCGGTTAATACTGAGAGTTTCGCCCAAATGTACAATCTTTAACTGTCAGTTATTATCATGAGACACCTTTGTTATTCATACTGTCATTGGATGAGTGATCAAGTTGTAGCATAGATTACTTTCTGATCATTTTCGAAAAAGGTAAAAATTCATACCACTTATTAAATTACACTTCATAATATTAGAAGAACACATATATGCATTAGAGTTTCAAGATAAAAGTGGGATTCTTGAGCAGCAAAATATATATATTCAAGGTAATCATCGATAAAAAAAGAAAATTTTGAGTGGATTTATTGTTCGAGATTAAATATTTATTTAAATTTAAATGGATTTTCTTTTTTGAAATACTATTAAATGAGAATAGCAAGTGACTAGTGACAACACTTATATGACATCCTGCTATATTAAATTTGTAATTCCTCTATGCATTTATTTTCATTTTTCTCATTTTGCTAAACAAATTTGATTCATATTATTTCTTCCTTATTATCATCACATCTCTATCAGTGCTACATCAGTGGCTTTCAGAAATGTTTTAGCTATTATCAAAGATCATCAACACTTTGCTGCTATTGTATCCTACGGCTTTTTCTTTCTCTCAAGCTATTTTCTCTCAAGCGAAATTTTTATCAAATTTTGCATTTCATTTATTTTGGAAAAGTTTTTTCATTCTATATTACTAAAATATTTATGCGCTTGAATGATAAAAAAAGAGTATAAATATTTTTCAAACTATTAATAAATTCATTTCAAAATAATTTTTGTTCACTTAATTTAATTTATTCATTTTATCTCAATTTTCATTAATAAATTTGCGGAGATTTTAATTGTCCAGTTTTCATACAAAATTATGTTAACAAAAATAGGTATTAGCATTAACAGTATTACCATTCATTTTGATATTTACAAAACTTAGATGAAAACAATATGTAGTGGATAGGAAATTATAGGAAAATATGATACGATATATGATATTAAATGGAATTCTTTTTATATTTGAAAGGGTAGAAGAACAGATCAAGAAATATAAGGTTGGTTTGTTTACTTGATTACCTTGATTACTTTGATCCTTGATTAACTGAGATTTTTCCTGTGATCGTTTCTTCATTCTACCGTATATCCTTCAATTCCAGCTGCTCTTTTCTTATCTCACTTCCTTTCTCATTTTGATACATGTGGGAAAGTAGAAAATAAATGATAATTAAATTTTTATTTTATTTTTTGTTCTTGCTTCGAAATCCTAATAATCATGTTGTGGGGTACAGTATATGCACTCCACGGGATACGGTATATGGTCGCGCACGCAGATACGGTACACCTGCATGTAGTAGTAGAAGCATTACAGTACATAACATAACACATTTATATACAAACATATGAGAACTAATGTCCAACGAAAAGTATATTTCAGCAATTTTATTCACTTCATTTATTTTATGATACCAGCAAATTTACAGTATTAACATTCAATCAAGCATGAAGATATGCAATTTATGTATGATCGAATAGAAAAAATTAAAACTGCAAATTCAAATCAAGTTTATCTTATTCTAAGTTTACCATAATTTCAGTTCTTTTTTTTTTTTTTTTTTATTGCTTTTTTGTGATTAGGTTGTCCTTGTAAACTTTGAATTTTCGAAACCTATAATCAACTTCTAGCAATAATTATTGTATTTTGGTATGAAATAAGATTTATTTGAAATCAGGAAAACGTTTTAAAATTATCAGTTTTATACATAAATTCATTATTTTACAATGTTTGATAATTTTATCAATATTTTTGTATAATTGAATACAAAATTGAATCAATTATAGATGGAAAACTTAAACAAACACCAATACGTAATAACAATATAAATTCAGAGATTATCTTTATTTACCGATTTAATTTACCGGAACCATAAAATTCACTACTATTTATTATTAAAAAATAAATTAGGATTAAATCAAAACACAGCAAATGAAAATTATATATACAACATGTTTTTTTTTTTTTTTCAACAAAAAAATAACACTTTTTTGTTTCATTAAAATTAATTTTGAAAAAGGAAAACATTGACTAAACACTGTGTCCAAATTTTATAAATTTGATATCGAAATCCTTTTTTTTTTTTTTCCTTTTCTTTTTTTTGAAGTCATAAAACTTCAAACAAATTATGCCTCTACATGCTTATATTAATATACGGAATTTTAATAAAGATGATCTAAATCAAATATTTTTACTAAAACGACTAAAAGTTGGAAGAATTTCAGAAATTTCATTTAAAAATTCATTTTATTTGTTAGAAGTTATGATATCGTTTATATTTCACACAAAATCAAAAAGTTATTTAAAAGAAGTAAAAGCTATTATATATTTATATATATATATATATATTACCCTCTTTACCCTGATTAATTAATTAACGACCAATGAATACCATTTGAGGGTAAAAAATGAATGATCTAATATTAGTTTAAAATACTAACTCAAACTAATTGCCTCAATTTTTTTTTCCTTTTTTATTTCATTTTTTTTTTTTTTTTTTTTGATTATTTCTTTTCCATATTTTGTTATTATTATAGAATTTCAATATTAAACTTACTGAAAAATGCGTGAAGGTATAATACGAATGACCCGCAAATTGGTTTGAAAGTATATTTTAAACAAAGAAATGAATTTAAATTTGCTACAAATAAATTTGATTAGGCCGATGAATTTTTGATTGCTTTAATTTGTCTTTAAATGACGATGAATGTGACAAATCTTCCACCTAGAAAATAACATATTATAATTTATTCGTCTTTCATTTTCTTGCTTTTCTCTTTAAATTTGATAATTCTTCATTTAATTTAATTCCAAATTAATCTAATAGATTTTAAATTATTTCATTATAAATTTGACTATAATGAATGTATAAATGATTTGAAATGATTAAAAATTATGAGACAAAATTTCTTTTGAACAAATTTGATATTTTTTAATTACGAATAAATTTGCAATTATATTTTACCAAATATTCAAGATATTTTTTAAACATCATTTATAATATTTACAACTAAAATTTAAAATACTTATGAGGAATGTTTTTTTTTTTTCTTTCAAATAGATATTTAAAGTAAAAATAATAACAAACCATAAGCGATATGGGCGAATCTGATCGTAATGGTATAGCACCGCTAAATTTTGATATTGATTCATATGCATTGATAATGCTTAACGATGGTGATGATAATCTAAAATTTGCACATTAGAAATAATTTTAGGTGTAATTTTAATGATAACAATAATAATTCAAATAGATTTTTCATTTTAACCTTAAATTTGATCTAATAGTAGGGTATTAGATAATTGAAATAGTATTTTGAAACGTTGCTCATGAGTAATTTATCGTTGCAATTTTGGTAATAAAATTTTCCTAAATATATTCCATCTATTTCAAATGTTTGATATAAATTTAATTTGATAATGTTTAAAAATTTTATATTAAGTTTTGATAGAATTTTTATGTTTTAATAAACTATTTGAATAATTTATATTAATGATAATGGATATAAATCAAATTACCTGGTACCAAAGATCGGTTGAGGTGTAGTGGTACTAAATGATTGACATGATGAAGACTTTCCTTTATTTGATAATTTCCAACGATAATATAAGTTTCCAACAAAAAAACCAATAAATATTGCAAATGTTGCAATGGAAGCACAAAGTATTGGCAGAAAAAAACTATGTTCAATTAATGAATATGCAGTCGATTCTGTAAATTTTTCCTTTTTTTCCATAATTAAATTCAAAAATTTTCAAAACAAATAAATTAGAACGGAAAAAAGTTTAAAAATTACAATTTTTATTAAATTTTTAGTGATATGCAAAAGAAAAACCAAATAAAATAAACTTTATTATTTAATAATTGGTTCAAAAAAAAAAAAAAATTTTACAACTTTTATCACTTATTTATAGCTATTTTTCCTTGTAAAAAAAAACAATAAAAATTTAAAAAATTTTTGCTTACAGCAAAATAAATTAAATTTTAAAATTTGTTTGTAAGTAAAAAAAAACACCTGCAGTAACACGGAATGAATTACTAGTGGAAGCACAAACCGGAATTGACTTCTTTTCTTCACACGAACAATTTTTACTGATTGCTGCCGAATTTGATAATGGAAGAACATATGATATATCTTTAAAAAAAAGAAAAAAAAAGTGAAATTTCTGACATGCAAATGCAGCACTGTAACATTATCGTATCTGGTAAGACTACCATATCCGAAAATACAGTAGTCCAGCACACCGTACCCAGTGGATTTATCGTTCACAGCAATACATTAATCTAGGATATCGTATCCGTTTTTTTTATTAATGCTATCATAGCTAAAAATTTACCAATTTAATTCTGTAAAAGATTGACTTAAACTAACTGTTCATGCAAACATGAAAGCTTACAACTGTTTGCAATTAATTGATCGAAAAAGTTATTTACAAAATTATGTGAAACAATAAAATAATAATAAATTTTAATGATTACCTTGTAAAGGTTCCTCATGTTCATTAACAATCGATGGTATAATATCAAAATTAAAAAAGTGTTGAAGTTCGGTAAAAGTACCACAACCCTGTGTATCGCCTGTTATAACTTGTTGTTCATATAATCTACAGTGATATTAAATTAGTTAAAATATTGATGCTAAAAATTATCAAATATTTTAAAAATTAATTTTGGAAAATTCATTTAGAAAACGAAATAATTTCATTTTTTTAAATCTTTAATTTGCATAAATAAGTCATGTATGAATAATTTTATATATTAAAATTGTATAAATAGTTTTATATATTAAAATTGCATATTTGTGTATATTATTTATTTGTTTCTTTACGATGAAATAATTATCACTAATACACTATAGCCTTTAACGCCCAACAGAAAATTGTGAATTAATTTTGAATACAAAATCATAATTATTAATTAATTAGCACAATCATATGTTTATGATGAATAATTCTTATTGACGAGTACGATTATTTCTTTATGTTTAGCATTTTGGCGCTGTTCGAACAATCATTTTATTTTTAGCAAAGCTATAACAACCATTTATTAGCTGCTTTTCAATAGTTCAGTGCTCTATGACCTTTCACCTTTTATAACAGTCCTAAGAATATAAACTTTTCTCGACTACATTCACAAAAATAATAAATATTAATATGTAATCAAATTGAATAATACAAAAAATATCAAAATACATACCCATTTAAATTATTATTTAATAATATACATTTCTTAGCTTCTAAATCCCATGCGCAATGTGGATCACGTAAAGCGACACAATCAGTACACGTCTCAAATCTATTACACTGCGCTAGCGGAACACGTACAACAGATCGTTCACTAACAGCTATTAAATATCTTTCAACAGATAAATCTTTCATATTTCCCTGATATATCATCATATTTTGAATTGGTTCCTGTCAAAGTAATAATAAATAAGTTAGTAATAATAATTAAGTAATAATAATTAATTTTGTAAAAAAAATTTTTAATACTTATAATTAATAAATTATTAATGGTATTTTCAAAAAAAAAAAACTATTAGCATAGCTTTTTTAATTAATATTATTTTTAAAAATTTTGAATTTCTATTTTCTTTTTTTCAAGAATTTTTAATTTAAATAATCAAAAATGTCAAAAATTTGTTAATTTAATAGTAGAATTTTTTGAGCAATATATTTCATTCATATTTTTAATTATGAACTTACATTAGTAATTTGAAATGTATAAATATGATGAGATGGTTGCTTTGCGGTAGTTTTGGTGCCAGCTAAATTTACCATTTTGAAAATATTACCTTGATCGGTACCAATAAATATAACATCATATAAATGTCCATCAACTGCTTTCACCTATAATTAATTTTGCTATATATAAAATTTTACAAACGGTTTTGCTAATTTTTTTTTAGCCAAAATTCTGAATTAAACTCAGTTAAAATTCATATTGATCGATCGATTGATTGATTAAATTAAATTATACCTGAGCATCAATGACAATTTGTGTAAAATGATCCAAACCCGTATGTATTGCAATTGGTGCACCAAAATAATTTGGTATAGCTTCATTCATTAGCGGATTAGATCGGGCAAATGCTACCGCTTCTTCGGGTAGCAGACGTGAATTATTTGCACATTTACCTGAAATAAAATTTTTTGGGTATATAAATTAGAAAACAGCAGAAGAATTTGTAAATTTTTAATGTTTGTAAAAAATTTAAATTTGAATCAAACATTTTTCATACATTAATACATCTTATAGCATAAACCACTCTACTGCTTCAAAAATTTCTAACTTGACCTAATCTTCATTTTTGTAATTTCAAACTTGACCCAGTTTCAAATTATGAAATTCTTAACTTAACCCAATCTCGAATTATAAAATCTCTAACTTGACCTATTCTTAATTTATATAACCTTCAATTGGATCAAATTGTAAATTATAAATCTTGTGCTTTGATCAAATTTTAAATCACAAAATTTCTAAAATTAATATTTGTAAAATAAAAGTAAGGTCAAATTACCAGGTCGATATTTTGAAGTATCACTATAAAGTGCACTCATCCATAATGATTGTGAACTACTTCGATCACCATATTTAGATTCCGAGAAAACATCATTAATTTGTTGAATATCAAAAGCGCAAATGGCTGATGATGAGATGCCAGCTAAAGGACTACGAAATACTGCATAGACTAACTGTTTCATCTTTAATAAATGAAAGCTATTTACCGGTGGCGCAATAGCTTCTATCTGAAATATACCGCAAGATAGGCGGCTTAGTTCATACAAACACAGAATAGCAATTTTGTTTTTTTTTTTTTTTTTTTATTTTTCTTAACAAAACAACAATAATTATTGTTTATTAAAGTTCTGTGAATTTAAGATAAATAAATTATTGAATTTGGTTAAAAAAAAAAAAAAAAAATTTAGTGTAACTCTCGAGTAATAGTTCACGTTTCACGTAACTACTAACTTGATCAAAATAAAATGGATAATGGCCTGGTATGGAACAATTTAGCCGAGCTTTTACAAATGATGTCCATTCATTGGAATATGGTCTTGGACCGCCATTATCCGATCGACAAAGTCTAGCAACACGTGAATATATGGCACCGTCATTACAACATTCACGTTCCACTGCTTGTTCACGGAACCAAATGTATACATACTAAAAATTTGAAATGAATTACAAATAAAACAATCAGAATTTTGAAACTGATTACACCTAATAGTTAGTTGATTGAGTGAAAATAATTGAAAATTATTTAGTAATTTTATGAAAGATTACTTCCTGGAACAGATCAATATTGACTGATTTATTGATACATTATGGAAATGATGTGAAATTGATTTAGCCGGAATGAATCTTTCAAGAAACAAAATGTTTATTTGTTCGTTTAAGAATGATGTGGGAATTCATTGACCGGAACAAATGGAATATTCTCAAGAAAATAAAGAGAAAGAAAACAGAAGAAAGAGAGAGAGGGAGAGAAGGTAATTCCAATAATAGAAGGGAATTTTCATTTTGGTAATAAATATCGAATGGTAGAAAAAAAAAGTTACATTTGTCGGGGAAAAATTTTACCTATCAAGAGAGATTATCATATGTAAAAAATAATCTTTTTATTATAATTATTATGTATCACTATATTTATATTATCATTATTGCTTATCGTTATATTGTGTTATAATTATTACTTATTATACTATTATATTAAGATTATTAGGTATCATAGTGCGGTATTATAATTATTGCATATTTAGCGTATTATATTATTAGACTACAAAAAGTAATGTTATTTTATGATAATAAAAATTTAATTCGGATGCATAAATATGGAAGAAAAAGACGGTGAAAAAAAATATATGATAATGGTATTAACAATAGTGATAATAATAGCAATAATGATAATGATAGCACTATTAACAGTAGTAATAATGGTAACAATAATAATAATAATGATGACAATAGCGATGATGATAGTGATAAGAATATTAACGCTAGTAATAATGATAACGATAACAATAATAATGATAGCAGAAATAATAGACAATAATTAATATAAAATGAATCTTATTTCTTACTTTTTTATTTTTTTTTTACTTTTTGGTTTTGCATACTTTTTCAAGCAAAAAAATTTTTTCTGCTTCGAATAGTTATTAAATAATTACATGATCGTATTTTTTGAAATTAGATTTTAATGATAATAAAAAACTTTTATTATTATTATTATTGTTACTATTATTATTATTGCTATTATTATTTAATTAATTATATTATACCGAAATGCTTTCCTTCAATGCATATACCATTTTAAATTTCACTTATATTCATTTATTGAAAAATTATAAAAAAAAAAATTTCTAAAAAAAAATTATAAAATTCAGTGTTAGCTATTATTACTATTATCACTTTTACAATTACGATTATCATTAATTATTAGCAAAATTTTTCAAATATTGAATTACTATCTGCTTCATAAAATTTCTTATTTTAATAATAATTTCGTCTTTTCTTTTATTTTTTTATTTTGTCTTTTTAAAGCTACAATAAAACATTGTTTAAAGCAAGAAAAAATTGGAAAGCTATAAAATTCAGTATAACTTTTAAAAAGACAAAAAAAAAAAGCGAAAAATAAAGAAAGCAGAAAAACGTTTTTACAAAATAAAAGTTAAAATAATTTTTATAAAAGTTAAAAAAATTTGTTATCAAAAAAAAAAAATTCTTTTACACAATGAAAAGAGCAAGACATAATAAAATTTTAATTTTTAAAAAATAAAAAAAAAAAAGTTTATCTGAAAAGAGAAAAAAAAATTTGATTGTTCTCTTGCATTTTTCATTTTTTCTTTATTTTCATAAAATAGATAGCATTCAATAATATCGTTTAACATAAATGAATGAAATGAAATGGAAATAGAGAAGAGGAAAAAACCGGTTTTCCGGTTTTTTCTTTTTCTTTATTTCTTCAAGTTAAAATCCTTTATTGTCTAGCAAAATGAAAAAGTATTATACATTTCGATTTGAAAAACGAACAACAGCGAATAATAAATGACTAATTTTTTTGGTTAAAAGAGGAAAAAATAACAGTTAATTTTATTTGCTCATTTTTTAAACTTTTTTAAAATTTAACATTTTTCATTTAAAAAAAGAAAATGAAAAATAAAAAATAAAATTTTAACTTTCAATTATTAATTGAATTTTGAAATTAAAAATATATATGAAAGTCGTTTCTTTTTTCCTCTCTCTCTCTTTGTTTGCTTTAAGAGAGAGAGGGAGAAAGAGAGGGCTTATTGATGTATGAATGATTTAATTTTAAAAATTATTAATTTCATATCAAAAAAAAAGGAATGATAAGAGGGAAATTACAACTGATATAACAAAAATAAGTATTTTTATAATTTTAGACTTAAAAAAATGAAAGAAGATAAGATGAAAAGAAGTAAAAAAAAAAGTTTGTTTAAAATTTAAATCTAATTTTTCCGTAAATTTTTATAAAAAAAAATTAAAACTTACTTCATTATCACGAAATGAACCAACAAAATTTGGTTCATTAAGAAATTTTACATCATTTCGTTCCGTACGAATACCCAAATCAATCATTTTTGTAATATTTCGTCGATGGATCAAAGGATCAGCACCCGAAAAATCTGATACTGTAATTTATTCAATTAAATAATAGCTTTCAAAATTAGTTAAATTAATTTATCAAAAATTAAAATTATAAAGCAAATTAAATGAGATATGCTCGAAAGCAAAAATCTTTTAAGAAATAATAAAAATTTATTCAAAAAAAATTTAATTTCAAATTATTAATTGTTAAAAGTAATTCAAAGCTATTTAGTTATTATTAATTAATTAAATTTTTAAGTTTAATTCAAAAAATTATTAAAAAATTTTTATCAAATTGAACACAGAAAACAAAAAAAAAAAAGAAAAAAAAGAAATAAATAAACAAATGTTTGAGTTTTTTTTTTTTTGCAATGAAAAAAGGAATAATATAAAAATTTAAATTATATATAAAATATATAAAATTTAATTTAAAACCAAAATTCATTTTTAAAATTTAAAGAAAAAACTATTAATTTTAATTTAAAAAATTTTAAATTTACCATTATACAATTGTTGACACACATTAAGAAATGGTAAATTTTAATGTGACAAAAATTTTATAATCAAATATAGCAATTTTCCTATTTATTACTTTTCGCTTATAAAACATTAAATGCAAAATATTTATTTAAATTATTCAAATTATTATATTTTTTTCATCGTTTATAAAATGTTTATTTTTTTTTTCTATTTTTTAATTTGAATAGTTTTTTTTTTTCAAATAAACTTTTTATTGTTGTTGATAAAATTGTTAATTAATATTTCGATGAGCAAAATTTTTAAATTTGTGCTTTGGATAACAATTTAAAAAAAAAAAAAGAAAAAACGATGAATAAAAATTAAAATTATTTCATTTTGCAAAGTGTCTTTCGAATCATTCCATTTGTTCTTTTTTTATTTTTATTTTCTGTGATATTTTTGATGGTATATTCGGGAAATGTCATTATTTTTTATTTTTTATTTTATTTTTTTTAGTAGGATATCGGGAAAAGTTTAATTTTAAAATCTAATCTTTGAAGGACACTACTGGAAAAGGAAAAGAAGAAAGAGATGTGATAGATTGATCCTACCATATACGTTTGAAATGTCAAAAAAATTTATTCAAATTTTTTTTTTCGTCTTTTTTTTTTTTTTTTTGGAAATTAAATTTAAATGAAATACATAGGAGAGAAGAAAAACGAATTCATTTATTTTGTAAGTATGGAAAATTTTTGAAATTAAAACTTAAAATTTTGCTAATTCATAAAACGAAGAAAAATTTTTAAAATTAAAACTTAAAATTTTGCTAAATCATAAAATAAAGAAAAACTATTAAAATTAAAAATTGTAAAAATATTTTTGCATTTTAATTTTATCCTTACAATATTTTAAATCATTTTAAGATAATAATTTTTAATATTTTCACTTTCACTTTATTTACTTATAAAGTTTGAAAATATAAATGCTTTCTATTTATTAACAAATATTATTGCCTCTTTCAATTTAATGAATCAAATGGAATAATAAAGTGACAAACTACTTTGTCAAATTGTTTATTGACCTTCGCGCAAATGGACATTTTTGAAGTAGTCAAAAAGTTATTAATGAAAAGTGAAAATTTAATTTAATTTAATCATACACTCTAGAAAATTATTATCTTTGTCAAAAACTATTATTTCTAATCAATTCGTAATAAACTTAGAACTAAACTTTTATATTAAAGTAATTTACTTCTTTATTTTTCTTAATATAAATTTTAATAATTAATAAAATAATTTATAAATTTTAATATTTATTAAAAATTATACATTATTATTATTATACAAATTAATAATGAAAACTTTGATAAAATTTTGAAAAATTTTAAATTATCATTAATTTTTTTTTTGTTCGTTGAAATTATTAGCAAATTTATGCACAATTTTATTAAAAACAAACATTATAATTAGTTTTTTCCATAAATTAAAAATTAAATTTGTAACTGCAAAAAAAAAAAAAAATTTTACATTCCGTAAAAAAATGGTTTTGGAAATGATTAAAAAAGCTATTGTTCATTGTGATTGTTAAAATTTAAGAATTTAATTTTAATTTATGTATCAAATTTTTTTAATCAAATTTTTGATTGAATTTTTTTTTGTCGTAATGCAATTTGCAAAAACAATTACTTTTTTTTTTTGAAAATAAAAACAAGTTTTGATAAATTTATTAATACTTAATTTCTGTATCGTTTTTTTTTTTTTTTTTGCTTCATTTTTCGTAATTTTTGAAATATTATAATTTGTTTTCTTTTTTGCTTTCTTTCTTCTTTCCGAAGATAACAAAATAATTTACATTTGAAAATAATATTTACTTAAATGATCGATGCAAATACTATAAATTCCACGAATGAATTCAAAAAGAAATGTATAATAATTCAAAAATTTAAAAATGAACAAAAAAAAAAGAAATTAAATTTTGAAAATTCAAAGATTTAATTGATATAAAAATAAATTAATTAATAAAAAAATCCAAAAATTGATAACGATTTCAAAATATATCTCCCATAATTAATTGTTTTACTCAATTCTTTTTTTTTTCGATTATTTATTAGCCAACTAAATTACGGGTTAAATTTTCTAAAAATGCCCGAAACTATGGGAATGTTATTGTTGTAATTTAGGATTTAAAAATGAACAAAAAAAAAAGAAATTAAATTTTGAAAATTCAAAAATTGATAACGATTTCAAAATATATTTCCCATAATTAATTATTTCACTCAAATCTTTTTTTTTTTTCGATTATTTATTAGCCAACTAAATTACAGGTTAAATTTTCCAAAAATGCCCGAAACTATGGGAATGTTATTGTTGTAATTTAGGATAAAAGGGGAAAGTTGTTGTTTGATGACAGTAATTTAATTCATTTCGTTAACATTTTTTAAAATTTATATGAAATTCCCAAGGTTACATACCTCTAAATGGTAAAATAACCACAAATCGATCAACAAAGTTATTTACCCAATAAAAAATTTGTTAAAACAAAATTTTTAAAAATTCATATTTCATTTTTTTAATCATTTGTTAATTTAATAAAAAACAAAAGGATAGGATAAAAAAAAAAAATTACCTGTAATCATTTCTTTTTGTAATTTTTTTTAAATTAAAAAAAAAAAATTATGATAATTTTAAAAATAAATCATAATTTCGTTCTTTTTTTTTTTAAATTTAGAAACTTTTGAAAGGTTAATAAAATAAAAAAAAGTTTTGCAAAATTTTAACAAAAAAAAAGATTTATTATCAAAAATAATTATTACCTGTTCCAGCATACAATAGATCATCATCTCGAAGAAATGTTGAATTATGATTTGGATCATACGGTACAATACCGAGTCCGGAAAATTCTAAATTTTGCCTATATTCATCATATTTTTCCGGTTCATATTTTCGACACATTGGTTGAAATGCATTGGTACCACAAATTAAAATACTTTGATCATTATTATGTTTAGCTAGAATACGTACATAATTATGACATAGATCCTGAAATTTCAAAATAAAATTTATTTAGTAAATAAATAAATTTAAATTTTGAAGAAAGCAAGAGAGAGAAAGAGGGAGAGAGAGAGGGAAAGTGAAAATTATTTTTTTGAAATGTTTTTTAATTTTTATTATTTAACAAACAAAAAAAGAAAAAGGATAAGAAAGAAAGTAATGAATTGTAGATATAAAATTCTCGAGGATATTTTATAATTTTTATCATTTTTTTTCTATCTTTTCTTCAAATTAAAATTTCCGTTTCTCATAATTTTTTTTTTAAAAAAAACTTAAATTTACGAAGAAGCAAAAAAGTGAAATTGATCATTTCAAAAAAATATATACATATATAATTACAATTAGTCGGAACATTTTTTTTTCTGCATGATTAATCATGCTGAACGGATATTTTTTTCCGTTTTCGTTTTTTTTTTCCGTTTTTTTTTTTTTTTTTTTGGTTGGATTTTGTTATAATATCGTAGATATTATAATATTTATACAACGAAAGAAGAAAAATCTTTTTCAAAGTTATTTTTTTTTTAAAAGATATTTTAGGATTATTGAATTTTACTTAAATTTTCCACTTTTCCAATTTTTATTTCTTTTTTGAGGCAAAAAAAAAAATTATTCTAACTTATAAAATAAATCAAATTTTCAATTGAAATTTACAACTGAAAACACAGCAATCAATCGTTTGTGATAAAAGAAGAAAGCATTTGAAATTTTCAATTTTCAAATTAAATTATTTTTCAACTTTGGAAATTTTCAAAAGCCTTTGTAATCGGAATGAAGGAATGCTTGATTATCTAACTTTTAACAACTATTCAAATCAAAATTTAATTATTTTTTAAGAAAAATATTAAAAAAAAGGAAAAAGAAAAACTTTCATTAAGTTTAACAGAAAATTGAATTACATTTGAAAATTTGAAGAAAATTTTTAGGCAAAAAATTTAATTTCTGTCAACAAAATTACAACAATCATAAATTTTTGCTTCTCAATTTATTATCACTATTATCATTTTTTATTATAACTATTATCATTTTTTATTATCATTATTATCATTTTCTTTATTATCACTATTATCATTTTGGCTATTATCTTTTTTTTATTATCGCTATTATCATTTTTTTATTATCACTATTATCAATTTTTTTATTATCACTATTATCATTTTTTTTATTATCACTATTATCATTTCCTTTATTGTCACTATTATCATTTTTAATTATAACTATTATCATTTTCTTTATTATCATTATTATCATTTTTTTATTATACTATTATCATTTTCTTTATTTTATTATCATTTTTTATTATCATTTTCTTTATATTATCATTATTATCATTTTGGCTATTATCATTTTCTTTATCATCACTATTATCAATTTCACCTTTGATTTTCCCTTCATTAAACATTCCTTCACGACACTTTCCTTTGATGGCCATTTAATTGAATGTATTTCGGTGAATGTTTCAATGCTAATATTATATACAACATCTCTGTAAAATATTTAATTAAATCTAAAAAAAAAATTCAAATTAGCAATCATAAATAAAATTTTTATTTAAATAAAATTATCATTCAAAAAATTTTCTTTATCATATCAAAGAAAAGAATTTTAAAAATTTTGCATTGAAAGTTTATAGCTTTTATCATTTTGATCAATAATAAATAAAAATAGCATAAAATTTAATTTAATTTTAAACGTATTTAACGTGTTTGACGTGAAATGAAAAATAAATAAATAAGTGAAATAATTAAGTTATAATATAAATATTTTAAACATATTTTATTTATCACATAAATTAAATGAATAGCAACAAATGCAAAAAAAAAAAAACATTAAAATTAAATTGAAATTTGACTAATTTTAGTCTATCAAAGATTTTTCCACTCTAAATTTAATTGAAAATTTCAATCATCAAAAAACACACAATGAAAATTTATCAAAAATTGTAAAATCATTTATTACAGAAAAGGATACATTCATACAATTGCTAAAAAAAATTTTTCACTTCTTTTTAGATTAATTAATTAATTAATTAGCTAATCATTCGATCACATTGCAACAAATTTTTTAACAGAATTGAAAAAAAAAAAAAAAGAAATTTAATTAATTTAAATAAATCGATACAATATCTGTAATATGTTGTTATACAATAAAAAATTTGTGTAATTTTATTTTTTAAAAAAAAATTTTTCAATATTTATTTTTAATTTAATGTAAAACTGATAAGTAGTACTGATAATTATAATTATCTGTGATAAATCTATCATTTTTTATAGGCTAATTCAATTAATTTCATATATAATAATGCTTTATTAATAAAATTGTAAAAAAAATTTTTCCTAAAAAAATTAATTTTAATACAAACATTTTTTTCATCAGATATATATATGCTTAATTCATTTTTATAATCTAAAATAATTTAAATATTTTTATTTAACTAAAATTTGCAAAATTATTAGCGCAAAAAAATTTACAAATATATTTTTTAAGGAAAAACAAACTGAATAAATTTTAAAATGATGTAAAAATATTAAATATAATTTATTCTTAAATTATTAAATTATTACAGTGCTATTATCAACAATATTTTTAATTCTAATTCAAAAAATCATAATTTCCCTTTTCTGATAAATAATAATAATAATTAATAAATAATAATAACACTGTAAAACATTTCTATACAAATACTATTTATAATATCAACAATTTATTATAAAATATTTTTTATTAAATTTTATTATTGAATAAAAAAATTTTGCCTTAATAGCATTTTATACAATTTATAAAAACAATTAAACTTATTTATATTATACACAAATTGGTAGGCAATAAATGATAAAATTTAGTATTTTTTTTGGTTTAATTATCACATAAAAATTAAATTTTTAATAAAATAAAATTTAAATTGAAAATAAATGCACAACAAAATTTTAAATTATTTTATTATATTAAAAAAAAAAAAAAAAGGAACGAGTAAGAGTGTCAAATGATTGTGACAAATTATTGCATAAATCAAAATGTTACGATTTTAATTTGCTATGGTTTTTAGTTTTTTTTTTTTTTTAAAAATTTTATGGCTTTTAGTTTTTTTTTTTTTTTTTAAACTCAAAATTAAAAAAAACTAAAAACGAAATGAATTGAAGAAAAGAGGGTTAATTACCTTGCACCGATTAGTAAATGATTACCATCTAAATCAAGAAGTTTGAAATAATCGGATGTTGATGAATTACCAAATCGAAGTACTGATGGATCTAAAAAACAGAGAAAGGAAATAATCATTTAATCAATTTTATTTAAAAATTTTATAAAAATAATTTTTCTAAGAATAAAAAATTTTTTCTGCCATTTTATATTTTATATCTCTAACAGTGATTTGTAAAAATTATCATTTAATCATATCATTTCAATCACTTATCACTTAAAATACTAGTAATAGTGACGCGTAAAATTTCACGTTACAACTTTTGATGTTTACGTTAACTTACGTCTTACACGTAATGATAGTGGCAAAAAAAATTTGAGTGATTGAAATTCTACTTGTAAAAATTAACGATTAATATTTAAATTTTTTTGACCGAGATGTAAAAGATTTGATCTAATGTGATCATTACTTTATTGCTACTAGTGGTAGAGTATAATAAAGAAGAAATCAAATAATCATTGATTTAAATTTGAAATTAAAAGAATTTGAAATAAAAGAAATTAAAAAAAAATTTTAATTGTTAATTTGGAAAAAAATTGAAGAACTCAAAGAAATAAAAATTTGAATGAAATCTCAGCTTTTAGCATTATTAATTTAATTTTTTTCCACACGCAGTTTCTTTCTTTTTTTTTTTGTTACATTTAATAACCATTTAAATTTAAATTTAAATTAATAATACTAATATTTTGCAAACGAAAAGTTAATTTTAAATTCAAATTTCAATTAATAATACTAATATTTTGCAAAAAAAAAAGTTAATTTTGCATTTTTAAATTTTATTTCTTGTTATCAAAATTGTTTATCAGTGAAAAAAATCTAAAATAAACAGAATGAAATTATTGTTGATAAATTAACACTTCGCAAATTTTTTTTTTTTTTTATTCTATTTTATTTTCATTTCTAATTTGTTTTACAGAAAAAAGAAAACAAATAAACAAACAAACGATAAAATTTTTGATTGAAATTTGTAACAAAAAAAAAAGAAAAAAAATGCAAATTTACAGTGTTTGAAATGTTAAATGTGTTTTTTGAGTGATAATTTTAGATAATCGAATTAAAATGTTTAATTTTTTGTAAACAAAAAAAAAAAAAAAATAAATAAATTAACATTTCGTCTTTTAATATAATTAGTTATATATTAAAAAATGATTTCTAATTTAATTTTTTAATTTTAACTTTTTACATTTTTAAATTAAAATCTTAAATTTGAATTTACTTTTCGTCTCAAATTATACAAATTATATGGTGCCGGATTAAAAAATATCCGGAAATTGTTTTTTTTTTTTTTTGTTGATAGCAATTTTTCATTTTTTATAATTAAATAAATCCCCAATACTGGATTTGGAGATTTTTCCTTAATCAAATTTTTAAATTTTTTTAAAATTTTCAGTTCATTTTGCTACTGTCTCTTTTTTTTCAAAAAAAATTTGTTTTCTTTTTTAAAAAAAAAAAAAAATAAAATCAAGATTTAAGATTTTTTTTTTATTTTTCTAAGAAGGAATTATTTGTATTCTTTTCCATTTTCATTAGACCCATTGATCTCTTTTTTTTAGCATTTTTAAATTTTATTTTTTTTTTTCGTAGATTTTTTTTTATAGGATTTTTTAACGATTTATTTTCTGTCCTAAATTTCAAGTTGATTTGAATTTTTTTTTTTTGTTTATAAAAATTCAATGTCAACCGTTCAATATGTTATCTTATATGTAATCAAAAAATAAACTACTTCTTACTGTTTCTGATAAACATATTGATAATATCTCTCTGATAATATATCATAGCAAAAGAGTGTGTATAATGCTTATTGATCAACGAACAAACTGCAAATTGCATGTACAATAAGTAAATGACCTTGTAAAATTGTCATTGGTAGATGTCATTTTAGCAAGGTTGACACACAATGCATTCACATTTGACCTTCTCTTCATTTTAGATCTTTTGGAATAATTTCAGTGAGAAAAAAAAAAATTAATTCTAAATTACTCACTGGCAAATTTAACTTTAAAAAATTAATGATTTTATCGTTTCTGAAAAAAAAAATTTGCATTAACATTGCAAAATATAATTATTAATGTTAGTGAACAATTTGTTATTTAATATTAAATTATTAACATTTAATCATAAATAAATTTAATAATTTAAAGGAAAAAAAAACAGAAAATAAAATATAAATTTCTTATCAAATATAGAAAATTTCATTTTGAATTTTTATTCAATTGAAATTTGATAATTAATTGATATTAGTAAAATGTTTCATTTTTCTTTGTAAATTACACAATACAAAATGTTAAATTAAAATATAAAAAATTTTCAAAGTTAAATTTTTTTTTTCCTTTTTAGTTTTACATAAAAAGAAAGAAAGAAAAAAAAAATTTTTGCATGAAGTAAAGAGTAATTATTACATTTTACGATTTCTTTAATTCTACCACAAAACGAAAAAAAAAAAAAGTTCAATGTCATTTTTTCATTTCTAATTTTCATTTCTAATTATGCTAATATGATGAAAAAATAAATTTTTAAAGAATCAATTAAAAAAATGAATGCAAATAATAGCAATAAATAAAAATTAATGGAAATTTTTTATTAATTTAATTAATTTCCAATTAAATAAGAGATTTATTCTAAACATTTTTAACATTATGATAAGTTATTATGCTAAATTTTTTTTTCATTTATTATCATACTTCTACCACTTTTCTTGTCTTTTTAATTAACTTCAAAAGGTCAAACAAAAAAAATAGATTAACTTTTTGACCTTTTGACCTTTTTGGTGATCAAAAACAAAAAAGAATTTTCCAACATTTTACTTCCAACATTAACACTTTCCTATTTTGTGCATTTTTCCTTTACTTTTTCAAACTATTTTATTTACTTTATTTACTTATTAAATTTTTATTCAAATATTTAATTTAATTAAATGATAAATATAATTATTATTTTCTTTTAAATCTTTTTTTGCTAAAGAACCATTTTAATTTTTGTAATTTTCATTTCTTTCTTTTTTTTTTTTATTTTGTTAATTTCAAAAAAATAAAAAAAAAAATTAAAATGAGGACAATATGTCAAACTTCATCAGTACATCAAATTTTATAAAATTAATCAATGATTTGAAATTTTAGAGCATTTTAACCTATTTTTTTCTTTTATTCTAATTTATAAATTCTCATTTTGCTTTTTTTTTGTTTTTTTTTTAAAAAAAAAGAATCCAAAAAAGATATTTAATGTATAAAATGAAATTATAACCAATAAAAATATCTTAATACTCTTAATTTTAACTTGAAATTGAAACAAATAACATTTTTATAAGAAATAATAAATTTTTTTAAATCAATTATAAATGATATATTAATAAATTAATAATTAAGATAAGTTATTGATCGTATATTAATGTGATAAATTAATTCACTAATGTTATCATTTTATCAATTTATCATTTCTTATTGATTGTTTTTATTGTTATTACAATTTTATCATTGTAATATTATAATTTTTTGCATATTTTAGGATTTAATTATTTTATTTTTATTTTTATTGGACTTAATTATTAGCTAAATAGCTTTTTCCCCAATAAATTTCACTCATTTGTTTATTTACTAATTAGCTTAGACAGAAAAAAAGAAAATAAATTTTATGCATAATTTTTTTTTTTCGTTTGTTTGTAATTCATGAAATGTTGGCTCTAATTAGTTAATTTAATTTTAAAAAATTTTAAAATTTAAAAAAAAATAATGTAAAAAATTTAAAAATTTTGAAGTTATTAGACTAGAAGTAACCTAAAAATCTAAAATTAATACTTACTTACTTACTTAATGATATTTAATACTTGTATAAATGCTTAGATATTGTATTAAATTCAGATAATTATCAAACATTCCTCTTTCCCATTTTTATTCTCTTATCACATTTTTATCACTGATCAAATTTAGTTTCTCGGGAATGAAAAAATCCCGAAAATTTACAAAATTGTAATATAAAAATGCATAATAATTGCTATATAAAAGATATTTTAGGTCATTTAAGATGTAAAATTTTCAACAATTCCGCTCTTATCACTATATTTTATCAAAATTAAAGTTTTGCAAAGTTCAAAATTCAAATTCTCCTCACATTTATCATGTAATTTAACAAATATAAAATTATTCAAAAAATGAAATTTTAAATTTGCAAATAAAATTTCATTATACAAAATACAAAATGATAATTAATAGTAATAAAATAATTAGCATAATTTTTTCTTTTCCATTTTAAAATTTAAAAAATGGCATAGCGGAAAAAAGAAAAAAAGAAATAATTAGTTTCAATCAAAAATTATTTGCTAAAGAATTGTAAAATTCATTTGAAATAATTAAGCTATAAGAATAAAAATAATTAGTCCAAAAAAGAATAAATTTGCTAATTATATTTACACAGCGATAAATTTAAGGTTATTAGGAAGAATTAAAAAAAAAAAAATGGAAATGAAAAAATTGAAAATTTTCTTTTTTTTTAATTAAAAAGTCAAAAAAAGTTTTTTTAATTTAATTAAACCTTTCTTAGCCTTTTTTTTATTCTTTTCTCTTCCTTTTACTGAAATTAAAATTAATAATTGAAAAGAAAGAAAGAAAGAGCAAGCGATTATGTCAAATTTTAAATTAATTCCAATTATCAATAAAAATTTTTTTTATTTCCTTCACAAGAAAATTTCATTTCTTTTTGCTAATTTCAATTAATTTCAAAAATTTTATTTAGCAAATTTTTACATAATTAAGCAACAGCATTTAGCAAAATTAAATTTAATTAATTAAGTGTAAAACTTAAATTTCAACGTAACGTCACGCAATATTCTGTAAATTTTTTTTTTTAATTTTCGAATATTTTTCTTTTATAAACAAATATTTCAGTCTACTTTTTCCACACAAACATTAATTGTCTAATTTACTGCTACGTACGTGTATACACGTACGTAAATATTTCATATGCGTTTGATAGTTTATATGAATGCATTACTTTTCAAATACTCTATCATATTTATATAGTTTCAATTTTTTTTTTTTGCTAAATTTCTATAAATTTTAGCTAATTTTGAAATTTAGCAAAAAGAAATTATATTGAATAGATGGGATTTCAATTTTAGTATACAGTACGGCAATAGGAATGGTATAATTGAAATTACAGTAAAATTATAGCTGAAATTTGCTTGAAGGTCATTTTATAGAAAGGTCAACAAGTTGAAAATCGAAATGACCTTTATTTTTTAACCCTCATTTTTTCATCCAATAAAAAAAGTCCGTGCAAAAAAAAAAAAAAAAAAGACTTCAATTAAAATATTAAACACAAATTTTTAATTTAATTAAAAAAAAAAATCATTGTAATTGAAAATTATAAAGCTAACAATGCTAAAAATAGTATCAATAGTAATGCTTCTTGGATATTTTAATGCTTTTGTTAATTTAATAATAATAATAGCAGCAATAATAGCAATAGAAGAAGAAAAAGAAAAAATGATAATCGACAATAACAGTAGTAATAATAATGATAACAGTGAATGATAATAATAATAGTTATATCATTATTATTACGGTTAATAATTATAAGTGATAATAATAACAACCAGCAATAATAATTAATAATAACAATAGCTGTGAATAATGTTGATAAAAGTTGTTGTGATATAATCAATGATAATTATAATTAATAATAATAAACGATGATAATGATAATAAGTAGTATAATAATAATATTAATAATAATAATGAACATTTATTATATTCTAAAATTTGAAATAATTTTTCATTTCAATTATAATCATTTCTGTTTAATGCATTACATTAATATTTTCAACAATTTCAATAAGTGACCATTTCAAATTTGATTTCAGGAAGGAAACGAAGATTACACTTATTGAATTGGAATAATGGATATGAAATGAGATGAGGTAAGGTGAGGTGAGGTGAGGTGAGGTGAGGTGAGGTGAGGTGAGGTGAGGTGAGGTGAGGTGAGGTGAGGTGAGGTGAGGTGAGGTGAGGTGAGGTGAGGTGAGGTGAGGTGAGGTGAGGTGAGGGGAGGTGAGGTGGGGGGGGGGGGGGGGGGGGGGGGGGGGGGGGGGGGGGGGGGGGGGGGGGGGGGGGGGGGGGGGGGGGGGGGGGGGGGGGGGGGGGGTGAGGTGAGGTGAGGTGAGAGGTGAGGTGAGGTGAGGTGAGGTGAGGTGAGGTGAGGTGAGGTGAGGTGAGGTGAGGTGAGGTGAGGTGAGGTGAGGTGAGGTGAGGTGAGGTGAGGTGAGGGGAGGTGAGGTGAGGTGAGGTGAGGGGAGGTGAGGTGAGGTGAGGTGAGGTGAGGTGGGTGAGGTGAGGGGGTGAGGTGAGGTGAGGTGAGGTGAGGTGAGGTGAGGTGAGGTGAGGTGAGGTGAGGTGAGGTGAGGTGAGGTGAGGTGAGGTGAGGTGAGGTGAGGTGAGGTGAGGTGAGGTGAGGTGAGGTGAGGTGAGGTGAGGTGAGGTGAGGTGAGGTGAGGTGAGGTGAGGTGAGGTGAGGTGAGGTGAGGTAAGATGAGGTAAGGTGAGGTAAGGTGAGGTGAGGTGAGGTGAGGTGAGGTGAGGTGAGGTGAGGTGAGGTGAGGTGAGGTGAGGTGAGGTGAGGTGAGGTGAGGTGACATAATCAGATGTTACCTCACCTCACCTCACTCATTTGTTAACAAATTATTCATTTATTTCATTCAGCAAAAAGAAATTTAAGTGAATTTTTTTTAAATGAGTGACTATTTGAAGTAATAATTTAAATTAACGATTATCGATTATTTAAATATTTAAATAATCGATAATTAATGCTTTTGAAACTTATAACTGCAAGAAATTACTATTGTAAGAATTTTTAAATTTTTTTTGAAATTTAAAAAAAGTTATTGAATTTTAGAATTACATAATATGAATGTACAGACACACACACAAACAAACACACACATATACACAGACATATGTACATATCCAATTTCTTATTGTTTCTCATATTTTGACAATGTTATTCGACCTCATTCAATTTCACAAAATTCAATACTTATGTATAAACACACACACATACATACAGGTAATTATTCACTCTTCACCTTTTTCTATACACACACACACACACACACACACACACATACACACACACACACATACACATACACACACACACACACACACAGACATATTAAAGGACAATAATAGTGGCAATTGTAGAAGAAATGAATGAATGAATGAACCGTTTGCAGAAATTATGAATTTTCTTCTTAAATATTTATAATAGAAGAAAAAAGTTTATTTATTTAAAATGAAAATGAAATGAAATTTGAAGTTTGCAATGAAAATTGACATCAAATAAATTAATTTTTAACAATTTCACACATAGAAATGTTTTCTTTCTTTGAGAAAAGTTATTTTGAAGATTTTCATAACATTCATAAATTTTATTTCATTTTTTAAAATTTGGAAATTAAAATAATAATTAAAAAAGCAATACAAAGAAAATTCCAAAATTTATGCTTTATTTATGTGAATTTAAAATAATTTCACACATTAAAAAAAAAGAAAAAACATTTCTAATACAAATTATATAAATCATTTATTTTGCATTAAAAAAATTTGCATATAGAAAGTATCAAACGAAAAGAAATGACAAATATCTGTTAGAATTGAAAATATTTTGTGCAAATTTATTTTTATTTGTTTTTTCTTTCAATAAAATATAAAAATGTTATATTTTAAATATACTTTAAAACTTAATTTAAAACTTTTTTATGTTTTTGAATAAACTAATATTTAAATTCAAATATTGCATTATTTTATCGCAGAAAAAAGATATTTATATATCAAATTAATTGATAAATATTGATATTTGTATTAAATTATACTAAATGAAAGATGAAATGAAGAAAATAAATTCTGACGGAGTTAAAAATAAATTTTAAATTAAAAAAAAAAATGGAAAATTTTTAAAAGAAAACAAAAATCTGACTAACCATTAAATAATGAAATCTTAACTGGTTGACTGATATATCCATCATTAGAACTGATAATATTACCATTATCAGTAACCAATTCAGCAATTACTGATACAGAATTAAGCAACCATACGAGAAATGAATGAAAATTTTTGGAATGCATCGAGAATTTCGATGTACAATCAATCATTTATCCATTAAATGCATTTTTTTTTTTTCTATAAAACAAAAATATTTGAATTGAAAAAATTGAATATCAAATGATAACAGTACTTAAATATAAAAATAGAATTAAAATGAATGATTTAAATAATCATTTTAAATAAGATAAAACAATTAAAATAGTACAAAAATGTATTTTATAGAGAAAATATGAAGAAAATATTTTAAAATTTAAACAAAAATTTAAATTTAACTAGTAACTATATTTGTTTATTTTTCCTAAGAATGTTAATTTATTTTATTATACAATGTATCGTTTATGGTTATCGAAAATAAATCAACAATTGTCACTTTTAAAAGGATTAAAAGTTACACAAACATTTGAGTGCTATGAAATGTTTTATTGAATTAACTGAATTCTCCTCAACTTTTTAAAGAAGTATCAGAAATTGAAAAATTGAACTTAGTAATTTATTAATTTCCTATAAATTTAGATATCTTTATTGGCTGTAATCATTATTATCACTTCTTATCATCTGTATTATCACATGTTATTATCATTTTTTTTCTTGTAGGAAGTGATTAATTAACAGCGATTTGCTCATATCAACATTTCCAATTAAGTATTAATCTATGATTAAGCTCATACAACAGTATCCGGTAAAACTACTAGCAATCACCTGGTTAAATATGCATTCCTGATCCGGAATACTCAATGATTTTTAATTTCATATATCATCACAATTTATTTATTATCACAGATCAGATCACATAACAAAATCAGATTGGTAATTTTGTAAAAATTTACCAAAGTATTTTATTTGAAATAAAGATCCAACAAAATTGTTACTTATTTACTATCATAACAAAAGTATACTTATTAATTCAAGTACTAAATTGTAACATATGATATAATAATAATAATTATTATTGTTATTCAACATAGAGAATGTCATATAAAAGTGGCAATAGTAGAAATTTCCAATTGTCAACAAATAAAATGACAAATATTTGCTTGAAATTGAATTATTAATATTAAATGAATGAATTTTAGTTATTTATAGTTTGAAATTGGTATAAAAAAATAAAAAAATAAAAAAACGAAAAAGTTAAATATTCGCTATTTCTTTTTGAAATTATTTCATTGTACATTTATAAATATATGTATGAATGTAATAAAACATAAAAGGAAATGTGAATAAATTAAGAAATTAAAATATTGCTATTTTCGTAGAAAAATTTAAAAAAAAAAAAACAATAATGGCAGTAATAGTAATAATAATAATAATAAAAGTAATAATAATATAATTGAATTTTTCTCTCAATAAATGATTTTAACTTAAATTATTAACACATAGCATTTATCATTTTTAAGTAAATAATAACAAAAAAAAAAAAATGTAAATTTTAAATTTCTTTTATATATTTTTTAGGAAAAATTTTTCAGCAGAACTTCTTGAATATCTAATAATTATTCTAATTATCGAAAAAGCTTTTATTGAGATTTGTGTAGTGTTAAATAGATAATTAAATAAGAAATAAAAATGAAAATTAATAAAAAACATGATGAATAATAAAATATCTTTAAGTATTTTATAATATAAAATAGAACTTTTTGTTACATTTATTGTAATAATAAATAGCTATAAAATTAGTTATTATAACTTATATTTTGAGAATGAATTAATTAATTAATTAATATGAATTAAAATTGATTATTTTATTTTATTTTATTTTATTTCATTTCATAGCGAATGAGTAGTACTATTTGCTCATTTAAAATGTTTGTTTAAATAAGGCAAATAATCGTAGTAATTTCATCGCATTTTTTCCTCCATTTTTAGCTTAAAACTTTTTTCACTTTCCTATTAGTAATACTTTAATAATTAGCTGATCAAACAATATTTCAAAACTTTTGAATGTAAATTTTTTTTAAAAAAAAAAGAAAAACATTTTTGAGTGTGAAAAAAGGAACCATCGATTGCTACATGAAAGAGAGAGAGAGAGAGAGAGAGAGAGGGAAAAATTAAATTTTAGTATTTCAGTTATTAAATATAAGTTATTGTTTTTTTCTTCAATATAAGCTATTAATTAATTTGATAATTCCTTAGAAGTTACATATTCTAAATAAATTTAAGAAAAAAAATTCGCCAATTAAAAAAAATCCTTACCTTATTTACTAAATTATCTAAAATATTTAATCAATTTTGACATAGCAGAAAATAAAAAAAAGCTTGTTTTTGCTTGTTTTACTTAATCAATTTTTAAAAATTTGATTATGATATAAAAATTTTCTAACAATTATATTCAAAGTTAAATTTTTTAAGAAATAGAAATTGGAAATTTTTAAGAAACAGAAATTGAAGAAATTGCATTTAATTGTTTTAGTTAAACTAATTTTTAAAATGCAATCAATTACATCTCGAAAATGCTAAAATCTAATAGTAATAGCATGGATTACTGAAAAGAAAAAGAAATAAATTCATCATTTTATTCTTTAATCATTGGTCTTTAATTTCATTAAAAATTTAAACATTCACAAAATTTTTTATTATATCTCATTTATAATCCTTAAATAAATCAAATCTTTAGCATTAATACTTTACACTAATATTGAAAAGAAAAAAATTTTCAAAACAGAAATTAAATAATCAAATTATTATTAATATTTTATTTAAATTGATTGCTTTAAAAGATGAAATTAAAAAGAAGGAAAAGAAGGAAATTATGTTAACTTTTTTAAAACAACAATAATTTTTACAGCAACAATAATAGTAAAAAAAGGAAACAGAAAAAGCAATGATACTAATATAATATTAGAATTGAATATCAAAATTAGAATTAAAAAAAAATAAAAAAAATTATTAGTGCTAAGATTGTTATCAATAAATTAGGACAATTAATAAGTATTATTTGTCACCATTTACTGTCTTTGCGGGCTAATTTAAACCTTTTTAGCATTTAATGTCCCGCAAAGGAGTAGTATGGATCGGAACGAATGATAAGAAAAGTTAAAAAGAATTTTAAATGAGAGGTGTATATGGTGGACAGGTCACAAAAAAGGTGACACTTGGACATGTGTTCTAGGGTGGAGCAATCGGAGCATTCAGATGATCAAAAGATGAATTAAGAAAGGAGGATAAAGAGAGAGAGAGAGAGAGAGAGAGAGAGGAAGGGAGGGAGGGATAAAGTAGAGTTATAGGAAAGAAGGAGGAAAAAGGTGGCGATTTAAAGGTGACAAGAACATGGTGACAAATGCTGGAAACCCCGGTGAGGTGAGATAGTTTGTAGGAGAGAAAGACGACTTGTCACTCCCATCTATCAAATAATTTCAAATGTGCCTCTCAAAAATTTGTTAGTTGATTATTCTACTTTTTTATCAAATGATAGAAATAAAAATTTCAGTCGTATACAGTTTCATGATTTTATTACTAATTCAAAAGATGAGTATTAGTGAAGATGAAATGATAAATTAAATGATAAGAAAGTGATAAGAATGTAAGTGTGCGTAAATGATAAATGATAAGATAAGCAATGAATTGTCTGAATTACAGAATTATAATCAAATTAGTAGTAAAAAGTTCTTGAATGAATATATATTTTAAGTATGTTTTAAAATAAATGTTTAAAATGACGAAGAGAAAAAAAGAAGAAAAAGCTTCTTTGAGATAATTTGAAAATTTTAACTGAAATTAAATGAATCGAATTTAGCTAGATGATTTTACTTCAAATTATAATGAACAATTTAAAAATATAAGTAATAATAATAATAATAATAATTAATAATGATAAATAATTTTAACAACTGATAATAATAACAACAATAATGACGAATGATAAGTATAAAATAGTGATTCATTATTACTATTATTGTTATTATTACTATTATTATTATTAGCGCAACTTATTAAAATTACTTTAAGAGAAAGTTAAGCAAAACAGTTTTTCTGTTGGATAATCTGAAATAATTTTAGAATTATTATTATGAAAACATAAACCATAAAAGCATTTACTTTCATTTTATAATATTTAATCCAAAAAATATTGTAAAAAACAAAAAGAAAAAAAATTTTTTTTTAATCGAATTTATCTATTTGTTTACAAATTTTCAAATCAAAAAAGATTTCATAAAATCCGTATTGTAAGATTGCAATGATTAGGAACTGGTATATAAACAAAATCAAGTTCAGAAAAAAAAGTTAATAAATAAAACCGGAAACTGATTATTGTTAATCTAATTTAATTTTAGTCTGTCCGGTTTATAACAATTTAAAAAAAAAAAAATTTAATCAAAAGAAATTGATAAAATAACAGCTGGCATTGTGGTCGTTGTTTCAAATTATTTTTCGTTTTTTTTTTTTTTTGTTTACTTGTTACCACCTGCGACATTGTCAATTCCTTTTATAGTTTGTGTTTGTAAAAAAAAAAAAAATAATTTCATTTTTTTTTTCAACTTTATTTCAAATTTATATTTGGTAAAAAAAAGGAATTAAAAGAAAAAAAAAAAACAAACTGAAAAACACATAAAAAATCATTTAATATTGAATTTTGAAACTTTTTTCTTCTTTTTTTTATATTTTTAATTTCAAATTTTACTATTCACTTTTTTTTTTTGTTTTAATAACTTTAAAAAAATATCAATTCAAAGTATCATTGATAAAATATTAAATTCTTCATATTAAAAAGTGTTTTTTTTAATTAAATTTTATAAAAATTGGAATAATTTGATTAACAAATTAAAAAAGGAAAAAAGTATAATTTTGCTACAAACACAACAAAAAATTTTAATTTTTAATAAAACTTTAGCAGAAATTTTCATTCCAAAAACTTCAAATTCAAAATTTTCAAAGCAGTTAATAGCTTTCTTAAATTAAAATAGAAAATAAACATACCTTTTTAAATTTTTTAAATGGAATGCATAACTTTTAATTTTTAACATTTTCATTTTTATACTATTTCAATCGATTGCAATCCATTTTAATTTTTTAAAATATGCATTTGTTAACTCGAATTTAAATATCAACATTTAAAAAAAATTTTTTTTTACTAAATATAATTTAGTTTGAGTTTAAATCAAATGTTTTAGAAGTAAAAAAATAAAGTTAAATAAGGAAAAAATTGAATTTTTGGAAATTAAATTAATTTTTCGATTGCATCTTAAATATCAAACTATAAATTTGATTAAAATTATTATCACAAAATAACAAAATAAAATTAATTTTTTAATTTTTTGCTGAATCATTTAATTCTAATTAGAAAAGTTTTAAAACAGTAATTTGTTTACTTTCATTTTACAACATTTAATCCAACAATTATGAATAGAAAAAGACTTTATTTTAATTAAATTTTCGAATTTTTCTATATTTGAAATTTTTAATTAATTTTTACAAAATTAAATACTTAAATGAAATTTATTTTTATAATTAATCATTGCAAGTAAATAATATATTTGTTGCTGAATTTAGATATACCAATGAGAAAGAAGTTATTAATTGACGTATTGGAGTGACGTGATCGAGAGAAGCACGTGATTTATACGTGATGATCAAGCTTTGAAAACAATTCTAATTTTTCCAAAATTTAAATGTTTATTTTTTGATTGTTTGAAGAAAAAGAAAGAAAAACAAAATGGATTAATCTGTTGAAAATATAATTTAAGCTAATGCAAAAGAAATTAATAAAATTTAACTCAAATATTACTTAACTCTAAATTCAGTTGAATTTTATATTTTATAGTAAACATTTTTTTAAATTTTAAATTGAAAAAAAAAAAAAATTTTTTTGTGACTTTCATTGCACAGAAATAAAGTTTTCTCGTATTGCTACAATTTCTAACCCTTAAAAAGTTGAAATTTTGATTTAAAAAAAAAAATTAATTAAGAATTAATTAAAAACAAAAAAAAAAATTTGGATGAACTGAAATTGTCAAAATATCAAAATTTATAATTTAATTTTTATTAAAGTATATGTCTTATATTTATTTATTAATATTATATTTTACTTTCAAAATGTGTTTTCAAAAAAAAAAATTGGCAAAAAGAAAAAACTGAAATTAAAAATATTTGAATTTCTAAACAAAAAAAAAAGAAATGCCAAGCTCCTACATCGATAAATTTGTTTTGGCTAAAAATAGTTTAATTAAAAGTAATTTTGATCTGAAGCAACGATCAGATCAAAAAATTATCGTTCGATTAATTTAAGTAATTTTCGCTTTTTTCTTTTAAAACAGTAATATTTGCAATATGTTTGTTACTTTAAATGTTTTATCACTAAAATATTCCATCTTATCATTATCTTATCACTCAGGCAATTATCCAACGACGAATGAACTTTTTTAAATTTATATTACATAGTTAATCTAAAATTATCTCTTCTAGTACAATTATTTTTTAATTTGAAAATTTTTGAATGCTATTAATCAAAAATTTATTTATTACTAATCTTTTTTTTCTTGAATAAACAAAAAATAAGAAATTTAATTTAAAAATTATTAATATTTGTTTTTTGTATTTCTTTGCTAAATGCTCAATAATTGTTTGTTTATTTGGCTAAAATGTAAATATTTACTCATTTAAAATTATATTAGAAATAAATGGAAGAATGGCTATTAGAGAAGTTGGAAGAATAATAAGTAGAATTAGAATTAATAATTGTTGTAGTATTTGAAGCAAAAATAAAGTTAACATAAAGAGAGAGAGAGAGGGAGAGGGAGAGGAAGAGAGAGAGGTAAATGAAATCATCGAATTGGAAAGAAAATGTTTGAAAAGGATTGTGATAAAATGACCTTTGTGTGACCCTCAAAATGTGATGATCATTCATGAATGTGATGCAGTGACAATTATTAATGTAGGAATGAAGAAATAACAAAATGAAATAATAAAATAAGAAAAAAAAGAATAGAAATATATTTTTTTAAAAAAAATTTATTTTATTTTATTTAGTAATTTTAATGATTGATAATGATAAGATTTCATAAACATTTGATAAAATTTGATAACAAAATGTTAAACATCAAATAATCGTTGACAAATTTTAATATATTTTGTTTGAAAAGTCCGTAAAGCATAAATTTCGATGAAGAAAAGAAATAATCGATTTAAACAAAATTTAATAAAATGATAAGAATGATAATAATAACATTCAAAAATAATGAAAATATCTGAAAAAAAGACAAATTGGTAATATTAATTAGTTAGGAAATGAGCATAAAAGTATTATATAAAATGTAAAATAATTTTCAAATCATTTTATCACTTTTTTAATTAATCATAAAATGAACAATGAAAATTATCTCGAGACCATTAATAAAAATTAATGATCTCGAGATATTTATTTATTATTTGTTAATATTTCATTTAAGAATATTTTTTTAGCGCTATAACTCTATAATATTTTCTAAGCAGTGATAATAAATTTGGGGGATAACAATTTATGATAAGCTAAGTAGCATTAAAATTATCACTAACTGATAACACAGTTGCTTTTAAATTATTATATTATTAATTTTATTTGAATTAAGTTAATATTTTCGAAATTCTTTTCTGAAAGTTATTCTAATCAAAATTTTTAAAATAAAAATTTTCATATTATTATTATTATTATTATTAATAATAAATCGTAAATAATGAATCTGAAAGGAAAAGCTTGCAATTTAGATTTGCAATAAATTTCATTTTTGATTAAAGGGTGAAAAAAAAAATCAAAATTTAAATTTTTGTCACTATAATTTTATTTTGTTTACTTTTTACTTATTATAATTTACTAGTTTTTTGCTCACTTTTTTAATTAAATAATTAATTAATTAAAGCAGTAATGAAATTTATGCTCTAAATATTTTGAATTATTTTATTTTAAATGAGCATAATTTGCAAATAAAAAAAAATTGTTTTTTCGGGATAATATAACGTGTAATATATTTATGTATTAGCTAATTTTTTACAAAAAAAAAAAGGAAATAATTTGATTTTTAATAATATTAAATTTTATTTGAAATAGTAGAAAAAAAAAGAGAAAAAAGTGATTGCTAGGAGTTTAAAAAAATAGGTCAAACAAATTTAAAAATTAGATTGAATTGAATTAAACACTGATTGAAACAGAAGTATTAAATTACTTCTGCCCTGAAATTATTGCTGACACTATTACTATTTCATCGTTATCATTATCACTATCGTTATCATCATCATTATCATTATTATCACTATTGTTGTCAACATCACCATTATCATTATTATCACTATTTTCACCAACATCATCATTATCATTATTATCACTATTGTTGTCACCATCATCATTATCATTATTATCACTATTGTTGTCACCATCATCATTATCATTATTATCACTATTGTCATCAACATCATCATTATCATTATTATCACTATTGTTGTCACAATCATCATTATCATTATTATCACTATTGTTGTCACAATCATCATTATCATTATTATCACTATTGTTGTCACAATCATCATTATCATTATTATCACTATTGTCGTCAACATCATCATTATCATTGTTATCACTATTCTTATCATCATCATTATTATCATCCTATTGAAAAAATACCGCTCATTATTTTTATGTGTGTTGTTATTTCTTCAATAATTTAATTTTTGTTTGATATCATAGAAAAGAAAAGAAAGAAAAAAAAACACCAACGAAAAAATTTGAATTTAATTAGACGAAATTAAATTTTTATTGCTAATTTTATTGATGTCATATTAATCATATAACAATTAAATTATTATTAAAAATTTAAAAATTTCAAATTATTTTTCATCAAAATATTGAAATGGATATTAGGCGTAAGTTATTTTAATTTTGTAATATTTCTTCTAAATGTCATATTTGATCAATAATTTAAGCGAATTCATTTTTTTTTTTAAATGATTGTTTGTCATTTATTTAGCTTTTTTTTTTTAAATTTTAACTTAAATTCTTGATCTATTTTTTTTTTTAAATTATCAACCTAAATGCTAAATTTTGGATTAATTATCCAAACTAATTAATTATTAAATTGCACTAATAATTAAAAAAAACTTTCTCAAATATTCTTCCACTTTTTCTTTTTTTCTTTCAATTTCATTTTTTTTTTAAAATTAATTTCAATGTCAGAGTTACTTCAATAAAAATATGAGAATATAAATTTCATTTAAAGAATTAAATATTTTTCAAAGGAATTCAAAATGATGCATGCATTTAATGCAAAAAAAATTAAAAATAAAAATAAACATAAGTTATTCGAAGATAAATGAGTAAACAAAATAATTAAGCAATGAAAAATTAATTTTTAAAAAAGAAGAAAATAAATCAAAAAATTTGATTTGTTTATGAGACTGTCGAAATTTTAATTATCAAATGATTTCATGCATGTTTATGCCAGTTGATAACAACTTATTTCAATAAATTTCATCCTTTTCTACCTTCCTCTCTCTCTCTCTTTCTCTCTCTCTCTCTCTCTCTCTTTGCCTTATAAATCTTTTCAAACCTGTTATGAATAACAAAATTAAATAATAAAATTTATTTTAAGATTTAATTACCAGCAGTTAATTTACAAACAATTTAATTTGCACAAATTATTTACTTGTCATAAATGGCTTTTACTTCATTGCTAAGAAAAAACAATTAGTTAAGAAAAAAAATAAACAAAAAAAAAAAAAAAAAAACAACACAAATAAATTTAGTAAATAACAAAGAAAAATATTTATTAAATTAAATTAAATAAACTTTAAAGTTTTTCAAAAATTCTCATTTTTAAAACAAAAAAACTTTATCCTCTAACAAAAATTTAATTTAGTTTTAATTAACAAAATTTTAATTTAATTTTAACTTTGATTGTATTCAAATTAATGTCTATAAAACGTATGAATTTTAGATTTTTCTTTTTTTTGATATCAGAAATCGAATGATTCTAACACAAAAAAAAGTCATTTTTTTAAATAAACAAATTTAATTTGAAATGACAAATGAGGAGTAAAAGTACAGTTAGAAATAATTTTGTTAAATTTTAATTTGCTTTAACAAAAATAATTAAATTAAATGAAAAAAATAGAAAGACAGGAACAAAAAAAGAAAAATAAAATTGAAAAATTTTTTTAAAAAAAAAAATTTCAAACCCAAGCAATTTTAAATAATAAACAATAATTATTGCTAATTAGAATTATTAAATATCCAAAGAATAATTTGCAAAAATTAAATGATTTCATTAAATTTTAATAAAATTAAAAAAAAAAATTGCTAATAAAAATAACACAATAAAATATTTTTATAATATCATTGATTGTTTACATTATGAAAATGAATTCAATTCATTGTTTATTTTCTTTTTTTCCTAAAAATGCTTCCTAATTAATATAATTTTTGAAAATACTTATTTGCTAAATTCATTATTCGAATATTAAAATTAAAACCAAAATGTTTAGAAAAAAAAATTTTTTTTCTTTTTTATTTTTTTTGATGAAATGAAATTTTTGAGTTGAAATTTTATCAAACTAATTCCGATAATGATTTGTCATAATTTCAGTGATAAATTTGTGATTTAAATTTTATGCAAATTGTTTTAAATATTTTTTCGTACCTTAAACTATCAATTGCTAATTAATTTACCAAAAAAGAAAAATCTAAATTTTAAAAAAGTTTTTTTGAAAAGAAAAAAAAAATTTTTTTTCATGAAATTTTCTAGCATTGCAAAAAGGATGAAAACGAGAATTGAAAGATGAAATTGCTATTATAACTAATGGAATTGTTACACTCAATTTAATTTAATTTTACCAACAATTCGAATTGAATTAAATTTAATTGAAAATTTACATTTTTATTAATGGTATATATTTTTAAAAATAATATTTTATTAAATTTTTGATTCATTTTCTTGTCTGTTTTGTTTTATTTGTTTATTTATTTATTTATTATTATTATTATGAATAAATAATATCTACTTTCACTTATATATTTATTGATTTATTATAAGTAAATAATTTTTTATTGGTCAATTTATTTATTTATTATTATTATTATTACTGCTAAATTTGTTATTTATTTATATTTACTTATTTGTTTATTAATAAAAATAATGATTTATTTATTTATGAAATATCTATTATTCTAAGTAGTTAATTTATTTATTAGTTAATTAATTAATTCGTTATCATCATTATTATTAATTATTATTATCATCAAAAAAAAATTATTTATTTGTATTTGCTTATTTTAGTTATAATTAAAATTTTTTTTAATTATAATTTTAAAAAATATATAATTTAATTCCAAAAATATTAGTAACATATAGCGGATGGCTTATAAATAACATAAATAATTGTGAAATTAGCAAAGTGACACTAATAAAAATAAAATTAATTTATTAAATTTAATGTAAAATCATATTTCATTACAAAATATCTTTTTTTTAATTTATTAAATAACAATTACAAATATTTTTTATTTTCCAAACAATGAAATTAGTAAAAATTTTTAATAATAAAAACTTAAATTAAATTTACAATATATTTTAATGATTGTAAAAAATGAAATAAATAAACGGAAATGGATGATAATGTCTTTTCGAGAAATGGCGTCAACAAAATATGCCATACTCACTAATTTACATTCAAAAAAAAGAAATTTAAATTTTTGAAAATGAAATTTTGGAAGAATGAAATTATAGTTTAAATTTTATTGAAATTTTTACCTATTAAATTAACTCAATTAGTTATGATGAAAAAGAAAGAAAGAAAATTTTTTAATAAAATATTGGTAATTTAAACTGCTACTTTATTTTTTCATAAAAAAAATTCAATAATTGAATAATTGTTTAATTAATAATTCAATTCATTTAATTTATTATTACAAAATTTAATTTCTTATTGTTAAAAATATACAATCTGTCATATTTGTATGCAAAAGTAAAAAAAAATTCATTTATCATTTTATTTTTTTCATATATATATATTAATTGTGATATAATATAAACCTGAAATATTACTTATAAATTATTACTTTACCTAAAAAATGCTTACTTTTTTACTTTCTTTTACTTGTAGAGAAAACTATCTAATTAAATAACATTGTATTATTATTTTTATCAATCTTTTCATGATATCATAAATGATATAAAGTAGTTAATTTTTGAACAATAACTTTACTTGTAAAATGAAAAGTAAGTAACTCATCAATTTTAGAATGCACGCTTTTACGTCATTCGTATATTCCATACAAATTTTAGAATACACGTTTTTACGTCATTCGTATATTTCATATAAATTTTAGAATACACGTTTTTACGTCATTCGTATATTTCATACAAAATTTCATTTATTTTTTTTTTACCCATTATATCGTGAAATTTTGCTTGTAATTTGGGAAAAATTTTTCAATCATCATAAAAAGAAAAAATCACGTTATTATAGCAATTTAAAGGAGTTATTTTCTAATATTATAGATATGGAAGCTCTTTTCAATATCAGAGAGGGAGAGAGAGAGAGAGAGGGAGAGAGAGAGAAAATTTTTCTTTTGTTATTAAGAAGTATTTCAGGTTTTAGTAAAAAAGAAAAAAAAAAGGAGATATTTATTAAATTTCAAACTTGTTTCGTTTTTTAAAATATATTAAGATATAGCAAACAATAGCAACAACAAACTGTTTTTATATTATAATATTTATAGGCCATTTAAAAAAAAAATTAATTTATTTCCTGAAAATAAAATAATGTATTATTTAGAATAATAGCTTTTGTGATGAATAAATGAATCAAAATACCTTTTTTTTAAAAAAAAAAGATTTAAAAAAGATAAAGAAGTTCAGTTATAAATTTCTTTCCATTAAAAAAGAAAAAAGGAATTTCCCGGGAAGAAATAAAAATAACTGGGGAAATTCAAGGGTAAGAGCAAGAATTTATGCCAATACGTAATATATTCATTTAAAAATTGATAAAATTTGTTTCTTTTTTTCTATCTTTCACTTTCTATTATTAGCTTTTTCTATGATTATTTATTATTATTATTAATATCATTATTATTGCTATTATTATTATTATTGCCATTATTATTATTACTATTATTATTAGTAGTTTTATTGTTGTTATTTAGTATTTACAAAATATTAATGCTATTATTTAATTACAAGTACTAGTATTATTTACTACCCATTACTTATAAATAGGTATGCTATTATTTATTTACAAATGTTAATGCAGTTATTAATTGATTAACTAAATAATTAATTTATTTATTTATTCTTTTAAAACTATTATTTTGTTTTATTTTTATAATTGAAAGTATCATTACTATTACTTATTTACAAATATTATTATTATTTATTACTTACAAAAATATTAATACTGCCATTAATTAATTAACTAATTAATTAATTTGTTCATTTATTCTTTTATAACTATTATTTTATTTAATCTTAACAATTGAAAATTTTTGTGTATTTTTGTTACTTGTAATTTATATTTTGGAGTTGGATTGAAATTGAATTGGATTAATTAAAATTATTGCTTATTTCTTTTTTATGCTAACAAAATTTCATTGAAGTCATAGTGATATAAAATATTAAAGTATACAATACAATGTATTAAAACTATTTATTTATAAATTATTTATTTAGTTATTGCAAAATTTTTAATTTTTAAAAAAAATTTTTAATTTATTTATTTTTTCATTCTATTATTCTCTTTTTTTTTAATTTCTAATTTAATAATATTTCCTATTCATGTTTAATGTTGTAAAATTATAAAATATATTATTTTTAAAAGAAAAAAAAAAAAACCATTTGTAATTATATGGATAAAATTAACTGCAAGAATTAGCACAAACAAATGTATCACAATAATAATAATAATGACAATTATAATAATAGTGATGATGATAATAATGGCCTATTGATAATAATAGTGATAATGATGATATAATATAATATAATAATAATAATAATGATAATAATAATAATATTGATAATAATAATAATAATAATAGTAATAATAATAACAATGATAATGATATAATAATAATAATCGGAGACGAATTTTTCATCAATTTCATATCAAATGATAAAAATCAACCAAAACAGTAATTAATTGATAACTCAATATATGCAACTTCATTACTATGAGCTTCTTTTTTCCACTTTGCTAAATTAATTCATTTTATTTCTTATTTTCTTATTCCATAAATATTTCTAATATTTACCTGAAATTATAGCTAAGGTAAACACTCTTTTATTGCAATAAAAAGATACAAAAAAAAAAAATAATCTTAAAATAAGTGAAGTGATGCGAAACAATTTGTCCTAACTATTTACATTTTCTTAAGAAGCAAAAAAAAAAAAAAGATAAATAAATTTAATTAGAAATGAAATTCTTAAATAAAGAAAAAGATAGAAAAATAAAAAGATTTAAAAAAAAAAAAATCGAATAGCTAATAAATAATGATAAATTGACCAGAAGAAACTAATTGAATTAATTAATCGAAATAGTTGACTGATTGATTGATTGATTGAAAATGGGTAAAAATTGGGTTTCTATTGGTAAATTAACTTTTTTTTTTCTTATATGAAAAGAATAATTATTTTGTAAAATTTTTTTTTCCTTACATTTTTGAAATTAAATTAAACTTTTTATAATATTTATATAATAAAGATGAAAAATAAAAAACAAAATAGAGAGAGAGAGAGAGAGAAGACTATAAAGTTTCTTTTTTTATAATTTAAGCAATAAATTTTAAATGCTATAAAATTTATTCATTAATACTTCAAACGTTTTCAACGTTGTTAACATAAGTGATATATGTTATGGCTTACGTTGAAGCGTAACGTGTTTTCCGTTTTTTTTTTATTTTTACGTCGTAATTTTCATTAATAGAAATTTTCTTTAAGAAAGGAAAAAAACGAAGAATAATAAGGACAATTATAAAAAAAAAAAAAACATAAAAAATTACTAAACTTTAAGAATGCTACATAAAAGTTATTTTATTTAATTTCAGTAGCTAAATTTTAAAAAGTTAAATTTAAAAAGTTAGAACTAATTAAAAGAAAATTTTTTTACATAAATACGAAACAAAGATGAACATTTATAAATTTTCGATTCATATTTTAATCATTTTTTATTAACTAATCCTTTCTTTTTTTTTTGGGCTATGTTTTTGTGTATAAATTCTTTTTTTAAATTTAAATTAATTCTTTTAGCTTCAAAAAAAAAAAAAATTTTGAATCTTTCTTATTGAGAAAAAAATGTGCACATAATGGTATAAAAAATTATTATTAAAAAATATTTAATTTTATTTTTTTTTTTAAATGAGATAGAAAAGGATGAAGAAAAGAAATTACTCATATTTTTTTTGCAATTAAATGATATTTAACAATTTCAATTTATTATAAACTCAAACTCTAGTATTAATTCTGATTTATTTTGTTAATATATTTTTTGATAAGACTATTTGTGGTTATTTCAAATATTTGAAAAAAAATTTACTGCTATTAAGTGTAATTGTAATAATTTTAAAAAAAAAGGCTAATCGATCGATTTCTTCGTTTGTTTTTTTTTATGTTCAATCTTCAATTATATTGCAAAGTTTCATTAAAATTAAATTATACGTTAATATTTCACTTAATTAAATAATTATAGAAAAAAGAAAAGAAATAATAGTTATCACATACGAGTATAAAACTCGTTTTGACAGGTATTGACAGGTGTGTAAACAAAAATAAAATAAGCAAGCTTGAGAGCAAATTAAATATTCGTCAATTATTTTTTATCGCTTCAATGAAATTTCAATTTTCCTTCCATTCACTGTCAACTCAGTGTTATTTTTCAAAAAGTATTACTTAAAAAAAAAAAAGGTTATTCAATATATCACCAGTAATTTATTTAATTATTAAAATTAATTGATAAAAATTTGATGATATATTTTTTTTCAATTTTTTCTAACAAAGTCGCTTAAATTTAACAAATTAAAAGCTAACTTTTGACAAAATATTGAAGTTAATTGATTACTAATATTTAGTTAATTCCTTATCAAATCTTACTATTACTCATGTTTCGGCATTACATGAGCTAACAAATTTATGTTTGAAAATTTTATGTTGAAAAATGAATCATATATGATATCAAGTAGTAAAATGAAACATTGAGAAAAAAATAAAATCTTAACAATCGTGTTGGACAAGAAATTTGCATTCTGTGAGCATCGCATTTCTTGGTTTGAATAACGGTTGGAAGTAGTTCACGTTTTACGTGTACCGTACGCATTTCACTTTTACTTATTGTTGTTTCTCTTCAAAGTCTTTTTTTTTCTTTTTCTTTTAGGTGCTATTGTTTAGATGACAATAATTAGCCGAAGATTATCACGTCTGTTTGCACAAGCGTTTTGTGCTAAATCAGACGTTTTAGCACCAAAAGATGTCACGCCATTAAATGCTGTGTATGATAAGGTTACACATACTGGGCAGGTAAGTAATTAATCATTTTTATCATCTTTAAAATTGTATTAATATTAGTGTTAAATTGCATTTCGAGGCAGTGAGCGATTACTTTCCGAAATAGCACATTAGAACTTAGCAAAATACGCTTTTTGTCATTGTAAGGTAATTTTTGGGTTGAAGGATCCATAAAAATATAAGGAATAAGTAAGGATAGACCTGATGATCGAGCATTTTCAGTTTTTACTTTTTGATTTTTGAACTTTCACATTACATCTCAGTAAGTATCATGTTATAATAGGCATGGGACCAAGCCGATCATCGAAATGTAAGGTTTACTATAATGCCGAAACAAGTAAATCCAAATGTTGCACAAAAGTTGATCGCTGAAGTACCACCAATTGAAACGGATCAACGTATCGTACATTGTGATGGTGGTCATTCAGCATTAGGTCATCCACGTGTATATATTAAATTGGTTAGTAACTTCTAGGTTATCTTTACCACTTTATGCATGTAATATACTACATGAAAACATAAATACTATATAATATTCTTCTTAGCACTTATTAATCTCTATTTAGATATTATAAAGGAATAAAATAGTTTAAAGTTTCAGAACTATTGCAATAAATTCTGCGTATTGTTTTGACAATACTTAGATATTAAACAGAAATGCTATTTTGAGTTTTAATAGGACGACATATTTTAATTCTTTCAAGTTGGATAAAATTCAAGTCAATATAGAGACCATCTAAGCATGATGAATGTAATGGAGGTACCTTTAAATAATGGTTGATGAGAAGTTGATAATGGTTGATAAAAGTTAATTGTTTTATTATTCATAAGTATCATGTAATGGTGATAAATGTTGAATACTTTTTCAGTCATTGTAGTTCTTTTATTTTAGTTTTGTTATACGTATATTCTTAAAAGGAAACAAAACTCAAACTATAGATGTAATTAAACATGATAGGAAGTCTTATTCTTGAGCAGGGAAGAAATAATAATGCTTTTTCAGGATAAACCTGGCAATCATGCATGTGGTTATTGTGGACAGCGTTTCGTAAACACTCATTTCACTCAAGGTAGTGACCATGATATCAACCATCTGGTAACATAGACACCCACTTCTCTGAACACTTGTAAATTATGCTTAGATCCTACTTGCAGTGTGTAATGAAATCTGAATTTCCGATCTTGCTGCCTTTTTTTGTTACAGATATTAAATTTTCTATGTCATCAGCACACTGTTGAACCAGTTGTGCCGTAAAGGTTATCGATAACCATCACCGATCAGTGACACCGTTTTCGTGTGTCTCTTCATGTTCTGAAAACATATATTTGTCGGCTCTGCTTTGTTCAAGCATTACTACAGGGAATAAATTGTTCTGCGGATTCCCAAAGGAAAAACCCACTTATATTTATCTAGTATTTAAATTGCAAGGTCCCATATTTTATTATACAATTAAGGCAAACAATATAAAATCCATTTAACAATAGCACAAGTACGAAACAATGGAAATTTTAAAAAAAAAAAGTGTATTTTCTTTTCCCAAGTTGTGTATGTGACACGATATAATGGCCAAAAACGAATTGGTCGAGCGGTGGCTGCTTCATTTCTTCTATTTCACGTCATACACTTATTCGGGAAAAAATGAATACCAGTTTAACCGCTAAAATGCCACCTACAACCTTAGAATACAAAAAAGCGGTTCTTATTCTTCTATGCACAAACACATTCGGAGTTTGCCGTGTTTCACTTGGTGACAAAATAATGAATTAATCGATGGTATTAATACAAATTTATGAAATACAACTCACATAATAAAATCAAATTGCTATAGTATTTTAAAACGAAAAAATGAATCAAATAAACATGTGAAGTTATAGGCTTTAAGACATGCATAAAACTATCCAGGAATGAACATAGTCTGTGCATATTATGAACTTTAACCCTCCTTGTTTTGCCATAGAAGGGAAAAAATTCACAGAAATCAAAACTTTATATTCCTCTATTTTCAGCAACAAAGTGGTGATCACTTTATCCCATATTGAAAGAGATGCCATTTTGTTGACGCAAAATACATCCACTGGACTACTAAGTAGAGAAGTAGCGATGAAATTTTTGTTTCGATGAAATATGCAATTAAAAAATGTAGAATATGCTGGACATTTTTGCCTTGCTCGGTCAGCTAATTTAAAAAAAAGAATTAAATCCAGAAAAGATGACCAAACGACCAGCAAGATATTCCCTCAGAATGACGCCTAAACTTTCAATTATTTATTATCTGAGGTATAAAATAAACTGAAGCCAGCATTAACACACTCCATTATATTTTTTGTACAACAATGTTCGGCTGTTTTTGGTCTGAAATGTGTTAATGCAATTAACGAATCGAAAATAAGCAAAAAATAAAAATAACGGCATTTTGGAATGATCATTAAAAATGCACTAACGACACTTTAGAATCAGCCCAAGGGCATGCTTATACCCTTCAAAAACGTTCATGAAGAATAAACTAAATTTCTAAAATGCCATAAATGATCCACGTTCAAATTCATTTCTCCACAACAAATGGATGTTTAAGTGCTTCACCACACGTTATGCGCTTTGAATTATCCAGTGTAACCATAGCATCCAACAAAGAACGGAACTGTTCAAGTTTCCGCATGCCTTCCTAAAATAACGCTTTATGATCCATGTAAAATTTAGATTTAATAGCTGAAAAATAACAACAAACAAAATGTTAAACTGACTTACCTTGTCAAGTTCCTGGTCACCCAATAACTCGCTTTCTAAATTTCGAGTGATCTTCACGACAGACAACGTAGTTATCTGTAAAAATAACTGCTAATCAATTGATTACCATATTGTCACCTAGGATATTTATGACTAGAACGTTACAATTAATGACATTCTTAATCAATATATAAAATTCCGTTAAACATATGTTAACAAAATTGATAGAAATAGACTTCGAAAAGCTTGATTTTCCATCAGACTTCTTAATCAATGTATAAATATAAAAATCAGTAAATCCAAACAATCTGGTGGCTAGCAGGATAAGATGTTTTAAAAAAAAACGACAGACTAATGCATGCATATTACAAGAAAAAACAAACTTTATCTCGTTGCGTCACTTTGTCGATCTCATGATATAAGAAGTTGCAATTCTGATCAAAATGTTGATCTTTAAATTGTGCCTTTCGTACCATTTTGTTTGGGAATTTCCCTTTTAAATCCATCATAAATTTCAACATCTGATTGTTTGATTTCCCAGCGAACATAATTTTGCCTGTATACACTTCATAAAGTGTGACAGCTACCGACCATAAATCGATGCCAAAATCATATGGTAATCCGAGCACTGTAATTAGTGTCAATTACATCCAATATCGGCTTACAATTCATTGACAAAATCAAGTTTAATCAGGTAAAAAACTGAAATCTCAAAATTCAAATCAAAATTACAGTGGCAATACTTACTTATTTCCGGCGCGCGGTAAAAACGAGATACAAGATATGGAGCTACTTCAGCATCAGCAACATGACATCCAGAACCAAAATCGCATAATTTTAAAGTCATCTTAGTGTCATTTACCTAAAAAAACCCTAATAAATAATCGAATGACAGAACATTAGAACATAAAAAGCTGTCAATGTCGTATGAAATAACTGAACATAATTCAGATAAGACGGTCATTTTCAACAAAGTTACAGAAATGTATCAAAATGATCCAAATTAATAGGAATAAATAACTAATAGTTACCCTCCATTAAGTAATTATTATGCAAGAACTCTCACATTTCAAAAGAAAAGGTTTAGTTTTAATCTTGCAAAAGAATAAAAAAAATCACAGTGAATACATTCAAGTTTGAACTTCGCTATAATCATTCAATCATTTTACTTACAAGAATGTTATCCGGTTTGATATCTGCATGAAGAATATTGCATTTTTTGAGTAACCTAAGAGCCATCAAAAGTTGCTGAGTATAACTGCGTACAGCTTTCATGTGTAAACCAACGCTATTCCCATACTTCTTTAGTAGTTCGCGAAGATTCATACTGAAAAAGAAATTTCTTTTCTAAAATACTTCTATGATCAAATAAACCGAAAAGTGTAAAAGCTGAGGATAACATACCTGAGAGATTCGAAAACCAAACAGAGATGCTGATGGTGATAAAAGTGCCGATAAAGCTGAAGGCAGTGATACCGATCATCTCGATCTGCTTCATTTAATTTTTTTAAGATATCCAATTCTTTCATACCCGTTCTTCGCCTGAAGATCACTTTCAGCTTCAAGCAACATTTTATTAATCTCATGATTCATTTCAAAGGCTAGCGGTTACCACGTTCGAATAACCCTAAGACCGCCGCCGTCTTGTAAAGTTCCTGGTATTTTGTGACACAGACGAGGAGAAAATAAGACAATTTCAAGTCAATACCCATTAAATTAATTCGAACCTCAATTTCAGTTCATCTATGAGCCTCTCTAACCAACCGTACTGATAAAAACTAAACAAGCTATCAAAAAAAAACTGGCTAATGGCTATTTGAGATGAATGTACCAAATGAGAGGATTCATTGCTATATATATATGTGTGTGTGGTGGTAATGGTAGTGGTAGTGGTGGGTAATGGCGACCGATCACAGAGGAAACTCGTCATTGCAGCATCACAGCTTGGCTGTAACAAATCAAAGCACATCGAGTCTACAATTAACTAAACAAATTAAAAATTTGTACTCAAAATAACAAAAAACGCTATAATAGCTGATTAGGGAGTACAAATATATTTTGGGACGCTCCGCAAAGCACTTTTCTAACCACATCTTAAGCTTTGAAAATGCCCGATTAGTATTCTGCAAGTTACGATATTTGACAAGTTAAATTGAAGAATATCACCAACTGAAATTTCTTTCAAGAAAAACTGAGAATTTAAATTAAATTATCTATTTAATAGACAAGCTGGAAGATGAACAGGAAAGAGACAAGTGAAATTTTTTGCCATGCGGATCGTCCCTAACACAGGCAAAACTTACATCACTTCGTTATTGCGGATAATTTTCACCGCCACATGTGTATTACTTCGTGCTGCATCCGTAGCGCGCACTACATTACCGAATACTCCTGCACCAGTATAACCGTAAACGCGGTATCGACTATCAAGCATCTCACCAATACGAATCCCTGTAGGAAGCGAAATTCTTACTCATTCAAATTATTCGATAGATAATTTAGAAAGAAAAACATAGCATTTGATAGATTACAATCACTGTATAACTTTTAAAAGTGGAACCATATCATTTCTGGAATATATTTGTAAGTATAATGTGAAATATGCAACCTTGAGTCAGACATGGTTTTATATCGATCTATCAAAATAAACTCCCAGCACTAGATACCAAATATTTTGCTTAACTAATGTAACTGATTAGATCATTAGTATCTTGTCATTAAAAAAAATGAAATTTAAATAAATTAAACAAAGAGAAAAAGCTTGAAAAAAAAAAAAAAACTAACTATAATAACCATCGGTATCATCCCAGTTATCCTTCAACGAAGCATTAGCTGGTTCTTGTCCAGAAACTATTATTGCAGCTTTGTTCAATACCTAGAACATACAGTTTTTTTTTTTTTTTTTTCGAAACACTATCATTTTTAAAAAATCTATTAAATTTCCTACCCATAATGGAAGGAAGCAACCACAACAAAAAAAAAAAAAAAAATGCAAAAGAACCTCAGGAGGAAGTTCGGCATCTGTTGCAAACATATCAAATGTAGTAGTAGTACAGTCTTCGACAATTTTATTCTCTACTTCCCGTTTGGTATCCTCTCCACGCTGTCTTCGTAGTTCTTCAGCTTCCTCTTCCACTGCTTTTCTTAGTACACGATCAACAGCAGATTCTTCTTGGCCCTAAATAAAATTACGATAACAAAATGATTTAGTAAAGAAAATCAATAATCAAATTCTAATCTAAAAAAAAAGAACTCCTTTTAAAGCGAAAATTCCAGACCTACCTTGATATGAACCATTTTCTCTTTCAAATCACCATAGAAATCTGCCGGAGTATCCTCACCAGTGGGTGAAATCGGACTACTGCAGCAAGATAAATCACTGTCATACTTCTTCTGGAGTTCCTGCTCAGCTTCTCGCAATAATTGTTCATCAGCTGATTGACTTGATGTTTCTTCATCACCAAACCTCTCAAAACTCTGCTCTTGTTTAATATTGTCTGCTTTGAAATTTGTTTCTTCGCAGTTATCTTCATTCACTGATACTTCATCGAAGTCAGTTTTCGCCCTAAAAAAAATCACACATTCACTAATCAGAAACTCCTTTAATTTATTAAAATGAAAAAACAACAAAATTCCACCTTGGTCGCTCTTTTTCATCATTCTGCTTTTCAATGTTTTTTATGATTTGCTGACGACGTTTTCGAAGCTCTTGAATTTTTTTTTCTTCTTTTTCGTCAGGATCTTCCCATTCAATCGAACTAACACTACCTTCCCGACGATGATAGTCTCTTTTCTGGTCCCTGAATACAATTAATTTACGGCTAGTGTGAAATAATTAGCCACTTGGAATTTAAGAAAAAATTTACTCCTGAAAATTAAATTTCCGGAGAAAGTTATTATATGGATATTGATGGAACTATTCATGTGATGTGATGAGCCAAACATACTATGGACCTTTCGTCTAACTCACCCATGAACTTTAGTTTCTGACTTCAAAGCATCGTCGCGCCGACTTTGACTTTTACCATTAGAATCTCGCCGAGATTCAGTTTTCCCTTTGTCACCATGTCGATCTCTTGATTTAGCTCGTTCATGTCTTTCTCGCTCACGAGATGACTCTCTACGACGTTTCAGCTCAAGGCGAGAACGATCCCGAGATCTGCTTCGACGAGGGCGGTCTCTAGACCTGCTTCGACGAAAATGATCGCGTGATCTGCTTCTTTCACGTCCAACTCTATCTCTAGACCTCGAACCATCCCTTCGCAGTCGTTCCTTAGATCTGAAACAAAGGGTATTTTGGAAATTCTAAGACAAAAAATCTCGCAGCCTTGGAATTTACTGCCATTAAAGATTACTTGCAAGCATTAGGAGAAATGCCCCTGAATCAAAATCAAAAAATGCAAAAAAGACTCACCTAGATCTAGATCTGGAACGTGGAACACGCCGTCCCGTTGAACGGGAACGTCTGTCGGAACGTCTGTCGCGATTACGGTCTCGATCACGTCCCAAGCGACCTGATCTTGAGCTACTTCTACGTCTATCATCTTTGAATCTTGAAATACTACGGCGAGACCTGCGATCTCGTGACTCTGATCGCCGTTCCTCTGTTTTTTCATTATATCCACGTCGTTTGCCAACAGAACGACTACGTCGTCTAACGTCGGTTGACCGATCAGCATCAGTTCGCTTCTTCGAACTTAATTCGTTTTCTTTTCGCCTCTCACGGTCATTCTTACTCTCAGGCGACAAGAGATGTTCTTCATTATCAGCTTTCCTGGTATTTGCATTATTCTCAACAAGTTTTCTTTTAACTCCTTCCAACTCTCTCTTCTTATCATCTTGCTTTTCTTGTGCCCCCCTTTTCTCGCTCTTCAAATTCATCTTTTCTTCCAACATTTTCTCTGTTTCTACCTTATCTGTCTTATTTTGTCCATCATTCTTCAGGATCTCTTCAATTTCTCTCCTTCTTCTCTTTGCCAACTCATATTGTTCAGAATGTTTCAGATGTTCTCGTGAATGTGCACGCTTTCGCCCTCTTTCTGGTGATGGGCTTACTTTTTTTGACAACTTTTCATCAGCTGCGGTTCTGTCATCCGGTTTCTCGGTTCCATTTTTGGGTGAAACCTTTTTTATCAACTTCCCCGGCGCAGCACCGTCATCTATTTTCTCAGTTCCATTTCTAGCAGACGGCGCATCAATTTTTGAAGATATCTGTTTGTTTTCATCATGCTTACTTTCCGCTCCACCGAGGGAAGATGAACTATCATAGTCGGATTCCGATATTTTACCGGTCTGTTCGTCTGAATTACCTGAAAAAAAACTACACGCTTGAATTATGAAAAGAAGAGCATTCACCGATTTAGCTATTATTGCAAATTTAGATTTAAGATAGTATTTAAGATAAATCATTCATCCAAAAAAAAAGAAAAAAAATGGACTGAACTATGGACTCCTTTGAACTTTTAGACTGGAAAGAGATTCAATAGCCTTTAATTGCATTTTTTGAAAAGAACTAGTGAAAACGACTCTGTAGTTTATCTTTGGTTCAAAATTAATTTAGCCGCAAGTAATCGTAAGAAAATTCATTATGCCTTATAACCTTTGCTTTTTTTTTCACTTTCTTTTTGTAGTTTTTTCTCCAGTACTTCCTTCCGTTTTTCCAATTCATCAAGTTCAACATCACTAAATTCTTTATCACCATCTGCTTTCTTTCTTTTCTTGTTTTTCTTATGCTTCTTTATCTGCAACAATTTCATCCAACATTCCTCAAGTAAACTGCGGAGCTCATCTTGCATTCATTAATAATGTCCAAGTTTGAAAGAAAAAAAAGTGGGCCGAAAGTTTCAACCCATTAAGCTTGATGAAATTTATTCAATGAAACTGAAAAATCGAAAATCCCAAAAGTACCTGCACTACCGAAATTAAATTTTCAAAAACATAAAGAAACAAACCTTTTTATCCTTCTTTTTTTTATGATGATGCCTTTTGTATTCTTCGTCATAACTGGAATCATAATGCTTACGCTTATGCTTGTGTTTCTTTTTGGCTTTTCGCTTCTCGCTGCTACCATCAGTCTCGCAAGCAACAGTTTTTGCTGCATCATTCATGTCACCGGAAGTGTTTAAATCCATCTCCGCGGTGGTATTCTCTGCATCCATTACTACAGCCATCTGACGAATAAATTTAGTTACTGACGACAATTCAATAATATTAGCCATACGAACTGAGAGAAGCAATTCACAACGCCGGCATGAGACAAATAAAATGAACCGAACTGTTTAAATGGGACTAAATTTATTCGTTGATCAGAGTAGACTAATTGTATCCAACCTTATCTGATCAAGACACCTAACAAAATTTGTTTTCAGTTATTTTCTTTGAGCCAATTTTTGCAAGAATAATTTGAGCAAATCTAGAAAGCTCCTCTGATCATTTAATATCTAAAACTCAGCGGTTTTTGATATATTTAACCTGCTAACTGCAAGCGGGAATTTAGCAAAAACACAAAAATAAGTGCAAACAACGTGACCAGTACACTGTAACCTCTTTTCATAAAAACTGTGCAGAAAATTTTGCTTGAATCATTTACCACTATTACTAATTAGGTTAAGAGACAAAAAATAAAAAAGGAAGAAATACAGAGCGACATTTTTTCAGCTTTCTAATGCTTCGACCTAATCAGATGTCCCACCACATATCATATTTCTTGATTTTTCAGTTACTTATGCATCGCATGTGTCCAAACACAGTTACATGTCTGATACAATCATGCCTACTATCTTCCTTTCTTTTCACATAACTCAAAGCTATTTGCTGGGTTAATGATCAATAAGAAAGGAAGAAAAACAACCACATATTAATATGGAAAGCATATGACTAAGACAATGTCATGGTGACGAAAAAATAAAGGAAAAAGGGAAGAAAACGCTTTCATACATACACCTTATGTGTTGCATTTCCCTTAGTTTGCACCTCGAATTATGACACCAACAAGAAACATGGCCGGCCGTCAACTTAGAACGCGTCCTTTGCTTCTGAAAGCTCTTTTTGTTTATTTATTTTGTTCGACCATGTATAAATGGTTAGTTTTTATCGAAAGTGAAAGAGAAACATTTGCATGCAAGTGCATAATTTCATCGTTTCTGTTTTAACAGTTGAAAGGTATAAACAAATAATAAGGAAGAAAAAAATATCAGAGTAAGTTTTTCTTTCCTCTTTAAAAAACACTTTCAAATTGAAATTGTAAAACTCCTGGCTAAAAAGATGTTTTCTAAAAATAAAAAGCTCTTTTTTTTGTTACAAAAATTTAATAAAACCTAAAAATTAAAAGAAACTAAGAAGGCGGCTATAATAATATCCGCTTGATAAAATAAATAACAACAACTACGACTACAACAAGAACAACAACAGTTCGATAGGTGCTTACAGTGGTGACCGCGCAGTCATATGATAACAACGTCAGGTGATTCATCTGAAAATTTGATAATTAAAAAAACATAACCATATTAAGGACTAAGTTACGTACGTTACTTCAAAAATCAACTAACTGGCAAAAGCTATACTGCCATGACAATTTTGGATAATTTCATTCCTCAAACCCTTGCAACATTGCTTAAAATTTTCTTGCCATGATTACCACGGATTTCTGGGAAAAATGATTTCCGAACTGAGCAGAAAGTGAAGTGAATACACTCACTTAACGCGAATTCCTCCACCAAAACAGAATTCATATTTCCGTAACACTATGTCGCTAAAACTGTCATGCTGAAACAAATAAGGTATTGCAAAATGAAACCTTCCACACTTTTCCGTTCAAATTAATGATAAAAAATAACCAACTTCATAGGAACTTTCTTAGTTTCTTAATTTTCCGAAAAAAGTAGAATCACCATAGTCTATAGTCTACCATAACTTGAATTTAGTTAAGCATCGTACCACAAGTATAGCTACAAATTAGCATAGCTTGAAAATGTTTCCCCGGATAACTGCAAAAATGCAAATCAAAGAATCACGATACAACGGACTTTTTTACTAGAACAATAAAGAAAACAAGCAAAAATTTTGCGGAGAATTGTGGAATGCGACAAAGCAAAACAAGATCATCAAATAAATTTTGCAGCTTTCTGAGATACTAAGAATTATTGCTCCAACAACCTTTACAATGTTTTGTTATTTTTTGTTACTTCATTCAACAGTATTTTTCAGTCAGCCCAAATCCAAATCATTCATTCAACCATTGCGCAGTAGTATAACCTTACCTGTCAGATACTTGTATTTCTATAAACTCTCTTTTTCAAAACTATAAAGCAAGTCTAGCAAACCACGGTAGACAAGTCCAACTCAATTTATAAACCGTTAATATATACATGTTTTTTTGAATACACTGCGAAGGAAGAAAAATAAAAAAAAAAGTTTGTTTAGGTGAGTTTAGAGATCTGCTAAACTAACCAAAGATCTCCTGCAATAATACTTGAACAAAATGTCGACTACATAGAAAGTGATGAAGGTCTCACGGTCCAACAACAAATCATTCAATATAAAGACAGCTGCAACTCAAATGCATACGTCTCGTCAAAGTTTCTTCTGCTACTGGATATTTCAACATTTTGAATAACAGTGCCATGTTAATTCAACTTCGTCTTGCCGAAAGACTGAATCAAAAAATGAATTTATCAATTTGTCGTTAATAAAAATAGAACCCTGCAGGACATTGAAATGGAGGATGGGTGTTGTTGAACAACAAATAGCGTATGATAAAGTTGGACAAGAAATTAACTTCCAGCGGAAACTATAAGTAGTCCACATAAGCTTACAAAACTAATAGAACTAAAATTAAGATATCCAGAACTAAAAATTAATATGTCTGCTAGAGTCCAGATGCTCAATTGGACTCTAGTAGACGAGTAATCTAAGTTAGATATTTGCTTGGAAACAAGTTGTTTATTATTCTGCTTAAAAAGTCATTGTGGCACAAAAGGATCTATTAAATATGAAAATTATTAAACAGTTTTGATTGCACTAAACAAACGACTTGATGATGAAAAAGATCTTAAGCGATAATTCGATAAAGTTCGAAAAAATCTCTCATCGATTCACCACATTCAACGGACACTCGATGCGTTCCTGAAAATCTTACAAGAAAAAAAAAAGTTCTTTACGACAATCGAAATGCAAATAGATTTTATGAAGTTTTTCATTCAACTAGGTTAGAAAAAGGTTAGAATATATGACAGTTCTGAATACAACCCGAAAATGGGAGAGAGAAGTAAGAAAATAGAGAGCAAGGCGGAGAAATAATATAAATTCTGTTTGTGAAAGGAAAAAAATTCTGATCTAAATTTGACCACAACCAAAGAATACTTTCAAAACTTTAAAATAAAACGCTGAAATTGGAGAGACTATCGAAAACATTCATAAACAACAGTCAAATTCAGGTTATCGAATAAAAACGATTTTTTAACAAACTCAGATCAACAGCTAAACCAATTAGCATCTAGTTGCACTATAGAATCATCCATTCATGCACGATCACCTGGTACTACACTATCTTGCAGTAAACCCTCCGGAAAAAACTCGCGATGAAAATTGACTGTCGGTAAGAAAATACAAAACGCAGCCCCTGCGATGAATTTTGATGGACTGAATGCAAAATGAACAATCCTGTTATTTGAAAATTTTGAGAGCGATCAAATCAGTAAATTCGCAAATGTGGATTTCGATACTGATATGTCTTTAGGTTTTGAGGTTTAATTCGGATGCTGTTTATGTAAACAGCTTTACAGTTGCTTAAGTTTATCTCTCAGATTTCAAAAATTTTAAATGATGGAATTCAAGAGGTTAAGAAAACCTTGGTAGAGAACACGTTAATTTGCAACTATCAGTAATAATAGCAAAATAAATCTAATTATTCTGCAAAATTTAAAAAATTTCTTTTGATCTGAAGAGGATGTAGTCACTTCCTCGAATATTAAATTATTAACAAAGTTATAGTTATTCACCTACCATCCAGTCTCGAAATCTATTTTTCGGAATTCCAATTAGTCTCTATTGGATAGACGATATGACATCTTTTAGATGCTTTTTTAGAAGCGTTCCAAAAAATACTACAAGGTTTTCTCATACAAAAGAATTACTTCGTCATCGAGGATTTCATTACCAAAATTTAAAAAAAAAGTTGATACAAACTGCCAGATGGATATTAGGTAATATATTAAGCAAGTAAGACAACAATTTCACGGTTTACATCGTTGGTATCATTTAGAATTTAAGAAGAAACCGTATCCGGTATTGCTAGTATTTCAGAAACTAAATGATTAGATGAATTTGAAAAATCTGTCAGTCAGTTTGTTCTTTATGTATAACATATGGTCATTCAATGTATGTGAAATTTTGTATCTGAAAAGAGAAGGAATACAGGAATAATCAGGAAAAGTTCCGAAAACATCGTCCAACTCTGAACGGAATATCCCAAAAGATACGTTCGCAGAATCTAAACTAACGTTTCAGTCGCAGTTGCTAGCTCGCAACCGCGTCAACGGGCCGCATTAAATTGCGTGATCGATTGGGTTATAACTAAGGGGGTAGGGTAAGCGTTCTGCGTAATGTACGTGTACTGTTATTAACGACAAATCAGTGTGGTGGGGAAGTGGTAGTGTAATTTTATTGCTAATGGATTATAGTGATATTGTTATAATAATATTGTAATGATCATAAAGATTATGGAGATATTATTGTTTTTATGGATTATAATGATAATTGATGGTTTGTCATCACTAATATTGCTGTAGTATTAATGGATCATTATAATGACAAAAAATAAATAAATAATGAAGACTAAAATTTTGTAGGAATATTACTTAAATCTTAGTTGAATGAGAAAAGTAAATTAAATAGTGTTTTGTTGAAATGAATTGTTACATACATCATCTTTTGTTATTGATATAATCTTTTGTTGTTAATGTGATGAAAAACAGGTGTGATTTGTAGAGGAATTTACGAGAAAAGGCAATATCATCGGAAAGATATGCTTCCATTTGTTTATAGCGGTGATGGTGATCGTTGTGGTAGCTATGATAATGAAAGGTATATGGGTATATGGTTAAATTTTGTTTTCAGTATCAGATTATATTAAATTAAATTGTTGTATGAGAGGATTTTTTTTTTTTCGGCTGGGAATAAGTTCCGAACTTTGACTGATGAAATCATTACAGGCGTAATGATAGATATCGGCGAAGTAATTCAAGAGGCCGTTCTAGATCTCGATCGTGGTCCAGAGATCGGCGACGTAAGTGACACTGTATAATGTTTGATTTTTGTTATCTCTCGTTTTACACTTTTCAGTGAAGTGTTCATAAATCGGTTTAAGATTAAATTTTTTCAGGTCGAGGTCGTTATTCGAGGTCACGATCTTCCGGTAGAAGCCGTAGCAGAAGCCGTAGTTGTACTCGCAGTTGTAGCCGTAGTAGCCATGACCGTTCGCCACGTATGGATTTCGATCGAAGACGCCGTTCAATCGATAGGGACAGAGAGGTCTTTCAACCATCCAACAACTTTTATTATATGCTTCACGTGATCACTTAAGTAGCGCTTCATTTGCGTGAATTGTACTCGAAAAAAGTGGTGATGTCATTTGGAAACGCGAAATTGTAGCCGTTTAGGAGCCACGAGAATTTTCAAGCGCACTGCCTTATTTATCTTCCATGCAAGCTCAATCACAAACTGACAAATATGCATCGCATACCGCGCTTTATGGACAACCACATTACAAAATCGTCATGAAAATGTTACCAACTGATTCGCAGCGAGATGCGGTAAGGTTTTCTTATCAACTGTCATCACATTGTTTTAATAATTGTTCGACTGTAATGGGTATCAGCCGTTTATTTAAATTTGCTTGACTTCCTTTTACCTTTACGTGGTTGGTCCAACCGAGGTATGGATTAATTTTGAGAGTCAGTGCAACCTGTTGATGTTGTAGCTACGGACAGACTATAAGAACCTGATTTCGATGTTCGTACTGTGGCTTTATAACCGAATTAACTTTTCTGTAATTTCTCGGTTCTTTTTATTTGACTTTTTGTTTTATTTACAATTTTCTTGTTTGTGAATCAGAAATCAGAAGACTTATCGTTTTTCGTAACTTCTGGAGATCGGTTGCCTTATTTAAATATATGGAAATTTATTTGCTTCAAGTTTAATATTTATTTGAAATTGGTGTATTTTCCATAATTTTAGTTAATGGCACTCACAGCACGTCAAGGTTTTCGGGTCAAGGATATCCGCATAATTCATAAAGGTAATTGCCATTTTCTTCTGTACAGCCAGCATATTAAATTTTAATAAATTGCTTTACATATTATCTTTCGTTTGGGTTTTTGTTTTGTTTACATCATTTAGTTACTCTTTACAGTTTTCTTGTTCGTGCATCGGAAGACTTCTTGTCGTCCTTCGTAACTTTTACCAGTAATCAGCTGTCTGACATAAATGTGTAGAATAATTCTAGGAAAATTGTAATGAAAATTGGTACTTCTCGGTGAAAGCTTTAATTTCTTAAAATGTTGGATTTATGAAATAATCTTGTTAATACTTCGAATTCATAGTGTCACAGTAGTATCGTCTATTCTGAATTCTGTAAAAACTCCAGAAAATTATTACTTTCATGGAAAAATTGTTTAATACGGTGATTGGGTGGATGGCTAAACCGGAAATTTTGGTGAGATGGCTAAAGCACTGCCTAAAACCTAAAGCGTGAATGTAGGTTAGGATAAGGACGCAGACATATCCTGTATCTAACGTGTACGTCTTTTACCTTGTAAAAATTAGTAACATGTAGTCCGAAAATATATGACGAGCAGTGTCGTGATTATTGCACTCAGACGAAGGAAAGTATCGTGGATTCTAAATCCAGAATCTTTCATTGTCATTAACTTGTTGCAATAACTACAGGTCCAGACCGTTGTTTCGGATTCGTGGAATTCGGAGATGTGAATAGCGCACAAGCTTGGATGGAATACAACAAGGTCGAACACTGTATAATTTTTATCCGTAGAGAAACTGCAGTTTTTATCCCCCTTAGCAAGTGATGAAGGCCTAATTTTAATAGTTTATGAAGACGTAGGGGTGGTACTTCCGTTACTGTCAGGACTTAATTCCGGGAAAAATCCTGGAAACACGAAATGTTAGCTCGTTTATGGAATTTCACGATCGGTTAACGTTTTTACACGTTTAAACGATCACTTTCAGCACTTTTTTCCCGTGGGTATCTTTTTCCCTATCGTTTTTATTCTTTCCTTCCTTTCCAACGATAACTAAGTAATGTATCCTAACGAACGTGTCAAATGCGTGAAAGAAACCGCGTAAATCGTGTTTCAGGTCATACGGTTGTATCCATGTCCATTTTTAAGTCTTATTGTTTTTTCCAGGGAACTTTGCTACTGGACGATGGACGACCAGTTAAATTAGAGTATTCACGTTATGATAGTCTAGATGGACGATCGTCGGGTCTCTCTGGTTCAGGCGACTGGATGTGCGCAAAAGTATATTTTTATGTGATTTATAGCTCATACTAGTTTATTTTATCCCTCTTCATGTTTCTCCGAATAATTTAGCATCAAAAATTTTAAAATTCTCGTATATGTTAAGAACACTTCATTTTGCAGTGTACCATAAAAAATTTTAAAAACCGGGGAGCATGTTTCAAATGCAATTTAACGCGAATGGAATCAGATGGATTGACCAGAAAAGGTTATGCAGCGATTGGTGTCGCGAAGTGTGACAGTGAGTTCCATCCTTGTCTTTCAAAATGAAGATGAAGCTTTGAAGCCAGCTTTTGGAACATGATATCAAGTGAAATCTAGTCCTAAATTGGAAACGAAAAAAAAAAGACAATTATGTTTTGTCTATTATAAATAGATTATTTTTAGCTCTTTTATTACGTGAAATACCGCTAAATTGTACGGAAGCAAAAATTCAAGCAGAAATGAATCGAATATCTTCATTAGACGTTTTACGTGTTCATATTGCTGAGTCAGGCCTTTATGCTTACGTCCAAATGCGTAGTGCTGATGATGCAGAAAGAATTATGCTAACACTGAACAAGATACCCTTACTTATCGATGGTTGTGCAGGTAAATTTCTCTTTCTTCACCTAATGAAAAGCAGTGGTAATATTCATAATTGATATGGTTGCTATATGTTATAAGAATGCATGTCTTATGTATTTTTAAAATATTTTTTTGACAGTTACTTTTTTTATTGTCGTATTTGGGTTTGAAGTGGAAATTGAAAACTATAAACTTCAGTAATGGTTACTTACTCGAGATTACCGTTGAATACAGTGCTTTCAACAACAGCAGCAACCGAATCAATGCAAAAGACGGCCGAACGTATTAATCAGATGCCTGCTTTTAGACCTACAGCTGGACCAAGTAATAGTTCAATAGCTGATGACTTCAACTTCTATGAAAGATCTTAAAATTTAAATGTTTCTCACTGTACAGTCTGCGCCTTACTGGGCTTGTAGTATTTGTCAGTTTCAAAATAAAGCTATTATGTTTATGAAAATTAGCTCACTTTAGTTTAGAGTTATCTTTTTCAGGTGGTAATGCTGGTGTAGAAGCAGCACAGTTGGCAATCGCGAAGGCACAACTGATTCGGCAGATGACGAATTCAATGATAACTACGGGTGATACGGTTTGTAAACACTTTTTTTAACTGTACTTTTTTAAACCACATTTACACTTTTTTCATTATATTTTTAAAATTTTGAATCATGTTTAATTTCATATTTAAAAAAACCAAAAACCAAAAACCAATGGAAGTAATCGAGAATTATTGAACTGTCCATTGATTTTAGTAGTGACATGTTTAAAGGTCACATTTTGCCGTTTGTTACCCTCAATGTCATCGATTACAGCTATTTCACTTGATTCATCTCAAGACTTTTCCATACTTCTATCTCCTTCATTAAATAGGCGAAACTATCTTCCCAATTTTATTCGGACTTCCACCATAATCCTATATGCAGCAACAATAAATTTCTTTATAGCTGAAGGAAAATTTTCTTATACTCTCCATGTCCTATGTTATCCATGTAAAATATGAATTTATTAGGTACCACCAATATATTCTGCGGCAGGAACTGCAATTCCACCAATTCTTAATCGACCTCCACCTCCATTACCACACGAAACAAATTTTGTTGTTACCGATTATTTCAAAGATGAGACTTCAGCTGACAGGAATTTCGTTTGCGTTGATGATATAACCATTCAGGTATAGCTAATGTCGTGAAGTATTAGTTTTTTGGATTTCGTTTAGTACGTACTAATATGCAAGATTAATAATACACATTAAAATTTTGCGCTTGTTGCAAAGCTTTGCAAACAATTTTATTTGACTTTACAGGATTCACAAGGTGTTCCTTCTGGTGGTGGCGTACAAGGGTCATCAGCTTCTTACAACGGACCACAAATCAAGGGAGCCGCCGATTTAGGCTTTGTAGAGACTCCTTGGGGACGTTATAAAAGATATCGTACGTATTTTTTTCGTATCTAATAGATTTTAAAAATATAAACTAATGATTATTCCTACTTAATCAAAGTCATTTAAATTAATTGAATTATTGCAGGTGCACCAAACCCAACTATATATCAGTTTGAACCATCTTCCGGATTATATTATGATCCAACCACTGGTCTTTACTATGACAGCAATTCACAGTACTATTGGGATGCTAATGTGCAGAAATGGAATTGCTGGAATGCAACATATCAAACATATATACCGTGTGATTTGATGTCCCGACAAACTGGGCCGGACCAAGGTAAACTGAAATTCTTTTGAATTTGTTTTTGTTTTTCCAGCAGGATTCATATTTCATAAAGAGAAATTGTTAAGGTGTTAAAATTGTTAATTTTTCAGAAGTGACAAATAATGAAAGCAAAAACGAAACTATTGAGAAAAATACTGAAGTTGTAAAGGACGAACCAAAAAAAGAGGTAATTTCATTTTAATGTATGGTGAAAATTTATAATTGGATGCGCAAAACTTCTGGCGACTTTTTTCTTGACTGATGTTTTTTGGGGAATTTCGAAAGATTTTTAAAAATGAATTTATAGTGTTTTTCTTGATTACTTTTAGCCTCAAAAGACTGCGAAAGATATTGCACGAGAAATGGCACGTTGGGCTAAAAAGCAAAGTAAAGTGTTATTAGCTGTCAAAGCACCTCCAAAACTGGAAACTACATCTCCTCTAGTAACTGCCGCCAAACCGAAAACAACTGCTGTCGAACCAACTGCTGATTTGACATATAAAATGCTTGAGAAAACAAGTGTTAGCGAGATTTTCGATTTTTCGTTTTGGAATATTTCCTGAAATTATCGGTAAATTTGGAGTGAGGACTGAAATTGGTTTTCTTTGTAATAAGTTGAAAACTTTCCTATTTGCAGAATCCATTTGGCTCATACAGTGATGATGATGAAGAGGAAGAGATACCACCAGCAGCAAAGATCGCAGCAGTTGGTGCAGGTCGTGTAGCACTGAATAGTAAAAGTGGAAATCGTTTAATGCAGCATACAGTTGATTTACTACCACCTTCAGTTGGTGATTCTGTTGTTTCACCCATCAAAACGTATGTTTTCCTATATTTAGTATATATCGTTCTACTGTTCTAGTTTATCCTGCATGAAGTATGAAGTATACTGTTTTGAATAGGAAATGAATAGTTGCAAAAAATTTATCTCGAAAGTGTTATTTGTAAAGAACAGTATATCATATGCTAGTTGAATATTGCTACTGTTTTCACTTGTCACCAGTTTCAACCTTAAAACACTAAAAAAGTTATGAAACTGTACATCTGATTACATTTTCACATTTATATTGTACAGCAGTACTCGAATAGTCTTCTACCTACTATTTCGAAGTCGTACTTGTCTTATAATGCAAAGTCAAGAAGTGAAAGAAAGAAAACAAAAAACTTTCAGGACACAATCGGATGAAAATTTCGTTGATGTTGAAAAGAAATACTGTATTTTGTGTAGGCGGAAATTTGCAAGTTTAGAAATTTTGATGAAACATGTTCGAATGTCAGATCTTCATAAGGTATCATAAAGTATTCAAGCCATACGGATTTGAAAATAATGTGTCAGTGGATGTTATATACTTAGGTTTTAAGTATTATTTGGTCATTCTACTCATTACATTAGCTCTATTTGGTTATTTTTGACGGCCAATGTTGATGTCTAATGACACATATTTACGTGATTTTCTTTGTCAAAGAAATAATTAAAAATGTGGTATGATCACTTATTTGGAATTACAGTTTAATAAAAATAACAAAAGCTTCTGCATGCGCATAAGTAAAGAATGTTTTGAATAGTATAATGACACCGCATAGAATAATTTGTTCTATCTAAGAGTTGTATGTTAAATGTTTGATAGTTGTTGCATTTTGGGGATGATTTTACTAATTTCTTATTAATTAATTTTGTTAGCAATAAATCCCATTTTTCAGAAAAATCTAGAAGCACATTTATTACAAGCATCTCTCGATGACAGTGCATCATTGTCTATGCCAACTGTATCTACTGCACAAGGCGCCTCTTCATGCTCACTTGTTCCTCAGCAATATCGAGATCGCGCAAAGGAGCGCCGTAATTTATTCGGATTAGACCCAAGCGGTCCGTTTTTTTCATTCTTTATGTGATTTGTTTAAAAAGCTATTTGATTAATGCTTATATTGCACATAATTCCAATGTTTTTTTTTTTTTTCCCTCTAAAAAAGCATTTTTAATTTCCTAGGCTTTACAAGTGACAGTGCAGAAGTTGGAGCGGATTATGCTGTACGTTCATCAGACATTCCCATTGATGATACTAACATAGGGAATAAGTTATTGAAATCAATGGGTTGGCAGGAAGGAACTGGAATCGGGAAGAATAACCAAGGTATCAAATTTTTTGTTTCTGGAAAATCAAATTGTATTTGGCCAAGAGGAAAAAAACCCTTAGATTGCAAGTATTAACACAAGGTCTTGAAATTCATCATTTATAAATAGATGACTGTTCAGTTAAAAAAAAAAAAATTTTTTCTCAAAATATATCCATGATTAGGTTTAAACCTGGTAGATGAATTTTGTCATTTAGTTGAATACCCGAGCTATGCTATGTAAAATTGCTTGTAAACTTTGCTTCACTGACTGGTAATTTATTCGCTTGTTTATTTAGTAATAAATATTCCATTTTAACACGTGAATGAAGGATTTTTTTTCTTTGCAGGTATCATAACACCGATAGCAACTGAGATGCGGGTAGAAGGAGCAGGATTAGGTGCAGCTGGTTCAAGAGTACTGCATGGTGCGAATGCATCCAGACGAGAACGAGCACGTACTTCAATGATGAGCCGTTTTCAGGATTTGCAGTAATCAAAAAGCAAAACAGAACTTTTGCTTTTTGATTTTCTTTTTTTTTTTTTCTTTTGGAATAAAATGAAAATGAGAAGAAAGAATTAATTGGCATTGTTTCAAAGTTTCATTGGGATTTGCTTTTGGTTTTTTTTTTTTTTTCTTTTTCCGCAGATTTTTTTTGGGTTGCATTTGTTTATTGTAAATTTAATGTTCTTGCACATGGATTAAATGGTTCCTTAAGTTTGAATTAATCAGGAGTGGTTTTGCTCACTAATTGTGAACTACTATGTCATTATCCTAATTGTTTATTTAAGAGTACAACTTAAGTTCTCTCTTCGAAATGTCTTTTTCATTATTACACTTAAATTACACTCTTAGTTTTATTTATAGAATTGGTATCTATGTTATGAGTAGACTTCACTGTGTTATTTAGTGGTTTGAAGAATAGTTTTGGAATTTCAACTTTTATTATTATTATTTTTTTTTTTTTGTAGCTTTTATTACAAAAATGAAATTATGTCTCAGTGTATGTAAACAATGTAAATTTAATCTTCCGAATTTGATGTTTGGGAAGAGGAAAAAAGAGTGAAGAAGATATTTGGGAGCAGAAATGTAACAGAAGTTGGACGAATTGCGGTAATTGAATTAAATTTATCTGGGAAGAAATGAACCAATGATTTCTTCGCATAGAAAGTTACAATTTTAGCTACTCCAGGAAAGATGAGAAAGTATAAGTGATAATTGTAATATGCTGTGAAATTGAGAAGGAATGGTACTTCTTCTATTCAATGAAAAAGGCTCTGCGTTCGAAGTCGTATTTTGAACTCGTAGAGAGTGGTTCTACGGTGGAATTTGTCATCGGTTCCCATCTAAGATTACACAAACCTCAGGGCGAATATGTTTACAGTCACATACACAGCAGTATGGTATCAGATGACACGCAAGGAATCATCATTGGTACCATCTTATCATGATGGTATTGAACCGATGAGGTAAGAATGATTTCATTTTCAAACATTTAACATTCGGCTATTGGGATAAAGTGTGTCATAGCTCTCTAAAATATTTAAATAATGTAATGCTCATTCATTTTTTTCTTCGTTATATTTGGTTCCATTAATTAATTAATATTTAATTAATGAATAATCGAAATCATCGATGCATATTGATTGCCTATTCTTATTTAATTATTCGTCAAATAATAGATTGCTTGTGGTAAAGACTGATGGGTTACTGTTTTACATATCATATAATAATACATTTTACTACTCTTTTAAGTATTTTAATAGTTCATTTTTTTTTCTTTGATGGCTCATTTTCTAGGTAATTTATTTATTGGTTAATTTGGCTTTTATTAATTTGAAATCTTAGTATGTAAACACAGTATGTAAACATCTTAGCATGCAAACATTGAAATATAATTTTTAGAAAACTTCCAAACTTTCTACTAGCTAATTTTATTAATTTTTTGAAATTGTAATATTAAATATTTGAAACAGAATTGATGATTTATCTAAATTAGGTGTCCATTTATCACATTCATTATTTATATTAAATCAATAAATTTTATTATATTATGCAAGATTTTGAATGGTATTGACTTATTAAATTATATTTATGCGAAAAAGTTATGAGCTATGCTAATTTTATGTGGTATATTCTCAGTTATTATGAGCTATGCTAATTTTATGTGGTATATTCTCAGTTATTATGAGCTATGCTAATTTTATGCAAGTATATTCTCAGTTATATAAATGCTTGTTGAACAAATGTCGTTTATTCGTCTAACTTTACTTTGAGAAAGATGGGTGATACTAGTTGTTATATGGGACCGCCAGGAGCACCTACCGGTGGTGGTGGTGGTGGCGGCAGTGCAGGTGGTGGAGCCGGTGGTGGTTATGGTGGTGGTGGTGGTGGTGGTGGTTATGGTGGTGGTTATGGTGGTGGTTATGGTGGTGGGGGTGGTTATGCTTATCAGCAAGAGTATGATTATGGAAGTGAGAATACCATTATGAAAGATTTGACAATTTTTGATCATTGATAATTACAACTCTCATAATAATTAGTAATAATAATAATATAATAGTAATGGTGACAATAACAATAATAATTTCAGGTGGTGGTGGTGGTGGTGGTGGTGGTGGCGTTGGTGGTGGCGGCGGTGGCGGCGGCGTTGGTGGAGGCGGTGGTGGTGCTAGCAGTGGTGGAGATGATGGACCAAAGATGCGAACCGATGTTTCATGCTATCTTGGACCCAGATGAAAAACCACAATAAATTATAAAATAAGCTGGCCAAAGTTCTTCCACCTCTGCTTTCACATGAACTAATAACTGATCTCATCTATCTTTCTCTCCATGCAATGAATTCGTTGAAACATCAAAACAAACAAAAAGAATTCTGGCTTATTAGTCATTATCATTATTTACACAACAATTTACAATTTCTACTATAATACTTACTTATTTGATGATAATAAAATGAACCAATCTTTTTTTTTTTCATATTTCATAACAATGCAATGATATATATTTGAATAAAAAAAAGAATTAAATTTTAAAGAAGAAAAATAAATAACAATCATTCATTAAAACTATTATTGTTAATTTTTATTTTTCATTTTAGAAAATATTGTAAAAAAATTTTGGATATAAGATTAAATTCTAAAAGAAATTTTAGAAATAAAAATTTTGCTTTCTATTGACAAACTCTAAGTATAGCATAATAACTCTGAACAGCAAGCATATCAATTATCTCACTACTCATATTTCCTGATACTTAATAAGAGTACTGATGATGATGGATAGTTAATTGTACGAAAATCCAAAAATTTAATAAAAAAAAAAAATTTGATTTCAAGTAATAGCTTTACAATTGTAAAATAAAAAAATAAAAAAAAACATCTAATATATAATATTATATTTTAAAGTTATCATTTTGAATTATTATCTTTATTCGTAGAATGATAATAATTTATGTGAGAATTTGTATTATTAAATCATTAAAAAAACGCTATATATGTATATATTTATGTATTATTTATTACTTTTTTTTGTTATTAATAATTACTAATCAAAAAATATGCAAAAAAAAAAAAAAAAGAAAAGCAAACAATGCTACGCATACGTGTAAATAATTACGTGAATTATTGCTATATCTAACGCAATTTCCGGTAAACAGTGTACCATATAACGTATGCAATTATTTGCATACGTTATTCTTTCATTAAACCTGAATCCGTTTAATTTCCGGAACATATGTTTCTCTCTCTCCCTTTTTTTTTTTTTCAACATTCCCATATGCTCGTGTTGTTAATGCGATTTATCATCTTCTTGATCGTGTAAAAATGGATGTGTTAGTAGTTAATGAAGTACTTTTTCCGCCAATTAATGAAGTGGATCTTTTCCGCCTCTTCCTTTTCCCTCGTCTTTTCTTTTCTTTTTTTTTTTGCATTGTTTTGTTTTGTTAGAAGTATATTTGAAGTGGGATGCATACCTACTTATCGGGTAATTATTATTCCAAAAGCTTTTCTGTTTTCAAACAATCTTTTCGGGTAGAATGAGGTTGCGTATGAGGAAGAGGAAATGTCAAGGGTTATATTTTGGATATACCTGTCTATTTTTCTTTCTTCCTTCTTTTCATTTCTTCACTCATTCATTCATTCATTCATCTACTTCAATAAATTATACTGCCATCAATTAATATAAATTAATAATTAATAATAAATTCATAATTAATAATAATAAATTAATAATTAATAATAGTAAATTAACAATTAAAATGCCATTAATTAACAATAGATCAATACTACACCATCGAATTACTATTACATTGATAATAACAATAATAATAATAATAATAATAATAATAATAATAATAATAATAATAATAATAATAATAATAATGACGATGATAATAATAGTAGTATCACTAATGATAATAATAATAATAATAAGCAATTAGCTATTAACATGATATACAAATGAATTAATTTAATATTATTACTTTCAGAAATATTTTTCATAATCCAGTTGAGAAATACCATGATAATTATCATTTATTTGAAATATCCCAGATGAATAGAGTATTTTCCCGAGATTTCGTGATGAGTGTACTTAAATGTGTGTAATCATTACAAAAACCCTGAAAAAGTTATTAGGAAAATGACCCATTCCACAATACATTAATTCATTCATCCATTTTTACCTCTCTTTCATCTATCGTCTCTCTCTCTCTTTTTCTTTCTTCTCTCTTCTCTGTCTCTCTCTCTCTCTCCTTATCATTCATTTTCCCACTTCTTTTATTAAGTAAATAATCATGATCAAATAATATAAGTACTATATTTGTACATCTAAAAATTGAGATAAATATTGAATAAAAAGAAACAAAAAGAAGGACAAGAGAGAGAGAGAGAAAAAGACAAAGAGAAAAAGAGAAGAGAGAGAGAGAATTATTGATTAAATTTTTTTAGTTTGCATTTTCAAAAAAAAATCTTCATCTTACTACATAGATCCTTCCGATCATTGCTATTTGTATTATTGAAAGATTGTGCGAAACGATCACTGTGGGGGTTAAAGGTCATTCACATATATTTGTTATTAATGTAAACTTTACAAATTACTCTAACAATTTCCAATACTATAAGACTAATATTTCATGATGAAACTAACAATAATTTATTTATTAGTAATAAAATCTTTTAAAATTTTACTACAATCTCTGATAAATTTGTTAATTTATTTAAATTTATTTATTAAATTTGTTAATTTACAAATGTGAATATTTAGTGTGAATGAACAAATAAATTTTATTTTTTTGTAATTTATTAAACTTATCGTCTATAACAAAAATATAATTGCAATTGTGTGCTCTAAATTAAACAAACAATTTAATAATAAGTTTCATCTTATCATAGATATCTTATGATAAGCAGAAAAAATGTATGATAAGACATTAAAGTTTTAAAATTTAGCAAAGAAAATCATAAAATATAGTAATTTTCAGTTGGATTTAATGATTAATTAGGAATGTAATTGAAATGGAAGTAATTAATTAAAGTAATTAAATATTTTTTAATATTGAACACTGCAAAATGCTTAATAATATTTAAAGAAATTATTTAATCTATCAAAGATTAATGAAATTACTAATAAAAATGAGCTTAATTTTATTAAACATTCAGTATATTAAAAGTTTGTATATGTGTATAAAAACTTAAAACTTGCAATATTATCTAAAATTTGCAAACAATGTTAAAATAATAATTAATTAAATTTTCAAAAATAATTAGTCTGAATAAATTTTCATTTTTATAAATAATAACACAAAAATTTTTCAAATAATTCAAGCTATTAAATATTAATTCATCTTGAGTTTTAACAAATTTAATTTAATATTAATGATTGTTCACCCATCTTCTAAATTTAATCGGTATAATTTCATATTTCGGATTATTTCAAAATTATGCTTATCAATATCAATTTTTTACTACTCACTTATCCAATTGTTTACTTATTTGTTTTTTTTTTTGAGATTTTTTGTTTATCAATTAAAATTTTATTTGAAATTTATCAAGCATAACTTTTATCTACTTCAGCTATTATCATTTCTTACATTCAATAAATTTATTTCAACAAATTTATATCTCAAAATGCTAATTACGATTTTTCATTGTTAAAAGATTGCTAATAATGCTATTAAAATCAATTTTTTTTACATTTCAAATTTAATATCAATTTGATTAATTTAATCATTTTTATCTCATTTCATGCATTGTTACACCTGCCAAATTGCTTAGTTTTATTTCAGGTAACATGTTGATCCAAAATGAAACAGACCGGATTAAATATTGTTTACAAACGGATTACAAACGGATTTATAGTCTCAGTCACCTCTATTGATAAGCTTCTTACAAAGAGCTATGACTATCTTACAATGGTAAAATAAAAGATAACATTTAATACAGTTTATGAATTCTCAGTTGCTAAAATACATTTTACTATTCAAATATCCTATGGGTTACTGTAATCAATTATCAATTCAAATCAAATTACAAAAGTTATATTTAAAAAAATATATTTCTCAACAATAACAATAAAAAAAAAAAAGCAAAAACTAAATTAAAAATTAACAAATTCGAAATAAACTTTGAAAGATAAAAAAATTTATTATATTTTTTCAAAATTACTAACAATTACTAAGAAATATTTTAACTCAGTTAATTTTAATATTATTTTTCAATCAATTACATTTATAACTTATTTCATAAATTATTTAGCAATTCAAGTATAAAAATTTCATATTTGAAATCGGTAATTCAGTAATCGATATAGCAATCTTTTAGCATTCGAGTCTTCGTAGGTCATAGCATTAATCATGCTTATCACCCATTATCAGTTATCATTATTGTCATCATTGTTATAACTATTACTATCGAAATAATGCAAAATATAAAAATGATTATTTTACAAGTAAATTAAAAAACTTTTACAAGATTTTTTTACAAATAAATTAAAAAACTAAAAAAATATTTTAACTCAGTTAACGAAATTTATAGATAATTAAATTGCATGTAATAAAATACTTATTACTTACCACTGATTACTTACTTACTACTTACTACCATTACTGCTACTATTAGGGATGATACCCAGTGTAAACCTTTGAATACTTTATTTGTTTACTTTAGCTAAACAAATGTGCGAAATGTGAAGCTTCATTCAATACCATCAATATTCAGCAAAAATTGATTGTTTGCATATTAATAGAACTGAATAGAAGCATATGTTATACTTCAGATAATAATTTACTTCTCATTAGTACTTTTCACAAAATAATTTCTATTTACTTTACTTATAGAAATACAAATAGTACAGAATTACTTCTCAACTTATTGTCATATTAATTAGTCAAAAAAAAGAAGAGAATATGAAGAAATATATAAATTAGAGTAATTAATATATAAAACGATACAAGAAATGAAAAAAAAAATCAAGATGATCTCTTGATTATGATGATCTTCTTGTTATTGTTATTATTGTTGTCATTATTATTGTTGTTGCTGTTCTTGTTCTTGATGATATATATATATATATAACAATAATGATTATTTTCTATGATTCAATTGGATGTAGATGAAAAATGCTTCCTTTAGAAATATTATTGATCTTATCATTGTTTATTAAAATTAACATTAATTAATTAGTCCATTAAGAGTTGATTGATGTATAATAATGAAATTTTAATGGTTTAAAATGTTAAATTTGTAAAATAAAAGAGATTAAAAGATATAATTGAAAAAAAAGGATTAATTTTCTAATATATATTTGATAATATGCTATAGTATATATACAACATTTTAATTCAATTAAATAATAATTTGTAGTAAAAATAGCATAATCTATATAATAAACAATCTATAAATTAATTTGCAATAAAATTAAATAGTAAAAACTTTCTAACTATTAATTTTTTAAATATTTATATAATATAACACTTTAAGAAAAAAATTTAAGTATTAGATTATATTAATACGAGAAATAAAAAATTTTTCGTGTTTTTTTTTTTAATCAAATTTGTTTTCCCTTTTGTACTTTAGAATTTCAAGTTTTTTTTTTTTTTTTTTTTAATGTAGTTATAATATATAGAAGAAGGATGAAAAGATGTTGCTGCACCGATAGATCGGAGATGAAATTGATGAATTCATTGAGGTATGAATAATTCAATTAAGGAAGGAAAGGTGAAGAGGGGAAAGGTTACTTGCACACAAGATGGAACAATAAGAGAGGGAAAGAGTGAAATGGAATGGAATGAGAAATTTTTTTGAGAGCTCAATAGAATGGATTTATATTTATATATATATATATATATATATGTGTGTGTGTGTACCTTTTTGATATTCAAAATCAATTTCTAAAGGACAGTGTGATTGTTTAATTTTGAAAAATATTTTTATTTCTATTTGACCAAAATGATATAATTTCTACCTTCTCATTTTCTCATACTCTCATTGATTGATATTGCTTAAAATGATAATTGAAATTTTGTGTCATTTTATTTTAATCTTCAAAATTAATTAGAGCAATGATTTTAATTATTATTTATTAAATCATATATTTCTTTCCTTTCCCTTTTCTTTTTGTTTTCATCACAACTTTATCATTTAACTGCGTAGTATTGTAAAAATCGAAATAAATTTTTTTTGTGACAATTGTAATGGTTTTGTTTAATTGTTGAATTTTTCTTTTTGAAATAAATTTCATTTTATATGCATAATATAAAGAATAAAAAAAGAATACAAATTTTAGATTCATCAAAGTTATTTAAAAATTTTCAAGTGTATTAATATAAAATAACATTGATATTTGTTTGTTTGTTTGTTTTTATTTTATTTTTATTTTTTCCATATAAAATTTTTTTTAATTTTCGAAAGAATTTTTGAAGATTTAAAAATTCTCTAATCTATTGAAAATCGTAAAAGTGTTAATTTAGTGCTGATAAAATGCGAATAAATAGAAAATAGAACAGGTTTTACACATTTCGTTTCTCTATCTATCAATACTATTAACAATTGAATAAGCAACAGAAGCGCAAAGCATATCACATCGAAAAGATTGATAAAGTGATGAGAATCAGACAAATCCGATTATGATACAAACAATCAAATTACAGTATCACTTGTTACTTTTAGGATTTATTTTGCTGAAAAAAGTGGATGGAACATTCCATTCAATTAGATGTAGTGATAAATACACTGTAATCTTTGTTATTACACTGATGAACTGTGGTTATCTTTGTTTGTTTTCCTTTTTCTTTTAATTTAAAAATTTTCAAATTCAAAAAAGAAAAAAACAAAAAATTTTTTTTTGTCAGTCAATAATTTCTTGTTTAAATCAAATTTAAACTTTTTTTCCAATCAAATAAACAACAAACAAATTTAGTTGCATTCATAAAAAAAAAATATTTCTAAAGAAAGCTTAAAAAATTGTACTCTTTTTTTTTCATTTTATTTTTGATCTTTTCTCTTTTTTTTTCATTTTATGTTTTTTTTTTTTCAAAGAAAAAAGTGCATTAATAATAATTTATATCAATTAAATGAAAAAAAATTTAATTAAATTTTTGATAAAAGAAAGAATGAAAATAAAAAGTAATAATAAAAAGATATGTGCCATTAACAATATTAGTATAATTTGTTAATTATCAGATTTTGCTTTAAGAAAATAAATGTTATATTAGGGATATTTTCTTAATACAATATTTTATTAAAATAAACAATATGTGTTATATTATATATTTAGAATTGATAATGTATATTTATATTTTTAAATTATTATTAATAGTTTATTTAATTATGATCAGGTTGATAGTATCATGTACGAACAATAAATGATTAGAACAAATAAATATATCTGTTGATTTGAATTTCATTCAAATTTAGGTCAGTTTATTCTAGCACTCTTTTTATTTCAATCATATTTATTAATAAATAACATTTGTTTTATAAGTAACCTATTAATTATAATCATCTTTAAAATAATGAATACGAAATTTAATTGAAATATCTGATATGAAATGTTTTGAATTGTCAACAAAATTACTGGTATTGATAATAGAAGTATTATAAAATAAAATAAAGAAAATATGGATGGGAGAGGGAAGATAGAAGACAAAGCTATGAAATGATTTATAATTTGTAAAATTATGAGAATACTCATATCATAACTTAATTACTTTAATAATATATATATGCCTTTGCAAAAATATATTTTTATTAATAATTGATAAAAAAATGGTCAACAAAATCACTAGTATTGATAAAGAGAAGAGAAGGAATAAATGTATTATTTAATTGAATTAATTACCACAGTTAAAATTGTAAATTTCCAATTGAAAAAAAGAGAAAAGACATAAAAAAACTGTTCAAAACAAATTATTATTAAAATAATGAATTAATTCAAATACTTAAATAATTGATTAATTAGTTTTTTTATTAATTTTTGCAAACACATATTAGTAAGACAAAAAAAAAATAAAAATAAGAAAGTGAAAACTTTTTGATTTTTTGATAACTTACATTAATAACTAAGTAATAATAAGAAATTTGTGCTTTTTTCTTTCTTTCTTTTCCTCTCTCCCTCTCTCTTTCTCTCCTATTTTATCTTTTTATACAATAATAACCTTTTAAACTAACAAAAACTTTGAACTAAATGCAAATGAAACCAATTGAATAAACTTAATAACTGGATTCTAGCAGCAATCAATTCAATTTAAAATTGTTTGAAAATAAAATTGTATTTGTTAGAATATGGAAAAACTGGAAAATAAGATACGGTACATTTTAATTTATTGAAAAAATTATCCTTTAATAAATTTGTTATATAATTTTTATGTTAATTTTTAATAACTTTTTTTATCATTGAAAATTTAAAAAAAAAAAAAAAAGAAAAAACGATGAAAAGAATAAAAGAAAAAAGAAAGAAAGAAACCCGGTATTTTTTGCTAAAATTTCAACAAAATATATTTAAAGTTTCATTGAATAAACAATCTAAAAAAGCAGAAATTGCAAAAAAGAAAGAAAAATGAAAAATAAAAAAAGTTGGAAACTTACATCGAAGTAAATGACAAATGCGCTCATATTTGTTTGTTCATATTGTAAGAAATCAAAAAAAAAAAAACTCCATTTGGAGAGAAAAAAAACATAAATTACAATATAACAGCAATGAAAATTGCTTGGCGCTAATGTCACAGAATTAAAACTTTTATTTAAATGCAATAAAGCATAAATTTAGCTACTATAATTATAATTTTATTTTAAACGAAAAAAAAAAAATGACAATTTCATCTTATTGAACACAATTGCATTTGTGAATGCTTTTTAAACGACAAAAAAATTCCTCAAACATAAATTTTTGAAATAATTTGCAATAATAATAATAATTAATATATATTATAAATTTTGAAAATATTTTCACAAAAATAAATTCACCGACAATTTCTGAAAATAATTCAATTTTATCAATTCATATGAAAAAAAAAAAAAAAACATTTTTTTTTTTTAAAATTAATTAAACACATATATACGACAAACAATTTTATTTTTTTTAGCTTAAGTACACGTTTAACAACAAATATGCACCATTATCAAAAAATTAAAAATAAAATAAAATTATTATTAAAAAATAATGAATGAATATTTTGTAAAATCACATTGAATTCAAATTTTAATAATACTTTTTTTTCTTTTTTTTTTTGTTTTTTTGAATTTTATTAATTTATGCTATTAATCATTTATAGCTTCCTTTTTTTTTCTCGATTTTTAATTATTTCTTTATTAATTTTTCTTTTTTAAATAATTGAATTAAAAAAAAAAACTAAATTGTATTTTTAGGTTCTTTTTTAATTTCCATCATTTTATTATGATTATGATTATTATTAGTAGTAGTACTCTTATTAGTCGTATCATTGTTTACTGATAGACGATGCTTTTTAACTTTGGTACAGTCATCGTCGTCATCAGATACCTCGTAATCTGATTCGTCAGATGCGCTCATCTTTTGTCCTCTACCATCTTTTGTATCAATTTCACGTTTCTGCTTACGATCTTTTGCACGACGATTTTTAAACCATACCTACAAATTAAATTAATTTAATATTTTTTTTTTAAAAAAAATTTTCATTCTATTTTGTTTCTCTAATTTAATTAATTTGTAAATTTTCATTTATTTAATTATTTTTTATTTTATTTTATTTATTTTTTTTTTTTTTTTTTTTTTTTTTTTTTTAGAAAATTTTCATTTATTTAATTGCAAAAAAAACATAAAAGTTGCAGCTTAATTCGAACTATATGAAATAATAATCAATTATTTTTGATATAACAATTTGATATTTTTAATTTAAAATTGTCAATGTGATGCATTTAATTTACAGATAACAAATTGAAATTATCAATGCAATAAATTATTGCTTTATCTTTACACTGTGATTTCTTATTTTAAATTGTTTTTTATTAATTATTTTTACTTCACTAATTTTTATTATTTAGTTTTATTAGCATTATTAGTAGTTTAATTTATGTTAGAAATGTTAAATAACATATGGTATGTAACTAAATTTTTTATTTTCTATTAATTATATAAAAATATTTTTTTGACCATTACAAAAAAATTTTAGTAAAAGATTGGAAAATTTTGTTTATATAATTTAAATACTAATATCAAATTATGAAAAAATTACTTTTTTTTTTCTCGTTGATTTTCCAATTAGTTTATATTAAAAGAAAAGAATCTAAAACTGAATTTTACAATTTTTTAAAATATTGTCCAAAAATTTACAAAATTCATTTTGCAATGTTAAAATTTGGAATTAAAATATTTGAAATGTTTTGCATAAAAGGTTAGAGTGTTCAAATATATTTTAGATATAAATAACAAAATTAATTTGCAATGTTAAAATTTGAAATTAAAATACTTGAAATGTTTTGCGTAAAAAGTTAAAGTGTTAAATTGTTGAAATATATGTTAGATATTAAATAAGGGAAGAAAAAAGTACGCAAAATATTACGCAAAGAAAACGTTTAATAAATATAATAAAAATAACGCAAAAAAAAAAAAAAAAAAAAAAAAACAAAAGAAAAAACGAAAAAAATTTATAAAAAGTGAATATTATTGCAATGAAATTACCAAACAAAAAAAAAGAAAAATATATTAGAAATTTTAAAATATATATACTAATATTTAAATCATATATAAAGTATATTTAAAAAATGTTCTGTGAAAGTAAAAAATTTTTTGAACTAAACTTTAATTACCTCTACCCGCTCTTCCTTGAGGTCACATTGTACGGCAAGTTTTTCACGTAGCATTACGTCAGGATAATGAGTTCCTTGAAATGCATTTTCTAAAATTTGCAATTGTTCTTCGCTAAAAATTGTTCGATGACGTCGTTTTCGTTTGCTACCGTAATGAAATGGATGAAATGATGTGATGAAACCATTACTGATATACGGAAAACCGGGATCTGAAAATCGGATCGTTAAATTTTAAACTTTTCAAAAGCTTTCATTCATTTTTTTTTTTTTTTTTTTTTTGGTAAATAAAAGAAATTTTAGTTGCTTTACGTTATGCTTTAATTATTTGCTTATAAAAGTTTTTGGAATGGAATATTTTAAAAGTATATTATCTAATCTAATTAATATCAATAATTTAAATTTATGTAACACAATTGTTTATACATAATTAGTATCAGCAAAGTTCGATAATTATTCTCTCTTAACAATTATTTATTCGTTTTTTTAGTAATAAAAAAAATTATTTATTAAAATATTATTAAAGGACTATTGTTAATATATAAAATCAGTTTAATAATCAGCAAATTTTTTCATTTAAATTTTATTTCTCTAATTTTTAATCGGTTTTTTTGCAATTAAATTTTTATTATTATTAACAGGAAGCTTTACATTATGTCTATCATTTATAATTTATATACTTTTCGCTTACAACTATCAAACTAAAGTTAAGCAAAAAAAAAAAAAATTGAAATGCACCATAATAAAATGATAAAAATTTAATGACAGCTTAATACTTGCTAATTAATTAATGATAAAATTTTACGAGGATATGAGAAATGTGGTGGCATGCTAGGCCATGCAATAGTAGCAGCTGCAGCTGCAGCAACAGCAAAATCATTTGCTAATGGTAATGGTGGAAGTTGTGGTACTGATACCCGTCTTGATAAGATACTTTCAATTGAAAAATTTGACACTGTTGAACTGAAAAATAAAAATTTAATTTTGATGCAAACATCAAATATTTCAATAATTTATATTATTTATATCAAATTCACTATCAAATTATAATTAAATTATTAAGGGCAAAAAAAAAAAAAAAATGGAAAATGAAACATTTATATTACTGATTCATTATTTTTTTTTTTTGTTTAAATTTTTAACTAATAACAAAGTAATCATTAAATGAATGAGATAAAATTAGACCAATAGCAAATGAATTATAAGCAATCAAAATAAAATTAAGAGTGAAAAGTTTTATTACATGAGAAATCATAAAAATTAGCAATTATTTGAAATTATTTCAGTTTAATTTTAAAAATTGAAGTTGCAGTAATCAATGAAATATATCTTTAAGTTCTATTCAAATTTCATGAAATTTAAAACTTTGTAAAAATGATTTATAAATTAAAAATGCTATATTTAAAAGGAAATAAATCACCAAAACTTGAATTAAATATTGTTAAAAAGATAAACATATATTAGTGATGGTTTTAATTTTAACATAATTTTGTTAGTTTTTTTTTTCTAAATTATCGATAATTGATGTTATATTGATTTTTTGCTAACAAAAATTGATTGTCTTACCGTATACCCATCGTTTTGGCATGATAATATCTTTCTATACTTTACTTTATCACATTACTAATTGATAATTTCGTAATAGTTTCGTTTTTTAATCAAATTTTTAAAAAATTTTAGCTTAGCAAATAAATCCTCAAATCATGGATACATATTGTCTAAGAGATTTAATTAAAAATCTGAGCTAAAATACAAAATAATTAAGAAATTAGCTCATTGATTATTGTTTATTAAATTATTAGATATAAATGAATTTTGAATGTTTGAAAAATACGAAAAAATTACAACAACTAGGAACAAATTTTAGCAATTTGGTAAGTATTGGATTATTTTTTTAATTTTTCCAAATATTTTCAGGATGAAAAAAACTTTTCCTAAAATGTAAAAAAAATAGAAACAAAACTGGAAAATGTAATAATGTTAGAGTAATGAATAATAAAGAGATTAAAAGAAAGGTTAATAAAGAAAAATAAAAAGTTATTGTCAAAATTTTTTAATCAATTTTTCTTTTTTTATAATTTCTCTTTCTCGTGCAGTCGCTATTATAATTAAATTTATTGATAGCAATTTGAAAATTTGTTTGTAACTATAATTTGATTTTTTTTTTGGATTTGCATTAAATGAATTATTTCATCAGAATTCAATAAATATTGAAATAAAAACGAAAGTATTAGTTTTTCTATCAAATGGAAATATCTACCGTATCCGTGCTACTGCAATAATCATAATTAAATATTGTAGATTAATATAATTAAAGCAATAAATAAATAAAAATCACAATTAATATTAAATTTTTAACATTCAGTTTTTAAGTGTTTAACAAATGTATAGCGATAATAATGTTATATAGTGATAATAATGTATAAGTAAAGTAATTTGAATGATCAAAGTACTTTAAATGGATAAACATAAATATTCGTACTTTTTATATTAAAAATAATTTTTTTTATATCATCTATTACTTTTTTATATTAAAAAAAATTTTTTTATATACTTTTTATATTAAAAAGTTATTAATATAATTTTTAACTTTTCAACAAAATTTATTATTATGTTGACAATCAAAATAATAATTATATATATATATATATATTACAACTAATTAATTGTAATAATAAGATATGAAGTGTATAAATCACCTGGATGGTGTTGACATTTGCGCCAAACATGGGCGAAAATGCGTCGATGTTGGAGAAACGGTAGTAGCCGTATAGTAATATGGCGGATAAGGAAGTGACGACATAATAATTTCAAGGAATCATCCAAATGATAATGAAAGTAAATAATTGGATGAATTAGGTAATATAAACATTCAAAAATTAAAAGAGAAGAAAAAATTTTTTTTAAAATATAATTGAAGCAACAGCCACTCTTTCAACATTTAATTCGCTTTGCCTTCAGACTACAGTCATCCCCTAAACTTATCGCTAAGCCACCACCCATCTTTCCGCTTATTCGTCCAATCCAATTTAATGCAATTAATTCATTGGTTACTTGAAACTACTTGTACCGCCCATCATCTCTTTCGCAGTTGTCATATGTATATATATATATACACATACACACACATACATACATACACATATACACACACACACACAGAAAGATAGACAGATGGACAGACACAGACACACGCACAAGCATACATACATACACCTAAATTTAGCAAACATTTCGTTTCAGCAACGACACTTCAACTGGGAATATTTTGTATGTGTGTAAATTTAATGCATTTAAATATTGAAGGGAAAAGAAAGAAGAAATATTAGAGAGACAGAGAGATAAAGAAAAAAGAATTTATATTTTAAAAGAAAAAAGAAAATTTTTTTTTTTTTAATCCGAAAAGAAAAATCGAGAAAATATTAGCCATTTTTAGTAGGTAGGTGGTTTACGGTAGCGTAAAAATTCATAACATAGAACAGATAATCGGTGTTTGGCATTTATGATCGAAAAGGAAAATTTTTAAAATCTGAAAGAATTTGTATGTGTGTGTGGGTGTGTATTTCTTTTTTCTTTTGCCAATAATTTTCTTCTAAACTTTTAAATTTAAAATTTATTTTATTTTTTATTTTTTTTTATTGTCACATATTTGTTTTTGTTTTATTCATTTGTCATTTTTTCTCTCTCTCCCTCTCTCTCTCTCTCATCATCTTATCTTTCCTGTCCTTTCTTTTTTTCTTCTTTCACAAAAATAAATACCGGATAATGTTAATCATCGTTAAGTATCGATGACATATTCAAAAAGTAAATTTTTATGTTGGTGACATATTATTCAAAAAGTGTTCCACTACATAATAAAGTTACCTGCAGCTTCTTTTTTTTTTGTGTAATATTACATTTAATATACGTACGGAAAGAGATTGGAGTAAAATTAGCGAAAAATAAAAAATTGAAACATTGATAAAATGTTCTCTAAACTTAATCTATTTTATAATATTTGGTAGTGAAGAAAAAAAAAAAGAGTAAATATCAAAGTTAAAATTTATCTTTATTTTATTTTCATTTTTAGTCATAGCATAAGAATAATTAATCAACGAATAAAATTTCTAATCAATAAATGAATCAATGATAATGATGATAGTTTATGGTAATCTTTTACAAACCACACATTTATTATCATTTCTGACAAAAGCACCGATAATTATATATTAATCATATTCATATTGTCTAGCATAGATCATAATTATTATGTTTATTATTGTTGTTATTAATAATATCATCATTATTATCAGTTCATTATAATGATGATAGTAGTAATATTTATTATTATTATTAATATTATTAGTTCATTATAACGGTAATAATAGCAATATTTATTATTATTATTATTGTTTGCCTAATCATATTTCATCAAAAATTTACAGCAATAAATAGCAAATTTAATTCATTGGTATGCAAATTCTCATAGTAATTGTGATAAACATTTAATGCATTAAATATGTTGATGTGATGAGGAAGGCTTGGGACTCTTCTTCATACCTAATTGAGATTCACGCTTCATCTAACAGGAAAACTGATCGGCGACGATTATCGCGCAAAGATTCACTCCTTCTAATGGCAATATTATCAAATCTGTCACACATAAAATATCATTCATGATGATGATGGTGATGGTGATGGTGATAGTGATGATGATGATGTTGATAAGAGTGATAATAATGATGGATAAAAGTATGAATGAGAGAGAGAAAAAATGGAACTAGTTAAAAGACATAAATTACAACTATTATTGTTATTATCATTATCATTACTGCTATTACTATTAGTCATTTATTATTATTTTTTTATTTTTTGTTTTAATTTATTATCATTTTTTTGAATTACTATTATTTTTTTAAACTTATTATTATTGTCATGCTAATAATAACAATAATAATAGCGATAATAATGATAAATAGCAATAATAATAAATTATAGTAATTATTATTATCACTGTCATGATTGTGATAATATTTTTTTTTTCTGATTAATGAAATAATTTGATTATTTATTTTGATGAAATGAGAAGTGCAAATTATTTGGTAGAACAAAGCATATAAAATTATTTTTACTTCAGTAGTTTTAGAAACATAATGAAAGGTTAATTATTATGCGAGTAACATCAAAGAAGATTTTTGCAATCTTTTTTTATATTCTGGATCAAAGTTAAATACCGAAAGTAATATATACCGGAAATGTTACTATCTCTAACATACTGTAATAATAAAAGATATTTACATTAAATCAGTTTTATACATTAGAATGTAAAATAGTGAAATTATTTTATGGTTAAATGCATTCATTTGTTTGTACTTTCAAACCGGAATCATATTGTTCGTAATTCATTTTTCAGGAATTAAGAATTGATAATATATTGTCTTGCTAATTCTTTTTTTTTTTTTTTTACCGTATATTCACTTTGTAATAAAAAATTAATATACTGTGAACAATTTTTTTCTATTTCTTATATTTACCAAATTTATTCACTTAACATTAATCTGTAAGTATAATATGGTAATAAATCAGTTTTCACATTTTTGAAAAAAGCAATTTTTTTAAAGTTCAAATATGAATGACACAAATTTAAATTTTATTATGTATCCGAAGAATGCATTTGAATTTTATGAAGATTTAGATGACACTTGAAATCAGTGATAATCTATCGTGTCGTAATCAGTAATCAGTAGCAGTCGTAATAATATCGCACAATTTTTTTCTTTAAAGAATTTCACAAATTTTATTAGCAATATCATTTCATTATAAAATGTAAAATTGATTTCCAAAAGAAATTATTATCTTTATTAAACTGAAATAACATATAAATATTTGAAATTTGCTGTGATGCAATTAATGAAATAATTATAATTATGGAAGATAAATGTTAGATTGAAAAAAAGTTAACAATTATATATTTAATTATTTTCCCTTACTTTAAATCAATTTTCACTTTAAGCCAATTCATTTACATTTAAGCCAGCTTTTTTTTCAAATGATTCAATTTTCTCTTTTAAATTAAGACAGAAGTAAAAAAGTGTACATATATTAAACTTTGAATATTTTAGATTCAATAATAAATACTTAAAGTTCTATTACTTTTCTAAAAAAGAAAAATTATCCTTTTTTTTTAAAAAAAATTTTTTTAAATACATTTATGATATTAAAAATTATTAAAAGAAATAAATTTATTATATTACATATCAATTTATTTATTATTTTGTTTATTGTATTACATATAAACATACATTACATACACAGACATACACACTAACATGCACAGAAATATTTTTCCGGATTTGTCTTTAGCCGGTTAAACTATATATCAATAATAATGTTTACATCCTTAAATTACATTATTGTTGATCAGAATAAAATGGCTAAATGGATATGCTCATGTTATTGTCATTTAGCATCAGACGGATGTCAAAATGTATTTTAGCAATTCTTGGATAGGTAGTAGTAACACTCCATCATAAATTAAATAACAAAACGGAATAGGTCAATGCATGTGTATGTATGCATGTATGTATGTATGTGTGTGTGTGTGTGTATGTATGTATGTGTGTATGTATACCTTAGGTAAATATAATAACCTCTCACCTGATGAATAGATAGGTAGATAGTTCTAAATGGATCGTAAATGAGATGATGCTGAGAAGTCTATGCATATTTGTTAGAATATATATTTGTTTACATTAATATTCAAATGATAAAAACTTTTTCCTTCATTTCATTTCATTAAAAGACTAAAATATTTACTAAGTTTAAAATATTTTATGATTAAATGATTAAATATTAATTATTTTACTCTATTATAAACATTTTTTATACATATATGACACATTTTAATTTGTATTATTTAATTTTTTTTTCTTTTTAAATGTATAGTAAATATTTATGCTGTAACCAAATATTTATACTAAAATTTGATATTATTCAAATGCATTACATACACATACACACATACAGACATACACATACAGACACAATAGATTTATTATTATAGTTTTTAATGAAAAAAAAAAAAAAAAAAAAAATCGGGTAATGTGAATAATAAAGGATAAGAGAAATGCGAAATATTGTGTGATCTAAACTTAACAAAAGCAGATGGTACTACCCCATCTTGTCTATCCGATAATAAGTAGTTTTAGATAGAAATGTTTTTATCGCTTTTAGCAATAGTATGGAAAGAGTTAATAGCAGTTCTTTTAATCATTACTGATTAAAAAAAAAAAAAATACAGTTTTCCTTTTCTTTTTTCCGGTTTATTCTATCACCAGATGTTCTTGTTTACTTTTCTTGCCTTCTTCTTCTTCTTTTTTTGCTTGCTTGCTTGCTTGCTTATTAAAATAGTATTTAAAATCATTCATCCTATTATACCTACCTCATTTCAATTCTAGTCCTAGAAAAGCTTATGGATTTCCATATTGGATTATATTATACCGGTTCACAATCATCCCTAATTACTTTTTATTCCACTTCGATGAACTCCGTGCAACTCACCGCGGGGTCAACTCTAATACACATCAAAAATTTGACCGTCTATATCTATCTATTCGACATGATGGTAGCATCTTAAAATCTTACGACGACGATTATAGGTTACACATGACGATGACAAGTTTCTTCATCTTTTACAATTCGTCCATTCTTTTTGCTCCTTTGTCAAAAGATGTATAATCTGATTTTCCGACATCACACAATAACAGTTCATTTCATGGTACTTTTCGGTACCAACGGTATTAATCGATCAAATTATGACCTAATTATCTGATGGAATTACCGATTAAGTTAAATTGTTTCACCTTTCGTTATAAATTAGCGAACCGGAAGTATGCCCAATTCCTAGCAAGCACACTTTACAAAATAGACATTACAGTATATATTTATATTAACTTTGGATTTTTTTCTTTTTTTTTACTTATTACGACAATATTTAACTATAAAATCTTACTGACAGTAAAAAAAATAATAATAATAATCGAGTGGTGTTTTAACTATATCACAGAAAACTTAAAGAAGCTATGAAAACTGAAAACAATACTTAATGATTAATACATTAGTTATATTAACTTCAGATACAATGAATCATCTTCATTCATTCTGAACAGTATGTCGTTGATATATAGTCATGAAGTGAGCTGATAGAAAAACATCTGAAATTTGTCACAATACTTCAAAACAAATCTAAAATGTGACGTTATAAAATGTTACAAAAAAGCTCTAATTTAAGATTGCTTTATTACTGGTAAGCACTTCCGGAGCATGTTCAACAATTTTGTCCAATATGTCATCATCAATTTTCAAATTGCTTTTTATGGATTTTTTTCTAGATGGAATATACATATCAGATAGTAGTAATTCACGTAGTGTTTTCGTTGTACGTCTATTGTATTTACTGAGCAACCTTTGTAGCTTATATAATGTTTTCGCCTGAAATATCTATAAATAAGTTAACTGCAAAATAACCTAAATTTTCCAGATTTGAAACTTCATTATCTGATTTGAGTTAAATTAAAAATAAAATAAGTAATGTAGGAAACTTCCAAATCCATTATGCATTCAATGCTTTTCAAAATAAACTACAACTGTTATCATAAATCGCAATTGGTTCATAAATAAAACCCTAAAAATGAGTATGAACAAGAAGAGAAGTAAGTAATGGAGGAGTAACAGAAAAATCAGAAAAGTCATACGTTTTGTAGTAAGAAAAAACAAATTATTTAAAAATTGCATTATAGTTTCAAAATTTAATTAAACTTTAATTAAAATTTATTGTAAGTTAAAGAAAAGATTGTAAAATTTTGACGAATTTCTCATATTTCAATTATAACTTCGCAATAATTTCAATTTCTGAAAAAAAGGAAGTTAACCTCATCAACTGCATCGTCACAATTTGAAAGTGCTTTGTAAAATTCATCCATTACAGATTTCGAAATTTTCTTCGACACATCCAAGCTTGCAGTATCTTCATTTAAGACTTTTTCCACTTCGTTTAACGCATCCCAAAACCGCTTTTGAAGGACGAAAAAACGAATTTTCAAACTAGTAGCTAATACATGGACACGTCGAGGCAATAACTTGAACATTTCTTCAGCTACATCAATACGACCCTCAAAAATTCTAACATTCTATGTTTTTCGTGCACAGTTTAAAAAAAAAAAAAAAAAAAAAAAAGGTTTCAGATTTCTTGCATTTGGTAATGACACTAACTAACTGTATACTAGTTTCCTAAACCGCTGGAAAAGACAAAATAAGTGCTTACTGTATATGATTTTCACTAGCTAAAAAAGATGGTCTAACCTGGTTTAAAGCCATATCCATAGCTAAATAAAGTATACGATTGGCTGTACTTGTCCCCTTTTCGCAATCTTCTCGGGCAAGAGAAACAACAGCATTTAACGCATCCTCAGTATTCTGAAAAAGAAAAATAAGGAAAAAGGAAAGCAACGTTACGATCTCGAAATAACCCGAACTGAAAAATTTAAGTTTTATGATTAAGTTGTTAAAAGCTAAATAAGATAAACGTCTACCATAATATATTCTCGACAGCTAGTAAAACAGTTGACAAATTAGCAATCTATACAAATCAGAAACAAAGGCTCAACCAATGACATATGTTCGTGTCAAAAGCTGCAAACTTATATGTGTCACAAAGGTTAAACCTACAAATTATACGGTCTGAAGAAATGACAGGAGATATACTTAAGTGAATGTACTTACAACTTGATAGCAAGAAGCAGCGTATTCCAATTTTTTTTTCCAGCTTTTATCTTTGATAAGCGAATATGGCATAATCAAACTATTACAACGATTTGAGCTTAATTTCACGACATTCATCGAAGTAGACGATGGTATTACAGAAGTTCTTAATAATCTCTCGTTATTCCATTTCATCCAACATACGCGATAAGCCAGATGCCGATAAAGTAAACAGCTCATTCGTTTCATTACTGAAATAAAACAAAGAGATAAAAAACCATAAATATGAAAAATTTTTTTAATATCAAAACGAAGAGTAATGATATTTTAAGACTCTATCTGAAATTAGAAGTAGGACAAATGAAAACATAAAATATCAGTTATCTGACATTTTCCACAGAAAGCACGTATTTTATTAAATAACTGATAATAACAACGACAATCAATAATCAACTACTCTTACCATTGTTATCAATTTTTACTGTCGCTTTATTTGCACTGCCTTTTTCTACTCAAATTAATATTTGCAGCTGTTTAGCAGAGCCCTTTGTCAAATACATTTTCGCAGGTTAATTCCGTCTTTATTCATTCATGTAAACATACTATTTCATGCTTTGTCACATATACTTCAATTCACTTACCAATTTTAACCAATGTACGAAAATTTTCTTTGGTGTTTGTCTGTCAAAATGTCTCAGAGGATGGAATGAAAAGAAATAGGATAAATTTAGCAAGCATGTGTTAAGACTAATTTACATAAAAAGACGTATACACGTAAAGACATTACAAATGCATAAATGACGTATACAAGAGAAGGTCAAGAAAACTTACGACTCTACGCTATTTGTTAAATACTACGTTGAGCACGTTCAAAAACCAAAAAAAAAAAAAAGGTAAAACTTTAATTTTAGCTTAAAGTCCGAAGTCACATTTCACCATTTGGTAAACAATGACCTCCAATGAGGTTTCTTTTTTCTTTTTTGTGATTTGTACCGAGGTGTAAGGTTTATCTGAGAGTTTCACTAGGATGATGTAGTATATATTCCACTAAGCAAAATTTATTTCTGTCACTTTCATTGTGATTAGAAGTTGTACTCAAATTATAAAAATTTCAATTTTATTTGCAATTTGTTTAATTCTTTTCAAAAATGCCAAAATTTTTTTTTTTAAAAAAAAAGGAAATCTTTTTTATACAGTTTGGAATAATTAAATTTGTAAATTAGCATTATTTTACCACCATTTATTTTTCATTTTCTTGTTTATTTGAAATATATTAAAGGTTGTTTTGACAATAATGCAACGTCATCGTCAAGTGACGATGACGTTGCATTATTGTCAAAACAACTTTATTCCTTATCGCATCTTCTACGGTTGCCGGACAATCTAATCGTTTTTACAGGAAGAGTTCTGGAATACTATATTTTGCACTTTAAAGTGAACCGACTAGGAAAATAGCAGCTATTGAATGTTGTTTGGATTAATACAATATAGCAATGAGGCCTGGTTCAAACATTCTGATGAACCACGAAAACATCCGGAATTTTGTTTTAAAAAATGCCATATACCTTAGAAATATCTTAAGTCTTTCACTGGATTGTGAATTATCTCGATCTTGAACATTCGACAGAACATGCAAACAAGATTTCCAGATCTTTTTTAAGCATATTTAGAAAATTTGATGATAACGATTATTATGATGGTCAGTTTTTTGGGATTCCAAGCGTGACTATATGATATTAAATGCTCGTTTTATGTGCTCGTAACAATATCAGGTTCTTTTTTCGTTCTTGCAAAATTCAGTATTATTTTTCAAACTGTACAATCTGCTTGAATATTCGTCATTCACTCTTTCATTCCTTTTTTTTTTTTCCTTTTTAAAATTCAGAAGACCTAAGAAAGCATTTAACATAGAAATTATGGAGTCATTTTTTTTTTGAAATTCAGAATTTTTTAATTTCAGTTCTTATGAATTCTGTTATGTTAGTCAAGCTATGGTAGAATATACGCCAGTGATTATTTTTCTTGCCATATTTGTTGCTGTACCTTTGCAATTTCTTTTATCACCGTCATCGTCATCTGACGTCAGATATCATTTGCATAAGTAAGTTTTGGGTTTTATCAAAATACTGTTTTTACTTTCAAATCAGTACATTTTAGTTATGGAAATAGTGAATCCCATTTTTATTTCGTTTTTTAAATTCACGGTGTCTAATTCTAATTTTTTTATTCTCTGAATTGTTTGATATTGAGTGTGCATTTCTCAGTTTTATTTATTTTTCCTTTGTTTTCTTTTCTTTCTTTTCCCAGTAATTTTTAAAGAGAAAAGCAATATTATTCTTTGTGATTAAATTTGTCGCGGAGCATACACAAGTTATACTGATTTATTCATTGTGTTCATGTGAATTGTTGTCCATTATTTCCATAGATTCTTTACTTTTTTTTTTTTTTTTTTCAGATTAAGAAATTCATTGTCACATTTCTCTCGATCGTTTTTGCACAGAGAAGAGGAAATAGATGAAGTTACTGATATATCAGAAGACGAGAAAGAAACTAAATATTTTGGTGGTAATTTTGCTGAAATTAATTGCTCCATTTTGTTTATCGCTGCAGTTACGGTGAATCTTTAATAGTTATACATAAGTATATAGTCGTCTAATATATCAGTTTTATTTCAGGTTCTCTTGAACCACGAGATCCACGACCTCCTTATATAAAATATCGTGTTGGGGATGTGGTTCGTCATAAAATTCATGGATATAGAGGTGTTATCATTGGCTGGGATGAGAAAGCGGTTGCGCCACAAAGTTGGCTAGATAAGACACATAAAGGCCGAAAGGTAAGTAGATGTAACTATCCACAAGTTTTTCTACATTTTAAGATGTATATTTCAGTGCTTTTTGTATATTGTATGGCAGTTACTCATTCCATATTTCGATTTTCAGGCTGCATTTCGCGAGTATTTTTTGGTATTTTGATTTTATTTTGTTTTTAGCAGTTTTTCTTCCACTTGTAGAATGATTGTACTTGTAGGATTGGTCAGAAATGCCGAATTATTCGGTAATAATCGACACTAGGGATAGACTAATTCCACAGTTGGCTTACGTTGTTGAAGAGAATATCGAACTCGGAGAAGGAAGGGTATGGGTTTCTAGCTTATCATTTTGAATGATATCTTTACTGTGAATAAGAATTACAGACATTAGCGACTTTATTGTTGAGTATGATTTATAAAATAATGCAAAATATCAGTCTTTTTACAATCTTTTAGAAAAGAGATTGAGTGGAAAGATTTATTCTCGACGTAAATGAGTTAATTAATCACTAGAAAATATGAGGATGAAATTGAAGTTTGAAGTCCTGGAATATTTTGTCATTATTTTAATGGATAATATTCTTGATCCTTTTTTAATTATTTGATTGCTGGGAAAATGCCTTATGCCTAACTTGAACTGACTGATTGTTTTTTTTTTTTTCTTTTTTTTATTTTTTTTTATTGTATTATAATAGCAAGAAATTTTTAGTATTTCCTTTTTTCCAGCAATTTCACATCGTTTCTTTCCTTGAAAAGCAATAGGTTTTCATTATTTTTGTGGTTTTTTTTTATTAAATTTTTTTTTTTTTTCAGATATTTCATCCACTTGTAAAGAATTATTTCGAAGCATTCGATGGGAAGCATTATACATCTCGACCATGGCATAAAAAAGTTTATCCCAATGATTGAATTGTTATCATATTGTCCATTTCTTTTTTTGAACCTCTTTCATTTTGCGGGTACAGTTTACATCACATTCATTCTGTGATATATGTATTATACATAACAATTAATAATTGCCTCCTGTCTTACGTTTGATATTACCGTGTGCGGGTGACATGAAAATTCAATATCAAGACAGGAATTGATATGATGTATTAATTGTGTAGGTATTAGATATGTTAGTTGTATTATTACCACGTACAATTGATTTCCTTCTTTAAACTTCTTCAATTGTGTTCAGTAATAAAATTTTTTGAATAGATTTTGAAGAGATAAATTTTGAGAAAAGCTAGAAATGACAAAAGCCATTGCATATTATCAAATATGCAAGAAGGATTGAATTCATATTTTTCAAAATTATTCGTGATGGATAATTAGCAGCAGTACAATAAATGCAATATGAAACTTATCTTCTTTTCAGTACGAGAGTATTGCATTTTCTGTCATGATATAAGGAGAATATTTGGTAGAGAAGAAGGAAATGTGAAGTGATCATTATTTTATACCCCAAAATTTACTAGCAAGTACATAAAAATTCTTTAATCATGTAATATGATCGATTAAATATCATTTGAAACTTTTCCACCAGAATAATCATTTTATTCTGTCTCCTCAAAGATGAAATAGGAAAAAAAAAAAACGAAGCAAAATAGAATTAAATGTTTAAATCTGAAATCCTAAAATTCTTTTTGAATGACATAAAAAAAAGGAAGAAAAAAAAAACCTTTTTTAAGGTTCTTGCAAATACGAAAATGATTAATGAATCGAAAATTATTTAAAACGATTGAGCGCTTTTCGAATTACCACAGAAATGTTTAAATTCTCTAACCAAACATTTGAAAAAAAAAAACATTTTATATATCAAATTTTGTTTGATTAGAAGCTGAGAGAGAGAAAAGAAAATTAATACAAATGCAGAGAAATGTATGGAATATTTATTTTTTCTTAAAAAAAAAAAATCACTCAAAGATCATATTTCTTACTGATCAAATTATTTTCTTAATTCTTTCTTCACTTTTCCTCTTTCATGTACTTCTTTTGCTCCATTTTTGTAATTTGTAGTTTTGCTCAAAAAAAAAAATCGTTTTTCTTATTTATTTTTTTTTATTTTTTTTTGATTGAGGATACATTCCTATTTTTAGTTATTAATCACAAAGAAACGAATTTGCGAAGAAGAAATTCCTCAAAAAATTTTTTTTTAGAAATTTGTTATTGCAATTATATATTGCATAATTTCATCTAAAACTATTATAACACATTAAACAATTTCATAAATATGCAAGAAATTTCTAACTTTTAAAATTTCATTTATTTTTTTATTTATTTTTTAAATTTCACAACTACACTAATTTATTTTTGTAAGGTATAATTTCGGTTTAATTTTGATGGATATTTATTCAATTAATTTTTCTTTAATAAACATTAATCAATAATGTCTTTTTTTTATTATTACATTTTGTAAAGGTCAAATAAAAAATTATTTTAATAAAGTAAA